TATTGAAAGGACCTTTATGGGCTTCGTATTATACTGTGGGATTACAATTTTGTAATTTCTATAATTTTTAATTTGAAATGTTTTATTTTTATTCTTAATTTTTTTAATTGTGTATTTTTCCGTGAGCGTCTTCCATGAAGTCTTCCATGTTTCCACGATGATTACGAACAAAGCTGTGGCGAACTGTTTTCCATCACGACTGTCATATTTTGATATGCACATGCGCAGTGGGAATACCAACATGGCTTTAATTCAGTTTCATAGTTAAGCACGTAGTTTTGATAAAGATAAAAACAGACTGCGAAATCATATTCAGAAATGGCGTTTTTTTGGGTTAATGTTTGTAACATGACCTGTTAGTTCATTGAGTCAAGACTGAGGTCTATACTATGAAGTCTTGGAAATAGCGTATATAAATAGTATGATAGTTCTTGAGTCAAGACTGAGCCTGAGGTTTATACAATGTACTAAGAAGTCTGGGAAATAGCGTATATAAATGATCTGATAGTTTATTCAGTCAAGACTGAGGTATTTACTATGACGTCTTGGAAATAGCGTATATAAATGATCTGATAGTTAAGTTCTTAATATTTATATATTTACAGCAACAATACAACATCTGAGAGCTTTCATAAGTTCTCTGAAAACAGTCGATAACTCTGGATTAAAATAGAACGAAAACCCGAGTGATGATAAACTTGTAGAAAGATGAAAAGAAAATACCATAAGGAGCAGATAAAGAAAAGACCACTACACGGAGCACTTTGTCATGTTCAACATTATCTAAAATAATTATTGGTTGAAAATAAAATGAGAGAAAAATGTAAAAATCTGATGGTGGCTGCAGGCCTAAATTATGTGTGTACACTGACATGGTTTCTTAGGGGTAGAAACACAATAGATCAATATATCCCATACGGGAAGTCTTTAGAAATATACCTTCCCCATACAGGAAACGCTATGGAGTTTTCAATCTAACTGTAACCCCGGGAATCTGTGAGCTTGTCTTACATACGCAGTGTGGACTTCCGAACAAAAGACGTCCACTTAATGTAGGTAGCAGCGACAAAGTGTGGACTTGCCCACGTCCACACAGTGTTTCCCCATTTCTGGAAAACAGGTTTAGAGGCATTTTTGGGTTAGGTTTATCTGTAGCAGAATGAAGAGAAACACTAAAGGGAATCATTGAAAAAAAATTGGGTTGTAAGAGTTTTCACAGTTTGAGAAAAATGAGTTTTTCCACTGGTGTTCCTTAACTACACGAAAAGAAAGGATAGTCCACACTAGGTATGTGAAACAAGTCTGGGTGTGTGTGTGTGGGGGGGGGGGGGGGGGTCTAAAAGCTCTTCTCCGTCTCAGAATTGGCTTCAGGATACTCTTTAACCCCAACTGCAAGATCATCCAGTCCAGACAACATTCACGGATGTATATATACGGTTGTCGCCAGTCTTGTTCCGTGACCACACGATCCCATAATGTGTATTTATAATTTATATTGGAGGTCACATTCACAAAATGGAACATGACGCAGTCCGATCAGTACATACTAAAGTTAGAGGACCAACGCTTTATAAACTGAGCATTATGCCTTAAATCGGATTGCAAGGTTAGCGTTGAAGAATTTCGAGGACTGATGATCCACAAAACACCCTGCTACCGCGAACATATCCGAGTGCCAACAAAAGGATCCCTGCCCGTTTTGGTCAGTCACGTGGTATTTGGCGCCTACCTAATTTGAAATTATCAGAATGGTCAGCCATGCAAACTGCAGATTAGAAGTTGTGCCATGTTACTGGCCGTTACATATGTTATAGCCTTTATAGGACATCGCCGTAGAGGGCGCCCTAGACATTAAATAACCGATCATCGGGGAATCAAGTTGAATGTAACTACGGAAACGTATAGGACCATTCGAGTTACTGCGTTACTGAGATAAAATATCTTGGAAACATAGAGTTCCATCATAAAATATCTTTACAGCTCGAAATGCAGCGATAGCCCATCATGAAAATGCTGAATACCATGAAAGCCTCATCGGATCATGGAAACGTGGAAAACGTAGGTTATCGTGGAAACGTGGCATTCCGTGATGTGCTATCACGAATAAGTGGAATTCCGTGATATGCTATCGTGGAAACGCAGAATACTGTGATAGCCTATCACGAAAATGTGGAATACCGCGATAGGGTATCTCAGCAACCTGGAAATCCGTGATGTTTTATCGTGGCAAAGCGAAATGCCATGATATCGTTAGCCTATCAAAAAAATTCCACGTTTCCACGATAGCTCATCACGGAATTACATGCTTTTACGATAACCTATCATCGAATTCAATGTTTCTGTGATAGGCTATAACGATATTCCGCGTTTCCGTGATAAGCTATCACAATATTCCACTTTTCCACGATAGTCTTTCAGGGAATTCCATGTTTCCAAGATATTTTATCTCATAACGCAGTAACGCGGATGGTCATATACGCTTCCGTTTGTAACAGACCACGATATGCTTTAAGCGGCGCAGCCTTAATTCAAGGCGGACGTTTTAAATGTATTCGTAGTAGGTATAGGCAACATGCACACATTCATTAGCTCTACTAAGTCCATCAATGGGCCTTATTAACGAGTTGGCCATTTTGTCGAGTTCCCCGAATGTATTTCATTAATTGTTAATTGTTGAATGGGATGGCGCCAGACTATTTATGCAGGCACAATGCAGCCTTATTTTACTGCCATTTTTGGTTATCTAGCTTTAAACATTAGTGAACGTTTAATTACAAATTTGAAATTATTCATTGAAGCAGACTGGAATTAATTAGTAATTAACTTGCTTTCATTTCTCTACACAAGTTCCAAAAATGAAGATTTTACCTCACTCTCAATCCAATATGGCCGACTCGTGAATAAGACCCATAGAGGGCGATATGTCGACCGAACTTTGCTGTATTCAAGGATACGCCTTATCCTAATCGCTTTCACATTATTTTTTACATGAAGGATATGTTCACAAACATGTCTCATGCATGTTAAATTTTTTATTTGATATTCAGTTGTATTATAGGTCAAAATGCAGAAGAATTTTGGCGAACTGGCGACATTTTCGCTCTGGAAATGGAGCCCTCACTTTACAACTTAAACAAAAATTAACCAGCCCCGACTCCGCTTTTAAAAACTTTTTGTAAAGACGAAAATAATTTTAAGCCAATAAAAAAAAGACATACATTGTATTAGAAGTCACAGAAGTCACTCGTTGCCAGGGCCCAGGTAGAATGGTACACGCTTGCTTTGCACGACTGGCTTGTATTGGATGATTATGTCTGGCCTTGCATTTGTAGTGCCAGTCAGTTGTTATCGATATTGGAATCTACAGTCGTGCCTGACTATTTACTGTCAAACATAGGAGTACTCAATGCTGATAAATAAAGCTATGACCGGAATTATCAGCAGTTTACAATCGCCTTTTCCTCTTGTGTTGTGAGTTTATGAGATGAACGTGTACGGTCAAAGGTGTTTGCGTGTCTCGACTGGTTATTATTGACACAAAGGCTCCCTTGTTAGAAATTATGTATTTCTCCAAGATGCACATATTGTCCATTTCGACTTGGCTTCGCACACTTCATGGAGAGAACTTCATGGGGAATGAGTGTTAACGAGACCATTCGCTTTATATTCGGAACAATAGAGCAAAGGGTTTAATAGGAAATTTGAATCATGCTATATAGTATAGCAATATGAAAATGAAGTGGATTTGAAAATAAAATATTCACCCTAAGAACGAACATTATATTCTTTTTATCCATCCTACAAATTGGACTTCACACAAATTGATGTTGTATAGTGTAATGACTACATTACCAATATCACTCTGTTTGCCCTGCCGTGGCACAACAAACACAGTCAAAAGTAAAAACATTAAAACTCCAAGGAATACCGTTGCTCATATATAATATTGTTTGGATTTTTTACCCACAAAATGTATTGAAGCCCTGTATTATGTTCATTTTTCTTCAGACGACCATTTTTATCAAAGGGACCATTTTTAATCGAACATCAGTGCTTAAAGAACAGAAGCAAAATCCCTTAGGAAATCATAAAAATGACAATCGGTACTCCAATATGACCGGTGGCAGAACATTTTAATCCAACTAACCATTTTGGGAGGACATTATTTTCAGCCATGAATGGACGTAATGTGGCTCAAAGTCAGGCTTAAAGTCGCCCTCAGCTTCACGTTGTTAATGTGTGCTGGTAACGTGTGCGAGGAAAACCAAAGTGAACTGCAGTCACTTGAAAAGTAAAACATTGGTTTTGCACTTCAGTTAAATAGGATTTGTAAAATAATACAAGTATGAAAGTTGATATAACTCATAATAACTGTACCATATAGGGTGTGACATCCTGAGGAATCAATTTTCCAATTGAATTAATAAGCTTTTGAACATAAGATAAACGATGAGTCTCCCTTTGTTAAACAAACGTTTCACAAAAATCGGCGTGCGGTAAATATAATGAGTTTCAAAGCTACTATTCGTCTCGTCTATTTGCCACGCAAATGACGCAACAGTTGGTAACATGCCTGCCTTTAACTTGCCTTCCCTATTTTTTCACAAAGTCAAATAACTTCATGGTTCATACGTCTGAATTGACGGGACACTAAAGTGAAACCGAATGGACAATTGTGACATGATAAGTCAATGTCACGGGACTGAAAATTTAGTGTTGTTTGGTTTGCTAACTTTGTTGGCATATCGATCAAAGAAGGGCACAGCCGAGAAGATTGTGCTATTATGTACAGAGTCAGCACAAAATGCACTTAACTAGTTCCGTTTGCCTCTTGCTTGCTTGCTTTATACAAAGGACATTGAAGTTGACCTTTTTGAATTGGTTGTTCATATAGATATTTGAGCACCTGCATGACCATAAAATAATAAATAAAAAACCCACCAAAGTTAATAATTAGCCCTTTGTTTGATATGACGTCATAAACAGAATCGTATACATTTTAGCAATAAGGGCGTTGCAGTTGGGAATGCATATTCTTGCATGTCGTGCTGTTTGGGAGTAGCCACAGGAAACGAATTCGTTGTACCGACTGGTCGCCACAACTGAAAAGGTAGGTGCCTGATGGTCACTTTTAACGCAAGAATGAGACTAATGCTAGCAAATTGGGACAATAAATTCAGTATTTTTAAGGGTGACACCTATTATCATCCCCCCACCGTAATTATTTGTGACTTGTATTCGGTTTGCTGGCCTTCCAAGATCAACCGTAACCGATCCATTTTGGGGCATTTTACTATAATGGGCGTTGAGGCAGCTTGTGCAATGTTCAATGTCTCAAAACGACCAGATCCTATAAGTTGAATTTCAAATTTACCGAGCCTAATGACCAGCGGCGTATAGCCAGTAAAAAAAAACACCCGTCGCCCCCAGTCGCCCACCACCACTGGAAATTTGTTAGTCCTATAAGTGACCTTGGTTAACGGGTTTAACAGAAATTGGGCGCATGACCGCCACATCCAGCCCACAACTTGCCCCATTGGTGAGAACCCTGGCTACGCCGCTGCTCATGACTGATTGAGAGAGATATCACAGGCCGGAAACAACTCGCCCGAGCAGTTTCACATCGCCCGCGCTCGCGCGCTCGCACGCACGCAAGCAGCATCATCATCAAGCAAATCCTCCTTTAGAAGCTCCATGATTTTTTTTAAAACGAATTCCATATCAAACGTATGCAAGAAGCCATGTTTATTTTCATTTCACTGGAAGTATTATCTTTTGCGTATTTGCGGTAGAAGCTCCCTTTCTGATGTATTGTTAGTAAGCCTACCGTACCCCGGACGGACCCCCTTGTATTTATAAAAGTGTCAAATTATATCTGGTTTTTACTATACAGGGTTCATTGCCGTACGTGTGACAACAGTAAAGCTACAATTACACCATGAAGCTGTTACAGATCGCTCTTATGTGTGGCTTGATTGGTATGCTTTAAGCTTCTGCTCCTTTTTTCGTTTTGAAACCGAAAAGGGCAAATTAAAACAATCAAACTGACCTAGTCCTGACCCTTTTGATATTTTTCTGTCAAGTAAACTAAACAATCAAACTGACTTGGTCCTGACCCTTTTGATATTTTTTGATAAGTAAACTTATTATGGGTCATGTCTTTGAGATAAGAGTACTGTACCATGGCCATTTCAGGGGGTACTGACAGACATCGATGCAGGATTTGGCTTGGGGGGGGGGTCACAATTTTTGTTTCGAATTTTTTTAGAAGTTTAATTTTTTTCAAAAGAATTCCAAAACTGTTGGCCGCAGAACTTTATTTTTGGAAGGGGGGAGGGGAGGACGGACTATTTTGACATTGGTGGCGTCATTTACACCCCTATTATGCTCGAAAATCATCACGGTCACATCACGGGAGTAAAAACAAACAAATTGACAACCTCTGGGGGAAGCTCAAGCCCCCGAAAAAATTGACCTCGCACTTCCGAACTCGGTGCAGGCTACTCGTACAAAGATGAACATTTATTAAATTATTTTGTGGCGGTCATTTGGTAAAAACTTAAACTTAAATGGGAGACTAAAATGTCTTTTGTGAAATACAATTTTTGTTTAATAAACTTGAAGAACTTGTACTCATTTACAAACAAATCTAAAATAACCGTTGATAAGAACTGTATTCGAGCAAGCCCGACTAAATCTAGAATCCATCGGATGTAGTTAGGTAAATCTTCGCGTCGTTATCATGTTCGTGCTTACGCAAGTACGTGACGTGAAAACAAATGTGATCGAACAAGTAGACCTAGATACGAAAATGCCGGATGTGAAAGGTTGTAAGTAAAATTCATTTTTACCCATCTCCAACTGATTTCATGTTCTTCTTGTGGATTGCCACGATAACATTCCAACATGAATGTTTCTCGGGGGGTGATAACGGTTAGAAATCATTCCGTCACAAATTACAGCAAGAGAAAGGGAAATCAATGTCCATGAGGGTCACGGAGGGGTCCGCCAGCTCAAAGACAAAATGGCGTACTTTCAGGCTCTGTAACCTTGGAATCCTGTCTGTTTGTATTCCCAAAATGGCGCCGTTTTGGCACAGAAAGATGGTTATTTCTTTAGACACGGTCATTGCTTATACAACATAAATGATTCGTCTTGAAATGCCATGGGCTTGAGTCTATAAAACACTTATGTTATAGTTTTTCTGCATTTTTTGTTATGCAGGAGGTATCGTAGGCCTCCAATGTTTCTTCTGTACTGACGGATTAGGTGACACTTCCGTTGCCTGTCGGGATCCGTTCAATACATCCACCACTGATCCCACCGTTATAAGACAGCTTTGCGGAGTTGGAGCTTACTCTTGTAGTGTAAGTTTTCAAATACTATATTTCAGTAGCGTGTCTAGGTTTGGGGTGGGTTGGGTGGATGGAACATTGGTCTAACAGGGTTAAACTTCTGAGGGGGCACCTGGGGTGCATGCATTTTAACGGGGGGTGGTTGTGCACTGAAGGCATATTTCAACAGTGCAGTGTATACTTGTTCAATTCTAATGTTAACTTCGAGATTTTAAGAGGGTGGGGGTACCCGTGGGGCACGAACATCCGCTGGCTGCGAAGAGTCACTATCTCAAGAGATATAACATGTTAGTCGTGTTGGGCGAGATACCAATTGAAATAACTGTTATTGTTTGTGGCCCTTGTGGGCTTCCGTACGTGTGAAATAGTGAGCCATACCTGTCTGCTTGTTTGTTTTAAGTTTGTTTTGTTTATTTGGTTTTTCTTTTGCTATAGAAATCATACTTGAGTTCAGCTGATATGAGTTTCACGGTGAGAGGTTGTGTCGACAGTTCCCTTTGCCCGGCCACGGATGGGTGCACCTCGTCTGAATATCAAGGCAACGCTGCCACTGGCTGCTGCTGCACTACGGATTTCTGCAACGGAGCTGGGTCGATGTCGATGAATCTCCTCACCACTGCGGCTGTAGGCCTGGCTGCCTTATTCGCTCTGTACTAGTGAGTGAATCCACCACGAAGGATTTGTGGGGGGGCATCCCATTTAGAATTTGGCTTCCGTAGTCTGTAAAATATTGCTTTGATATTACTTTTGTTGCACAAGCAATCTTCATCTGGGCCTAGAAAAGCGCTGTTTTTCCCCTCAAAATGATTGAGCTTGAGTTTCAGTGTTTTAGAATGGAGCAGTACGGTATTCCCAGTGCAGAAAGAATTAAGAACTAAGATCCGTTAAATCATTTGAATGATAGGCTTTTTAGCCTGTTAGATTTTTAAAAATCCATAAGTTGCATTAGATTTTTTACAAATCCATAAGTTGCATATAGGCCTAGTTATGAAAATGTACTACGTGATTAGTGTACATGGGAGGTATGTAATGGCAAGTAGACCTACTCAAATCGGGCGATTTGAGTATGCCTAGGCCTAACGTACACTTTTAATTAGGCCGAACTTCCACTCCACAATTTATAGTCTCACGGGCATCACCGGAACACTTTGTGGGGTATCACCGCAATATTAGAGAGCCACACTCACGGACAGTAACGTGGCCAGAAAAAAAATCGTTTCAGGTCTGAAATTCTCTGAATAGCATCCGACACCCGACCGGAGGCGCTGTTCAAAGTAATATGGACTGTATAGGGCCTAAATGATCTGACAGTAGGTGGCGCTGTTCGTGGCTAGCGCCTCGATCGCATGCCCTGTCCAGCAGGTATTTTTTTTCGTTGAGTCGCCACCCTATCGTGTGGGGAGCAAGCGAGTGGCTTTCTGCTGAGAGTTTCAGTGGCGTAGCAAGGTCATTGAAAAGGGCACTTGCACATCCGTGCTGAAATGTACCCGGAACGGCCAATGGCACAAAAAGGCACGACTTCTTTTTAAAAGGGCACTTGTTCAGAAAAAAAGGGCACTTGTTAACAAAAAAGTGCACTCTTTAAAAAAAATGGGGGGGGGGGGAAGCGCTGGTGAAAAAAAGAGCATTTGAATGGAAAAGGGCAGTCTTTACAAAATATTGGGGGGTCCCCCTGGCTACGCCTGTGAGTTGACGACGGGTTTACAAAGATGGCGGCATCCGCGCATTGCATTGGTATGAAATCTAATCACCAGTCCGGGCCTTTCCTCCGGCGACGCCCGTGATCACTTTTTTTCTAAATTTATGCCATTCACAATGCATCAATGACAAGCAGTACTATTAGAATTTTACACTAGTGCAGTCTATTATAATAATCTTACAGGTAAATATTCTTCTTCTTATGATCAATAAACTGCTTTCGAATAGATTCATTTACTCTGACTTGTACAAGCTATGGGGTCACCTCAACTCTTGTTTAAAGGCCTATAGGATCATTTGCGTTTATCCCAAAGTAACTATCGAATCATTATCAAAATTGTACTTGGATTAAAGATCATGTACTGGTACTAAACGCCCAGTGAAATCATTCTGTCTGGCTTGCTGTCATTCAGAGGGAAATCAATTTAGAAATGAGCGTGATTTCCATCAATCAGTCATTTGACTGATTTTTGGAAATAAAGAGTGTTTTAGACGGAATCGTGTTTCGTGATCGGCTTGCGCATTTAATGTTTTCTTGAAAGGTGTGCTATCCACAAAAAAACTAACAGGTTAGATTTTGAACATTTTTCAGTTTGGAGTGGTGTTATTATTGGAAACGAACAAAATGCACGAAAAGCAAATGATCCTATATGCCTTTAAAGCCTTTCAGATTATTCAGCCACGTTATTCTTCTTCGGATATTACTGCATTCCATTACAGTTACTCTTAATACTCAGACTTTACCATTAATTATTAATTTAGTTTTAAGTAAATCGCAAAGGCAATTAATAAGTCAGGACTGAGACAAATACTATGACGTCTTGAAAGCATATAACTTTGGCATTTAAAAACAGGTCTGAAATTCTTGTTGTGATGATTGAAAAATGTGGTAATGGTCAAAATTGTAAGAGACAATTAACACGAAAAGTTGATCATAAAATGCAAACGGTGGCCTTAATATCATGAGTAATTTCAGAAGGAAAGACAAGAAGCAGGCGTAAAGAGCGCGTAACACAGGTTTTAATCGCAACCGTAATTTCAGGTCGACTAATCCACAAAATAAAATAGTTTTGGGTTCCATTGCCTTAGCACTGCACTCCCGCATTAAAAAAAAAGCATGTTGTACCAGTTAATACTCCATATAAACTTCAAGAGTGCAATGACTAACACATGCTTACTAGTGGACGGATATCCATTTTGTTCATAATTGTTTGTTACAGAGAATAAGATGAGGTTACACATGAATAAATGATGACCAAAAATATGCCAGAGTTTGTGATTTTTGACTGATTCCCGAAGCGTTCTCTTGTTATGTAAACCATTAAGATGTGGACGAGAGAGTGGGAAGTGGCGGAGAGGGGGAGTCCTATACGTGGACAGCAGCGGGGGGGGGGGGGGGGGGGGGGGGGAGGGGGAGGGGGGAGATGCCTCGCCTGTCGCCCTGTGCCCGCGAGTGCCCGCCACGCAAATACGTTCCAGCCGCACTTTCCACTGCGCATGTGCGACTCCTAGGGATAGGTCATGAGGGCTGCCGATTTTACACCGATGATGCGACTCAAAATATATTTTAGTATTTTATAGTTTATAGACCACTACATTTGGGAGCCGTTGTTATTGTATCACTGCTTCTTCAACCTCTGTCTATTTGTCGAAGAAATGTTTAAACATATTTTCTGAGAACGCAGAACAGTGATTTCATGAAAGAACCGTCTTGTCCCACGTGTCGTTTATTTACATTTAGGACCATTTTGTTTTCGACAAAAAAACCCACAATAATTGCAGAGGTTGCCCTGCCAGTCATACTTGTGCATAACGGTCGAGAGGATTATCAAGTATTCAGATTTGTCATAAAATTTGCTAGATGTTAAGGAAAAAAGGCACTTGCTAACAAAAGAAGGGCACTCTTTACAAATATTGGGGAGTAAGCGCTGGTGAAAAAAGGGATTTGACTGGAAAAGGGCAGTCTTTACAAAATATTGGGGGGGGGGGGGGTAAGGTCAGCTTAGGTTATTAGCACAATGAGCACCAACCCCAAAATCTCATGCTGACGGTTGGCCTGGGTCTAGTTGATTTGCACAAATAGGGTTGTATGAGTTCGCTGTTCGCGCTGTATGTTTGCACTGCTAACGCCAGCGAGTCCGATCCGGCGGCGAGAATTAATATTAGCCGCCAGGTGCCGTGCGAACGGCTAATAACGAACGCCTTGATCATGGCTATATTCCAGCATGACGCACTAACACTTTATCACTTAAGAATGTCACTATAATTATACAGTTTATGTTAATGCATAATACCTGCTATTGGTACCTTTGCGAGACATTTTGTCATTATTATACCTTATGGAGATACTGGACATTAGGGAGACATTTTAATGTCTCCCTTATGAGCTCCTAAATTAGAGGCAAAGTTTTATCGTCGAAAATAGGCGGCTAGATCGATTGCTCGTGGTCCAAAACTTGAATAGGCCCTATACTGAAATTCGTGGGGTACGATAAGGTAAAATTGGGGTTAGGTGACATTTAAAGATGGAAACAATTTATGCACAAGTCTATGCGAACGACCAGTTTCCCATACTTATCAAACGTATAGCAATTGATGACTCATCGCAATATTATAATTTTTTGAATTCCACATAGCAAACCCGCATCAAAGTCACACCCTGTCCCAGAATCATATAGGCCTAACTAGGCATCAGGACGTATAGGCTATAGCCACTGCTGCATGCATGTTCACGTAGTGCTGTTTGGGAGTCGCCATCGAAAACGGTTCTGAACACCGACTGATAGCCACGATTTTATAAGGTAGGTACCACATGGTTACCTCCACTGCAAGAATGAGACTAATGCTTGCAAACTGGAAATAATGAATATAGTAATTTTAAGGGTGACCTTGATTATCATTTGGTTTTCTTCGTAACTATTTGTGACTTGTATTCGATCTTCGCTTGCCCTCTACGATCAACCGTATTACCGCTCCAATTTGGGGCATTTTACCATGAGCGTTGACAGCTCCTTCAATGTCATAGGTCTATGTCTCGATAGATCATGAGAATACTGTAACATAATAAGTGTGTGACGGTCTGAAAGACATGTACATTCTCAAAACGACAAGATCCTCAAGCTGACTTTTAAGTTTACCGAGCCTCATGACCGCGATAGAGCGATATCACAGGCCAGAAACATGCCATATGAGAAGTTTCACATCGCCCGCGCACGCAAGCAGCATCGTCGTGCGGCACTCCCCCATTAAACCCCATGATGTTTCGTCGCAAAAATAGAAAATCGATTACGCTGAATGTCACAATTCCATACCAAGCTCATGCATTCAAAGATGTGCAAAAATCAATGTTTCTTTTTACTTCAATATATTATCTTTTGCGTATTTGTGGTTGAAGGTCCCTTTCTGATGTATTGTTGGTATTGTAGCATTTTTCGCCGGGAATTTTTGTGGTACGATCAAAAATAATAATATTAATTTACGGTTCTACAGTTTGCTTCAACTCGACACCATTAAATGTGAAATTATTGATAAAATCGTAATATCTCTAAGTAATAATTAAGATGACAATGATGAATGATTAAACTATTGAATAGGCCTAATCAAACCACAATGAACTATGTTGTTTAAGTGTACGTTGTACAAATATTGTCTTTTTCTGAGAGGGGAAAACAACTTGTTTTTCAATCTCGAAGAGCAACTCTCTGATGAATAATCCCTGCTAATGAAATATGATACAAACCAAAATGATCGGCATCTTTCTTTATATACACCGAAGCTAATGTAATACATCTGATAATAATCAAGCCACAATCAATTATGTGAGACAGGGTGTATAAAAAAAAAAGGAAACCCAGATGTTAAAATAAATTATTACAAATCTAATATTTTTTTTCAAATAAGGTTAAGATCATGTGAAGCATCTATGTGTCCTCCTTCCAATGACACACTGACTGTGTGTCTGTGGCCACGGATGACTGAGCATTCGTTGTTAGCCCGTCAAGGGTCAAAACCTGCACTGTGCCAAGTTTATGCGAAAGGGTTTTATTCTGGGCATGTGGAGCGATATCCTTTCCTTTAACACAATTCATTCAATTATTATTACACAGTGATTTGACCGTGTATATTGTTGATGTTAACACCTCATGGCCCAAATGCATGCATTCAACGTGGCCACCACCTCTTTTCACACAAAGCTCTGCACGAAGTCTAGTCCATTTCAACCTTTGCATAAAAAACCAGCCAGCAATCTCAGCCAGGTAAAACTTGGCGCGGTACAGGTTTTTTACCCTTGACAAAATAACAACGAATACTCACTCATCAGTGGCCACAGACACACAATTAAGTTATCATTGGAAAGAGGAAACATTGGCAATTCACAGCCATGACCTTTAATTTATTTTAAAATATTTATTAGATTTTTTTTATAATTTACATTTATATCTGGGTTTTCCTGTTTCTGGGTTTACCCCGTATAGGTCTATAGCTATACACAACATGTCCTATTTTGAGGATCATTTTTGTAGCAGTTCATTTTATTTTAGATGCCCCACCCCCAAAATCAAGTTATTCGTAACTTCATTGCGAAATTGATACCTGTTGATCTCTTTAATGTTCATGTATAGGAAGAGCAAATTAACGATTGGATCGCTAGCCGCCCCCTTCCCGATGACATTGTTTATGACAATATTATTCTCTAAATCTAAACTATCGTTTACGGTACATTGCTTGAACGGTTCATGACATGAAGTTTTCTTAGAAGCATATTTTGAGCAAGTTCCTACTCCATTTAAATGTAAACATACTATTTGACATTCCCTTTATTGAAAAGCGCACTTCTTTCAAATTTGTCCATGCTTTTCCAGACAACTGAGGGCGCTGTTGCAGTGGTGTCATTTTCAGAAAGACACTGTTCACTGGAAACATTTGTGACAAAAGTTTGCTCACGGGCTTATTGCCATGTACTGACACAACAAGGAATCACCAAAGACGAAAGACATGTGCAACAGCAAAATAGCCAACTTTCTGGCAACTTTGGGTGCCGAAGTAGCTGTAACATGGAGGTTTCTGCCTGAAATGAAATCAGATTTTTGCTCCCGAATATGGAAAGTGGCATAAGCATAAAAACTAAAAAGGCCCAAAATACCCTTGAAAATGGCAAAGCGAAAATTGAAAATAAGGTTAAATGGCACAATAAGGTGCATATTACTTTGCATGTGACCTTTAAGGACTTATATAGTGTCTAAACATTTTGTTTATGAAAGATAGCTGAAAAGAGTGTCTTAATGACTTGACTCTAATCGAAGTGTATGAAATTATTCTTGTTACCACCCAGGATTCATTGCCGTGTGATAACTACTTAGCTACATTTACACCATGAAGCTGTTACAGGTTGCTTTGATGTGTGGCTTGATTGGTAAGCTGACAGTTTCTGTTCCACCAGCTTTTATTTAAAAGCAAGAGGCAAATTAAGAAATGCTGAACAAACCACCTAAACCAAACCCTTTATACTCATTAATTTACAAACTAGAAGCACATCCCCTCCAAATTCGTACAAATCCAAACCCCCAAACCCCCACCCACCCACATTTCCTTTGAGAAAACATGATCGTATAGTGTAACCAACAATAACTATTCCTCGCTGATGTAAGCAAGGAATGCTCAATTTATTTTCGTACTTAAAATTGATTATGATAATGCGGAGATTAATATTGGCTATCAGGTCCTCATGTTTCATTCCCTTAAAATAATCCCACAAAATTGGCAGAAAGGGGCAAGTTCCCCCCTCCCCCGCTGGAAGCTCACCGGTTCTTCTCCCAAACGAAAAACCAACAGACCTACATATTGGACTCATTTACGCGTCTCGGAAAAAAAATATTACGTCCCGTTTTAGGTCAGACATTTAACAATTGACTACTGCAATGTGAGATATGACGTTTTGAACGCCCGAGGGGTGCATAGCACCCGAGGCAAAGCTATGCGTCCCGAGGGTGTTCAAAACGTCATATCCCACATCACAGCAGTCAACAATTGTTTTGTTATGCCTCTGTCTTGGATTCTTTGGCCTTTGAATAACACGAAAACAAACAGCAGTAAACACAACAATCATGGCAATCGAACGTCAACTCACATGCATGTTGCGTACCGTGCTCGAAACAGCTGGTCGTCTGCTAGTTCGCTGCTCCCACTCGTGTGTGAAAACATGGTGAAATTAGCGTGGGTACCAACGATACAAGCATCACACCGTACTACGTACCGTACGTACAAACTCACGGCACACTCACTGTGGGATATTACGTACGTGATATCCCACAGGAAGAGTGTGTCATGACTTTTTATAAACTTAACACGTGATCGTTCTAGACCAATGAAAATACAGTATTCAAGACAGAAGAATAATAATTGAATTTCTCGTTTTTATGTCTCTTGTTTTTTTGTTGTACAGGCGGTATCTTGGGGCTCGAATGTTGGAATTGTCTTAACGCAGCAGGCCTAGGTTCTGCTGCTTGCCACGATCCGTTCAACACATCTACCACTGATCCTGCGATCACAAAAACGACATGCACCACTGGATATGATACCTGTGCTGTGAGTAATTCTCATAAATAATTAACTTATTCAACACCTATTTTCGACGCATGTTTAATGACCAATATTTTAATACCATTAAATTAATTTATTGAAAAAAAATACTCAACAAGTAGGTGAAAATTGTTAATGTTGTCAAAAGTGGACACGCAATGTAGTGTACGGAACAGCCGCTCGCAAGCAAGCATTTATGATATTCTCGCAGATTCGGCGAGTATGTAAATTGACCTCCAGATTCTGACCATTCAGCGGGCGCCTTCTATCGGGTCGTCGGTAACCCGTTGTATACAACAACATGGCAGTCAATTGACCAATTGAATTTCTACTCGAAATGACGTCACAATTTTTAAATTGGCTGACGCTTAGGGTCGCATAACATTTGCATGCTCGGATATATCAGACGTTCGTACGTATAGTGTGGCTCTAGCACATGTGAACGCCTGATACCCAGACTAGGGCAATGTTCGTTTCACATCAAAGTGTTATAGGATTTTGGTGAACCACATTAAATGGTGAATATAGCCAGCTCGTGTGGGTTTTTTTTTCGAGCTGTAAGTTGTGTACAAAGCCGAGAACATGTTCAGGTCAGTGATTGGAGTCGAGGTGCACGCATATTGGGGTCGATGATGAAATACCTTTTCCATCTGTTTGTGGAATACCAGATCCTATTGTGCTCGGTAAGACAGTGAACCCTGGACTCGTAGCACACGGCTATAATACCATTGTCATGTTGCGGCCATCTTGATCCCCCCCCCCATTTAAATCAATGTAATCAAAGCGAGGCTGGAAGGACAAATAGTCTGGTTCCTTTTTGTACAACAAATAATCATCATTCAGTATTTTTATTGGATACAGGGGACATGACTGAAATGGTGGGAGCATGATAAAGGCACATTTACATGGAATGTCAACATCACGCGCGGCGCCGTGCGCGGCAGGCAACAAAATCAAGCCAATTAGGCCTACCAAGACTTAAATTTCCAATCTAAGCTGTATACGTATGGCCCTTATTCCTTGCGTCATTTCCATCAGTGGGAGTTGGTTTACTGTTAATAGTAGAATCATTGTTTGTGTGGTCCATACAGAAAATATTCTACGGTTCGGGAAATACCAGAGCTATGCTGAGACAATGCTACCTGGGTGCGGGTTGCCCCTCGCAGAATGGGTGCGCCTCAGGCTCCTACGAAGGCGAAACTGCGACATTCTGCTGCTGCAATGGGAATCTCTGCAACGGAGCTGGGTCGGTGTCGGTGAATCTCCTCACTACTGCGGCTGTATGCCTGGCTGCCTTATTCGCTCTGTACTAGTGAGTGAATCCACCAGGAAGGCCAGTGGTTATTGGGGTACGGTCCCGTTTAGAATTTAGCATCCGTAGCATGCTTTGCTAGTAGGCGTTTGTTGCACACGCATTCTTCATCTAGAAAGCGCTGTTTTTTCTCCTCAAAATTATTGAGCTTGAGTACCCGTGTTAGAATGGAGCATTCTCCGTGCAGAAAGAATTAAGAACTAAAGGTCGGTTAAATCATTTTGCTTCCCCCAAAAAGGTTAGATTTGAAAAATCCATAAGTGGCATACTGAAATGTGCTACGTGATTAGTGTACATGTGAGGTCTGACTGTAGGCCTATGTAATGTCAAGGTGGTCTACAAAGACAAAAAATCGGGCGATTTGAGTAGGCCTAACCAGTACACTTCTGTTCACAAATTTAGCAAAACTTTCCATTTATAGTCTGACGAGCATCACCGAAGCACTATAGTCGGGCTTGCTTGAATACAGTTCTAATCAACGGTCCTTTTATATTTGTTTGTAAATGAGAAATAGTCCTTCAGGTTTATTCAACAACAACAAAAAGCGCGAGTCCCAAAAGACATTTTAGTCTCCGTGTTTAACTTTCAGTTTTGACCCAATGACCGCCACAAAATTATTTCATAAATTTTAGTCTTCTTACGAGTGCTGCGAGTTCCACTAGTCCACATGTATTTTTAGATTTTAGGACGGTCAGGGGTCAATTTTAAGCACGATATTTCTCTTCCACGTCATGCAATGTTTCAGTTTCCATAAATCGACAGGCTAGTAACAATTTTACGAAGGCCTTTTCCGAGAGTGATTTTCTCAAGGAAGCGACGCACCCAAAATATTCGTCCAAACTCCAACTTTTACACGCTAATTTTCATATTCGAGGGTCCGGAAGCGCGCCACCAGGGGTCTATTCTCTGAATAGCATCTGACACCAGGAGGCGTTGTTCAAAGCGATTGGAACTGTAGGGCCTAAACGATCTGACACTAGGTGGCGCTGTTCATAGCTAATGCCCTATCCGGCATGTACTTCTTCTGTTATCCGCCACCCTACCGTGGGTGCAATTCGCAAGCGGGTGGCTTTCTGCTGAGAGTTGACGACGCGTTCACAAAGATGGCGGTATCCGTGAAACGGTCTAAAATCTAGTCACCTGACCCCTCCGGCGATGTTCGTGATCACTTCTTCTTAGTTGAGTCTTAAGTTACGTATTATGCAAGTCACTAGGCCTATGCATCAGTGAGAAGCAATACAATTTGTATTTTACACTAGTGAAGTCTAGTATTATAATATTCTCGTAAGTAAATATTCTTCTTCCTATGATCTAACTGCTTTTGTATAGATTCATTTACTCTGACTTGTACAAGCAATCACATCACCTCTTGTTTAAAGTCCTTTATAGGATCATTCGCGTTCATCCCAATGTAACTATCGAATTATTATCAAACATGTACTTGGATTAAAGATCATGTACTGGTACTAAACGCCCAGTGAAATCATTCCGTCTGGCTTGCTGTCATTTAAAGGAAATCAATTTAGAAGTGAGCGTGATTTCCAACAATCAGTCAATTGACTGATTTTTGGAAATAGTGAGTGCTGTGGACGAAATCACGTTTCGTGATCAAAAGGTTGTACACAGCATTCACTGTTTTTTCGAAAGGTGTACTCTCCACACAAACTAACAGGTTAGGATTTAAGAATTCTTCATTTTGGAGTGGTGTTATGCTTGGAAACAACAAAATGCATGAAAAGCAAATGATCATATGCCTTTAAAGCCTTCCAAATTATTCAGCCAAGTTATTCTGCTTATACTACTGTTTTCCATCGCATTTATTCTTAATACTCAGACTTTACTATTAATGATTAGTTTAGTTTAAAATTCGTAAAAGCAATTTAATGGATCAAGGCTGAGAATCTTAAATCCTATGAAGTCTTGAAGAAATGTATAACCATAAGAAGAGGTCTGAATTCATTGTGTAATCATTGCCAAGTGTTGTAGGACTAATGGTCAAACGTCCTGAGACATTGACACGATTATTTTGATCATGAAACGAAAAGATCGGATGACTATTGAGACTCGTACCAAGATCAATGTACCGAAAGAAGTTGATATTGTTCTTTACCATTAATTTCAGGTGGGGGATACCGGGTTGCGGTTATATTTACTTAATCACAAAATACAGTTTTGGGACACATTTAGAGTGATTTGCATTGTAACAATGCGATTGTATCGAACAATAATTTTAGGTTTTTATTGTCTTTGCTCTTCCGCATATACAAAATTGTTTTAACGGTTAATATTAAACTCGTGTAAACTTCAACATTGACTTACACATTGTGTTACTTTATACACAACCAGTATATTTTTTTTCGCATTTATGTACAGAGAACAATGTTACACATGAATAAATGATGACCGGGGGAAAATATACCAGATTTTGTGATTTTTGAATGATTTCCGAAGTGTTCTTTTGTTATTTTAATCATAATGGAGAGGAGAGTTGGAATTAGCCGAGGGATGCGAATGGTGAGATGTCGTGCATTAAGGATCACTGTAGTGTTATTGCTAAACATCATTTGCATTTATCCCAAAAGTATAGCTACCGAACTATTTTCAAAAAGCTCACTAAGATTAAAGATTGTATACTGCATGTGCATGGTGCTAAACACCCTATGACATTATTCCGTGTGGCTTAATGTAGTAGAAGAAAGCAAGAAATGTAGGTGATTTCCAACGCTCAGATATTTTTGGAATGATTTTTTTTAAGTAAAACGTTATGTAGACGAAATCGTGTTTCGTGATCAAAATACTGTGTATAGGTTTTCCCTGTTTTCTCGACACGTGTAATATCCACTGAGCTGAAACTTCAACAGGTTATGTTTTGAACATTCTTCTTTCGAGTTTAAGTAGTGGGGTTATTGGGAACGAACAAATTGCATAGGTCCTACAGCAAATTTGGATCCTAAATATGCCTTCAAGTTTTTTTTTTTTTTACATTCTTTGTCTAACGGCGGCTTGAAATATTAAATACTGGCTTATTATAATAGCAATTGTGGATAAGCCTAATTCGGAAGTCTTACGTAGAAACTGCCTTTTCACATTTTTATAATTTTTACATGAAGATAAAGAGGTTCAAACGCTTCGGAGCAGGATTTCAAAGGCGTGGAGTTTTTTCAGAAAAAATTAAAAAGCTTAATTGTATCTGATACAAGAATACGCTCCCATGAAATGTTTACGTCTGGGTGTATTTACGTTTAGCATGTTTACTTCGTGTTTATGAAACATCTATGCATCGTGACCCCGTGCTCGGGTCAACTGGAAACACTATAGTGTATTCTATCAGACAACTCGTCGTGTTTAACTTGAATCAAACAGGAACACATCATAATACATGTAGTGGCAATACCCGAGATGTATATACGGGGTTGGGTAGCCTAGGGCATTGTCGGGGTAAACTAACGGTGATATTTGTCTTTACACAGCGTGTTTACGTGTTTACACTTGGCGGGCAGACGGGCATATGATACGGGGGGTAAGTCGATGGTGGTCCGTGGTCCGGTACACACCGGGCTAATGTTTACGGCAAACTACTCGGGTTTGTAGCCCCGACAATCAAAGAAACTTTGGCTTGGCCTCGGCGGTTGTGTTTCAGAAACAATATCTGTGGCAATTCCACTCCCGACAAAAGCGGATTGAAACTTGAACTTCAACTTGACTTGGTGGTACCATACACGGTTGTATTCCGGTCAAGTCTGACATTGAAACCGTTTTATGTTGCTTGTGAAAAATTGCAAACATAGAACAAAGTATCGCCTCTTCAGGGGCGGATTTAGCTTTCATGAAACGGGGGGGGGGGGGGGCAAACGTTTTGATACGAAGGGGTGGTTGAGTAAAGGCGTGCCGGGGAGGGCGGTGGAGGGGCGTGACAATTTTGAAATCTACGATGCCTTCTGCATTCTAAGGCAATTTGAAAATAAATTTACGAACTTTAGCATTCTATTCATTATTTGTGGCCCTATTTTACAACTTAGTATCTTAAAATAGTCAGCGGATGAAGGGGGGGGGGGGCTGCAACCCCCGTTATTACTTTTTGGTTTCAATTTGTCCAACCCAATAAGTGGCTCTTTGTAGAGCACAATAGCTCCGGTCGTACAAAAGTTATCGGGCCCTTTTCTAAATTTGGTACTACCAATTAACGCAGATTTCCGCCTCTCTGGCTAGCAACAAAAGGTACTATCCGTAACAGTTTTCTGTCGCACTTTCATGATATTTTATATGATTTTTGCGCTGATTATTGAGAGCGATTATTGTCATTAGCTTGACAACTGTACCGTGTGCTAATTACCCAGTTAAAGGGAATGTACAACATTTGTTTTTGCTGCAATTTTCAGAAATAAATGGATTTGGAGGATTGGTATGTTATAGAAAATATTGTTAGACTGACTTAATTCACGTTTTGGGCTTGTAGATGCTGGAAAAACTAAGAAAACCCATCATATGCTTGTAGTCTGGTTCCCTGACCCCACTTAAGATGAAACGGAGCAATTAATACACTTTGGGGAATATTGTAAGGTCAGAGAATAAGTTTAGCAGGCTTGTACCCCTTCACAGGTGTGTAATCAATTGCAAAGAAAAGTCAATATAACTAAGTGTGAAAAAATAGGAACAGTTTTTGAAAAAAAGCCAGTTTTCTCCAACGCTAGTCGGCCGACTAGCGTTGGAAAAATACAGTTTTTCTTGAAAATGTCAGCACACCAGGAGCCACGATTTTAAAGGATGCTTTAGACTATCATTCCCTAACAATTCAGTAAGGTATTACGTGATAATTTGATCATTTCGTTCTTTGATGTTTGCAAATGTTGTATCTTCACTTTAATGATTAAGATCACGAAAACATGGCTCAAGGTTGGGGAAGTTTCCCCCTTGATGATCGACTCCCCTCTCGCTTCAAGCCCGGCAACAAACGCTATCTCGGGCCTGATTTTGTAATCTCAATTTGCCAAGCCTCCTATTTCGAACTGCCGTTGTTTACCAAACTCATCTCGCTATCTGCCAAATGAAGCATAAACTGACAACAGATTCCTCCATGCGCTTCATCGCAAGATCGAGTGGGTTAATATGGGTCCAATTCCATACACGTTTCACAGATGGTACACAAAGTACAAGTTCATTGTATAACGCTTGGATCGTCCTTCTTTTTACAAATTCTAGTGCCTCAACCATGGAACCCTCTAGGTTATGAGAGCAAATGATTGGGCTCGGCATGGCAATTCTGGGCCTATATGGCTGCATACCATATGTAAATCCCCATAGACACCAAGGATAAATATGCCCCCCCCCCCTCCTTTCAAAACATAGTATCACAAACTCCAAGATGTTAAAGACGTACATCAAACGAAAGTGTGATTATTTACCCTTTCTCACTTTCTGTTCATTTTTTTGCGGGGTTTACCGATGCGGTTGATTTTTTCCTCCAAGGAAGGCCACCCTCAAAAAACAGTCCTAAAGTTCATCGCCATTTTGAAAATGATCAATCCATCTATTGCAAAATAGAGAGACTTTCCGGTCAAATTTCATCCAAATTTTCCCTGTAAATTAAAGCTTTATAGTCCGGACTATATCTTGGACCCTTAATGTTTATACGTCTGCAACCATATTTTTACTGATGACCACTCGTCTGATATCATCAGACATTTTATGATGCGGCACTGCTGATGATACGACCATCAGACTAATCGTGTTTGACAAACATCAAGGTTTGATTATAACCGTACACCAAACAGCACCCTGTGTAATTAACAACCTCAACCATGTTATAGGTACAGCAATGCAGTAAGGTTGTTTTGGTCAACTATATCAAGTTTCCCGGTAGCTCTATGGTTTCTGCCATGCACACGGGGATCGCGTAATTCAGACGGGTCGAGACGCCAGAAAGGCCCGACCATGGCAACTAATCCCGGGGTGTGCCAGCTCAGATCATGGAGAAATAATTCTCATGCTCAGATATTCCCCTCATTTTTAAAAAAAAATTTGGGGGGGGGTTAGATCTACCACGGTGGTATAGCGGGGGCAGCTTGCACAGTTTCAATTTAAAGATTATATTTGCAACAGCTGTAGTCAAATTTGATTGAAAAAAATAATTGCAAAATTTGACTCACAGATGGGTCAAAAATCAGTTAAAATGGCTTATTATTCCGAAATTTGTCATTTTGTTAGCTTAACAAAAGTTATGAACTCTCCAATGAGACATTGAACGAAAATAATGGTGCACGCTTATTTATGGGTGTTTTTCAATTCATCCTTTCGTTTAGGTATACATTATTGTGCATACAATTTGAACGTTGTGATGACGTCATCAATTATTAAATTACAAGCGAGTTTAGTTTAAAAAAACTGACCGATTTGTTTCAACGACAACTCATACGAAATGAAGAATCATGTTCACACTTGTGCTCTCTAAATTGTGAAGAGAGTGAAAATTCACTCCATTCGAGTGAAGATTCACTCCCATCACAGTCGGAAACTAGGGACTAGACGTTTTAGAGTGAAATTTCTTCAATCGTAAAGATCGAGGTTTCACTCGAGCTTCGACTGAAGTGGTTCATGTCAATCGAAAATGAGAGTGATTTTCACTCTAAAACGTCTAGTCCCTAATTTCACTCTTTGGAATTTAGAGAGTGATCTGAGAAAAAAATGCCTTGATGAACATTTTTGGTTATGTCGCTTGAAGTATACTCCCTGAGTTAACGGAAAGTGAGTTAAAATTAGGTGAGTTCAAAATACCTAATTCCAACGCTAATTTGAATTTTCTTTTGATAAGGCCAAAAAAAAAAATAGTTCTGCTTCCGATTACATGGCATTCGGAAATAGGGTAGGTAGGTAGGTAATTTTTTTTTTGCCAATTTTTTTTTGTGCACGATCATATTGAGGCGTCTGCGTGTAGTCAAGGGTAAAAGGTATAAAGTGATGGTTTTGGGTGTTTTTTTTCTCATTTTTCCAATAAAACAAATTAGGGTAGGGGCTGTCAGAATAGGGTAGGTAGGGAAACCGAAGCAGAACTATTTTTTTGGGCCTAACTTAGCGTAAGTTAGCGCGGACCAATTAATATTCTTTCGCTCAATGTCCCATTGGAGAGTTTATGACTTTAAAATCAATTCAATAATACCCGTGAGAGATAAGCCTACAACTATTTTGACTGATTTTTCACCACCATCTGCGCGTAGTCAACCAACTGAAGTCCATCAGAGACCGCGCCAGTGGGGCGGTATTGGTGTGCAGGCATATAGGGTGCAGGTTCCACTGAGACGCGACGAGTCTGTCTCGTGGAACAAACCGGGGTGTAGCCTCCATGAACTATGAAAATATACAAGTTGTAATGGGGTGAAACTCTACCCCAGTCGCCAGTCAAACTGACTGACGGGTCCTTTATAAGGGATTATTATATACGGCTGCGAAAAACAAGAAAAAAGGAACGAGAACGCGTAAGCAGTTTTGTTTTATAGTTAAAAGGCTTTAATAGAGAGCTTACTTTTTAAAAGACATTTAAAATTGTATTACTCGAGATGAGGGGAAAACCTGATAAGCAACCAAAATACGAGAACTTAAATTGAGAAACTCCCCCCCCCCCCAAGAAAAAGTGGTTAATTTAATTTCGGAGCCGAAGCACCCGTGGTCTCCTTTGTGGGAGGAATTTAAAATATATATAGTTGTTTTTTTAGAGCCTCAGACTTTGAATCTGATCTAAAATTCATTAATCGAAGTGCATTTGTGAAATATAAAAGTTTTAAGACGGAAAATGAATCATGTTATGAGTTCATAAAAAGGCCTTAGTGATTTCTTGATATTTAAACACTAAATTTGTATTTAAGGTTCTACTGTGAGCAAGAAACTGCAAATACAATTTGTTTCTCTTCAATTCGTCGTTTTTAGTGTCTGTCAGTAGATACAATGAAACTTTAACGTTGAAATGACCTTGTAATCACCTTATAAAGCATACAAAAAAAGGGCGACAGAGATTTTATAAATACATGTACTTTATTTTAATGATACCGCATAGCTTATATCTTTTGTATTGTAAATATACAAAACAAGTCTGAGTATAAACACAAAGAGACCAGATAGTTAGATATTCCATTTATTTACAATATCGATAACGTGGGACAAGTATTCCGCAATCTGAAGTCATTAACGTTTATCGAGACAATGTTGTGTCTAGCAACAGAACTATTATCACAATACACACGCCATTTGGATGTTTGCCGATACCAATGTCCCATGAGAGGCTACGCACACCGAAGGAGGAATGCAGACGCGCAATGACGTAGAAAGTAATCGGACAGATGTGATTGGTCAGTGAAGTGCGTGCGGGATAACTTCGGCAGAGAACTGGTCTGTGATTGGCTGGTCGGCTACCTGCAGCGTGAGTGCCCGCGTGGATGCTGCAGTGTATCGGGTTTAATTAAAATAGCGAACACCTGAAGCAATTTTAAGCAAAACTCGGTTAGGTACTTGAAATATCTACCGACTTTGCAATAAATGCATTGAAGTTGAGAACCTCCTGTATTAACTTCTTGTTATGACGGAAGTGCAGAGGGAATTATAGTCATAATGCACCCTGCATTTCACAGTATGTACCCCTCTGTCGGTATGCAGCAACAAGCCATGGCTACGGGCTACCTCACGGGGTCTGCATTTGATTACAACACTTATCCCCGTCGTCAACCCGTGTGGCTCGGGGGTACGTCCGCCGCCTTCACGGCCAACCCGCCGGCGTACAGTCTGGGCTCGCCGCGGCCTGCTGCGCCGTCCCCGTACATGACACCACCAGCGTGCGGTGCTAGTTACCACCAGCTCCCCACGTCGCCTCATCACGGCCCGTCAGTCGGCGCGGCGCATCAGTACTACCCATCGCCGGGGTTCCCCTCCACGGACTTCGGCTGGTTATCCCTGTCCACGCAGCACGAGCTCTACCAGATGGTCAGACCGCCATATTCCTACTCGGCACTCATCGCCATGTCCATCCAGTCCGCCTCTGAACGGAAGATCACCCTCAGCGGCATCTACAAATACGTGGCCGAGAACTTCCCCTTCTACAAGAAGTCCAAGGCCGGCTGGCAGAACTCGATTCGTCACAACTTGTCGCTCAACGATTGCTTCCTGAAGGTGACCCGGGCAGACAACGATCCTGGCAAGGGGCACTACTGGACCCTTGATCCCAACTGCGAGAAGATGTTCGACAACGGCAACTTTCGCAGGAAGCGAAAACGCCGAGAAAACAACAGTAAGGCCGACAGTCAGGAACTTCACAAGAACTCCAAATTGTCCACACTCGCTGACGATGCTCTGATGACCGGTTCCGCCGGTTTGACGAAGCTGTCTGCCTCCTCGCCTGCCGCTACTCCTCCGGGGTATCCCTTCCCGAACCCGCTGGGACATGGTGAGATCGCTGACCCACTACCGGACCACAAGCCGTGTCTCTACCAGTCCGCGAAGAGCGATAACCTCCTGGCGTCTTTTGCGGCATTCGCCAACAAACAGTTTGCCGAGTTCGAGCAGCAGGCAGGAGACGGCAGCAAGGCGGGGACCGAGACGCTTGTGACGACGGCAGCGGGCCGGGATCGGTTTAAGCCGGCCTGCGATAGGGCCGTCCCGTCCGGTGACTCCACCGGCGGGTCGGGACAAGGGAACGGCGCACAAGGTGCTTCACGTTATGGGTTCAGTGTCCGAAGCCTGCTTGCATACCCGCACCACAACATGGCAGACTGAGGAAGGATTAACAAACTGCAAGCTCCGGAGGAATGTACATTTTTAAACAGTTACTTTGAACATTTTCTAATATTATGTTCTGGGTTGTACGAAAGTACGAAACCTAGGGAAGATTGATTTCTTCAACAGTTAACTTTTGCCGAATGAAAAAAACTCATCCCGGCCGGGCATTTTACTTCATCTTACTCGGTTGTGATTCCGATGACGTCACTCGAAAGAAAACGTTTCAAAGCTTAAAGGTAGATAGAATCATTTGCATTCTGTGCATTTTTTGTTCGTTTGATTCCGATAACGTCACTCGAAAAATCGAAAGTTTCAAAGTTAAAACAGGTACATCTTTTTTGTGCACTGTTTTTTCGTTTGAAGCAACAAAATTGGTAAATCGTTTGTAGGGTGCATAACAATTAACCTGTTTTAAAAAAAAAATGTCCGCGGAAGATACTATATATTTTTAATAAAAATTGCTACAACAACTCGGGGCTTAAATGCTTACTAGCAATGAAATTTGTCATATTTGTTCAATTTCCATGTCTTGTATCACGCCCTTTGGAGTCAGCGGGATATTTAAGTAGGCCGAACAAGCACGTTGCTGCACGTAAGGATATTTCCAACACATGTACTAGAAATAAAGTATCATTCATTGGGTTCGGCGGAAACCTGGACGTCTAAAGTTTGCTGCCTGTTCACATCCGATAACTTAATATTGGTGGTATACCTGTAAATAAATGCATTGCAAAATGTCCACCTATGAAATTATGAAGATTTTTTACGTTTGTCTGTCATTTGTCTGAATTAAATGCTGGCATTGAGCCATGGCGTCTTCGCCGTACTACTTTTCTTTTCCAATAAATGCACAAGTTAAATGAAGGTATAGGTGGGGGCCGGCTGACGTCATCATCCGATGAAAACATCTACATGTATTCATTTGCCCACCAGTTTTCATCGGTTGCTATGTGTTACCATTCAGCACTCCAGACTCAAGAACCATTGAGTTTCAAGAACATAAGTCTGGGAGCTATTAAAAGCCAATGTACAAAATTCCCGGATGTCCGCGCCAACCTCTATTTACGTTTCTTTAGATTTGTGATACATTTCTGTATAATAATCTACTTAGAACTGAAAATACACGAATCGTACGGGGTTTACCGACACCCCCACCAAAACAACCTGTTAAAACGTCCACTTTTAGGTGCATTGTAATGGACTAAAACGGACTTGGATATTTAGTCATGCTAGGCTAAATATAATATTCATGGTTTCATTTTGGAAATTGAATAACTACCGTTTTTTGTGGGGGTTTTAGTGCTACTTTTGGAAGTTTTAAACACTCTGAAAATAATTACGTTTGGATTGGTTTTTAGCTGCGGGATAGAAGCTCAATTTATCATCATGTCTCTCCGTTAGTTAGTCAGTAACAAACGTTGACATTGTCTGTTGCTTCATATTTTGACTAATTTCAACCAAACTTTGTCAAAGTATCACATGGTACAATCCAGTGTTGTAGTCGAGTACTTTTCCACGAGTACGAGTACGAGTACTTTTCGATGAGTTCGAGTACGAGTACTTTTCGACGAGTACTACAACACTGGCAAAATCACGTGACTCGTGCATGAAAACGCACTCGTTGGTCCACAGCTTCCGAGATCCGATTGAGCTGGGTTTTTTTGTGGTAAAAACGATATACCTGATTTATTTTCGGGCTACAGATAATTCGAAATTTACTTGTAATTTATAAGTATTACAAATGCAATTGTTAAAAATGTAAGTGGATTTTTGTTTGATGTCTTATGTAAAAAAAAGAATAACTTTTTGTGTTGCTATAAAAATAGCAATTTACAAATGTACACACAGACTGTTTTTCAGGGCGACATTCGAAAACAGTACACGGAGAACACTTATTCCACTATTTGTCAAAACTTCAAAGCAGCAACAAGACACTGGAAAGGATTCCGAATCCAAGTTTTGTTTAATCCAATGCAAGGCTATACAGGGTAATAGTTTATTAAAGTGTTTTTAAAACTGGTAATAAAACTTACATTTCGAAATTATTATTTTTGTCTGTCCTTGTTAGCTCTCGTTGTGCTAAAGCATTTGGTTGTGCATCTACTACAGTGCAGAGATGCACTTTTGTTTCAAAGGCATTTAAGGATCATTTGCAAAAAGTCAAAAATGAAACTGCCAAAATATCATAGTACTTGGCTGGATGTATGTGATGGGATCAAACATCGTGTGAAATCGTTGTGCCTAGTATGCTCTCAGTTTAAAAAAAAACAGGAATAAATCATCCTTTCCCTCGATGGTTATGACCCAACCATTGCGTTGTCAATAGAAACCTGTGCTCTGCGTTGGGACAAATGAAGATGCATTTTCGCACTTTTCTGAAAAAGTTCAATATCCACTGAGCAGAGACTTCCACAGTTCATGGTTTTAAACATCCTTTGGATTGTGAGTGGTGTTTTATTGGAAACAAACAAAATGCATGAACAGCAACTAATCCTACATGCCATCAATACATCTTAAACCCCCCAAAAACTCCTCATATGTACATGTACATGTAGTTAATTGGGTAAAACGACACAGTATTATTAAGTACATAATCTTCATCTACATTACACCTGCAAGCAATGCAAATACTACAAACATGTACATGTATTTGGATGTTGTAACATCATCGCTAGGCCTGTACAGTAATGTTTATTAAATGTATGGTCCATGCCGGCTGTGCACTTTTAACTAATAAAAAAATGGATTAAAAAAAATCTTCCCATTTTGTTTTCTCTGTGAGTCAGGTTACAGGTTCATCACCCATTAAAAAAACAACCTTGTCTTATTTAGCTTAAATTAAGCATTTATTAAGCATGAGCAATACATCAATCTTTTCTACTTTGACTACACGAGCAATTATTACATAATTCAGAATTAGTTGATGCTTAATATCTCTCCATAAAAAGACTTATTTTGCAATGACATGAATTGGCTTTCAGGTACACTTCTACAGTAATCCATACAACAGTAGGCCATTTCTTCAGCTAGTGTACTTCATCAAGTACTTTCGTCGGTGTTGATGGGAGCGAGCACGTTTCTAGTCCGCCCAAAACCAGCTCTGAAAGATTGAAAGGGAAATAAATTGGTCACTCTTACATGGGATTAATCTAAAGGGGGAATTTAGTTCAGCCTAGTTAGTTGCATACCAGTATTCACAAGAGGACCAAACTAAATATGATACAGATTACGTAACATTGGGCTGGTAAACTTTTCACATTGTTCACTTCTTGTTTTTATATTTAATTATGAATGTTTGTTTACAATTGTGACATTCATATTCCTTTGTGTGCTTTAAATTTCCCGATAAACTGTGCTGACTCTGACGTTTCTCCTGGGTACTTCTTACTTATTCAGGATATTGAGTCTTAAGTATTACAACATGAACATCACCGAGACAATGTGATAAGACAGTAACTGACCTGGTCTTCTCGGTCTCCGACTCGCTGTCACTCAGGAGGGCTGCCATCTTGACCTTTGCACGCTTGCCTGACCGCTTGGGTCGGCGAGGTTGTACAACGGGACTCTCAAACACACTATTCTCGGTGTCACTGTCCCAAAAAAAAAAAACGAAAGAGAAAAAAAAGTGATTCAGGCAATCAAATGAGAAATAAACATGGGACACCACATGGCAGTTTTCTAAATGGGGATAAGATGGGGGAAGGGTGTGAGGGGTGGGGTGGGGGAGGGAGGGTGGGTGGGTGGGGGGTAAGGGAGGGCCTATGCCCAATTTACTCATGAGTAGGGAGAAGCAAGTTTGTCTTGTCTAGCATTGAAGACACTATCTCCAGTGCTACTCAGACCGCAGATCTTGAGTTTGAGGCCCCAGGCCACGGTGTATCACTTTAAAAAACACATTTCAACAAATGAGAACCTTGGGAAACATTCTGACACAATGAATATCAAACATTGTGGAATTGAACCACAGACATTTTTTTTTGTGCTGGCTATCTGCCTGTTCAACTCACTCTTCCTGTGTGACGGCAGGTGGTTTTCTGCGTGACCTCTGACCTCGGCCTCCTGTTCTTGGTGGCTGTGCTGCTTCTACGTAAGACACAATCAGACAAGGGATTATTTTTTTAAAGGTTTGAAGACAATTTTTCAGATTAATATCAGGCAAAAGATTACTTATGTACTATTCCAGGAGAACATACAAATGTTTTTGTTTTACATACAAAAGTTTACACAAATTATATGTTCCAACTTCCAACTCACATGTATACATATTAATAATTCCAACTACAAATTCACAAACTTGAAGGCTTATCACAACATCTCAACTCGGAGAAAACCTTGAAATATTTGAAGCTCCATTTAAATGTTGAAGCTGGGGTGCTGTGGTCCAATGGTTACGGTGTTCGACTCGTGTGCCTTGGTACATGGGTTTGAATCCTGACGAGGAACATGGGTGCTTGTGCTCTTGAGCAAGGCACTTAACCATTATTGCTTCGTCCTTCGGATGGGACGAAAAGCCGTAGGTCCTGTGTGTTATGTAATGCACGTTAAAGAACCCAGTAACACTTGTCGCTAAGAGATGGGGTTTGCCCCGGTGTTTCTGGCAGTGGCTGCAATATGCGCCGCAGCACCTTGTAAACCCTTATAAAGGTGCTACATAATGGGTCTCATATATCTCATAAACTTCATTTACCTGTCTTTAAAATAGACATAATTACCAGCGCCTTGAGTACCTAATTGTTGGTAGATACATGCGCTATATAAGACTCCGGTATTATTATTATTCTTAAGCTTTACTTGACAATATTCATACACAGTGTAAGTTGAAGTATATCACACAAGATGTAAACCTCAAGTTTTTCTTAATTTACAGTCAAACATTGGTATCCTCTTTACCGTCATCAACCTCATCATTGATTCAGGGTGAGGACAGTTGGTGAACCGTTGATGGGAGGAACTCGATTTACGACGGGGGATGGCAAAGAATAATTATGTACTATTCCAGGAGAACATACCACGTTTCTTTTTAAATACGAAAGTTTGTAAAAAAGTACGTTCACACTCACAAGTATTCATATCATTAATGATTCCAACTACAAATTCACAAACTTTAAAAGGCTTATCACAACATCTCAACTCGGAGAAAACCTTGAAATATTTGAGGCTCCAGTAAACGTATAGTCCCTAAGCTGTACTCGACAATATTTACACACTGGGCAAGATGATTTATATCAAACAAGATGTCAACCTTAAGATTTTTTAAATTGATAGTCACACAGTGGCATTTAGTTTACCTTCATCAGCTCCGTCACCGACGGTACGATTCACGGTAAGGACAGTTGGTGAACCATTGATGGGAGGAACTCGATCTACGACGGGGGACGTTACATCTTGACCCTGCTGATCAAGAGTCTGCAAAGGTTAAAACATTTAAAATTATACTTATTAAAACAACTTTTTTGTTCTGATCAAGTGAATTGCAACAGCAGACAAAACCTGCCCAAACCAAAAATTTCAAAAATAAACGTAAAACAAAAATCAAACATTGGCGGTAGATTTTATTGCTAGTCAATTTTTATTTCAGTTAAAAGTCAAAAGTGGATGGCAACCTTTTAAGTCCTTTTTGACTGAAACTAGAAAAAAACACACAAAAAGACAAACAAACCCACACTTTCTTTGGTTTGACTCCAGTTTTGACCTCCATTGCGATGTTTATACATGGAACAGGTGTTTGTTGTTGGATGGAGAAGGTAGGGTTGGGGGAGGGGGGTGGGGGGGGGGGTTTCAGGCAATGGCCAGCAAATTTATAACCAGCAGGGAAACATTGCTAATATTACAGTAACTCCCCCCCCAATTACTGTGCTTTGCTTCATACCTTGTTAACATTCGCTTCCTCGGTAGTTTGAGTCTCTGTCCCCTCCTCAGCGCCTGATGCCTGACCCATCTCTCCATTGTCCCCTGACGCCTGACCCATCTCTCCATTGTCCCCTGACACCTGACCCATCTCTCGATTGTCCCCTGATGCCTGACCCATCTCTCGATTGTCCCCTTCATGTGACTGGGGCTCAGTGGCATCATTGTCCAGCTTGGCGGAGCATTCCTGGAGGTTCTGACGGAACTTCTCCAGATACTTCTTGGCCATCTTCTCCTCGGCTTTCTAGGTTGGGCGACACAACAAACGGCGACGACAATTTATAATTTCATAGAGCAACCACCAAACAGAAGTAGGAATGAATGCACTCAACTTTCCATAGACTTTGTACACAACCAAAGAAGTGGCGTCTGGATACTACGTTCTTTCCCAGATGTCAATATTTGGATTTGTTATCAAATATTTTTTTGTTGTAAAGGGGATATCAATCTAAAGATCGATCATGATACGTCTAACTAGCCTTCTCTTTATTTTGAGTGACTTTCGCCCTGTACTTTGAGGGTCCGAGATGAACATCTTCGCACACGCTTTCTGTTGTTAAAAGAGTGTATTACTTAAAAATGTTTAAATTGAAGGTAGCATTGAAGCTAAGAGAGGACACAGTTTTGCTTATCATTCATGTCGGTGGAACAGAAATAAACAAGGATTTTCGTTCCTCCAATCGAGGAAACTTGTGTCTGCAGTGTCTTGAACCCTTAGGTTTTTTTCCTGCTACACAGATAAATAGGATGGCGTGATCAATAGCATCATAGTCTTGATCCAAATCTGGATTTGAATTTTGTTCCATTGTGTAACCGGTCATTGATAAAAAAGAACCAGCACATATGACAGGTATATTCAGAATTTTTTGGGTCTGCTGCTGCTAAAGTCCACAAGACTAGATTTGATTCATCTTGTTGACAGCGCCCTCTACCGGCTTGATCCCAGGGATCTAGACCGACCCCATTAGGAAAACAAAGGCCCCAATCCAGTCCTGCCTCACCTCCACCATTTGCTCGGCCAAGACGCTGAGATCCTTCACGATGTTTGCGTTGGAGGTGGATAGATGCAGCATGTTGAGGACCTTGCACAGCACCCGCACTCCAGGAGCTTCCATGTCGCCCAGGATCTTGTTGCACAGCTTCAGACTCAGGCTGTCATGAACGGAGCTTTCCTACGGGGTTGAAAACATAAAGTACATCATTTACTCACATTTTCTACAACTTTTGATGCAATGCTTCCTCAGGAAGATGTAGATTTTAAAGGACAAGCTAAAACTAAAACATAATTGAGTAAATGGACTTTAAAATTTTGAGTGAACTTTTTTGGAGATACGATGCATTCAAGATTGTTTAGTGGCCAGGGCTTTTTGGAACTTCAAATGTTAAGATGGTTTAACTATAGCAAGCAGTGCTAATTTTCTATTATTCCCCGATATTTATATCTGTTTATTATTGTGTAATGAATACTTTCATTGTAATGCATAGTGAGTCCACTTTAACTAAAACTGAAAATAAACTTTATCTACAACAGGTAAAATAACAAGGAATTGACACAAATTCCACACAGTGTGATCTTATGCCTGGCCCAAACCTAATTTTCCCGTCGCGATTGGTAACATTTTTTATCATGATCAACCGAGAATCAGCCCCAAGATGTACCTGCAGTGCCGTCTCCTGCCTCAGGTTGCGCTGATCCGTCAAGTGAACCAACAACTCTGCCACGTTATTCTCATTCACCTGGGCCAGAGGGGAGGTGGTCGGAGCATTGAACAGCGTGTCCAGGGTCGGCAGGAAGGCCTCCTCCACGCAGTCCTGGTTGGCTCTGGTAAAAGGACAGCGGCCAATATTACAGAGCTGCTTAGCACAAAATTTTGCTTAGCATGCAGAGTCTTCCTTGGCAAAAACAGGATTACCAACCAAATGTCCATGTGATGTTGCTTGTGATTGGTATTCAGCTGTTGTTTGCTTAGCATAAAAATCACATGGAGTTTTGGCTGGTAACCTGCTTTTATCAGGCATGCAACTGGGAATTTAGAAAAAAAAACGAGGAAACTTCAAACCACACAAGACTTTGTACAGTATTTTTCAATTTGTAATGGCATTCATGAGAAGTAAAAAACGAGGAAATCAGCGGATCCAAGGAAAAGTTGCATGCCTATTTTATAAGCCAGACTTTTTTGTGCTATGCAAATTTTTGTGCTTAGCAGCGCCATGAAATTGGCCCCAGATTAAGAGTTAAAATAAACTGCAGTTTCTAAAGGGTTCTGCAAAGCCACAACTAAAGAGACTCCAGAAGACTTTGTATATGGCTTTACAATTTGTAATAGCAGGAATAAGAATATAAAAAAAAGGGGAAAAAAAGAAATTGGGCGATCTGTCTAAAGACAAACTGAAATTCTTCATAATAATGAGAGACCAGTTCATGACAACTCAGTAAAAATCTTCGACATCTCAAAAAATAATGACAATTTTTGTTTTCATGTTTCATGAGTGACATTGAAATATAAAAGATAAGGTCAATAGGGACACAAGCTTAAAATGAAGAAGCAAGCTGTATTTGATTTCAAACTTTAAAGACCTTCAGAGACTTTGAAGGAAGAACAAGTTCACTTTGTGAGTGCATAAACTGTCACATTGAAGATATGGAAAAACAGTGTTGTCGTCTTTGATTATGGACTCTAGTGTAGGACAAAGTTTGATTGAAATCGGTCAACATAGGTAGGCGCAATAGACAATGTCAACGTTTGTTACTTACTAATGGACTAAGAGAGAGACATGATGATTTGTTGAGCTGTTATCCTGCAGCTAAAAAGTGCTTTGAGTTGTATTCGAGTACAAGAACCGAGTATGAGTACTAACAATGTTAGTCTTTTTCCTTTTTCATTGTCGAGGGATCATTTGTGTACAAAGTACCCCATTATTCCTTTGTGGAGAAAAGTTTGGGAAGCCACTGCAATCCCTTACCTGGCAGCAAATGCAAAGACTGGGAAGAAGGTCCCCAGGCAGTGTCTAAGATGAAGGTCTTCCTCCGTCGTCGGGTTGTACCACAGCAGCAGGAGACGAGACAAGAGCTTGGGGCTCGTCACGCGGCCAGAGAGGAGCAACTTAGCCATCCCCTCGGCAACAACGGTACGCACGTCAACACTCTACGTGATGAAGCAAATGATTTACGATGAGACTTAAATAGGACTAGAACCCTGGACCTCTAGACAACTGCTCCAGTGTTCTACCCAACTTTAATGGGATGTTTGATTGAATTATGAGTCCAAGGGTGTTAATCAGATTAAAATTAGAAGTGAGATCTGTCAGCTGACCTAGGCAAGCTCTGTAGTTCAGACGAGTGTTTAAGACAAATGCACTGATGCACCAAATGAAGGTAATGGGTTCGAGTCCTACCTGAGTAAGCCTGTGAATTTTTTCTCACAAGCTCTCAGACAGTACTGAGCATGTGTATGGACAAAATCTAATACTGGAATAAGTTTAAACTATCTTTGCTTTATTGGGTACTAGACAATACAGCTCACTCAAGTCATGTGAACATACCCTAAACACCCCTGTACCCGCTCCTCCCCCTTATCGCCCCCTTGGTCTGAACACCCACCTCGCTGTCCAGTAACCCAGTCGAGATGGCCAGCACGCTGCTAGCAGCACTCTCGTCCTGCTGCACCCCTGTGGTACTCCCATCTACCCCCTGTGGTACCCCATCTACCCCCTGCTTTGCCCCCTCATCACCCCCTTAGCCCGAACACCCACCTCGCTGTCCAGTAACTAAGTCAAGATGGCCAGCATGCTGCTAGCGGCTCTCTTGTCCTGCTGCACCCCCGCGGTACCCCCACCTACCCCCTGTGGTACCCCACCTACCCCCTGCTCCTCCCTCTATTCACCCCCTTGGTCCGAACACCCACCTCGCTGTCCAGTAACCCAGTCAAGATGGCCAGCACGCTGCTAGCGGCACTCTTGTCCTGCTGCAACCCTGCGGTACCCCCATCTACCCCCTGCTCCTCCACCTCATCATCCCCTTGGTCTTCGGCAGAGGCCCGAGAGTCACCGTCGCCAACTGAGGGGGCGCTAGTGGCAATCTTGAAAGCATCCAGACCGAAGGTGTGGAGGAGATCAAAGATGGACTGCAGAGCGGTCACCTGGATTGTTTCCTGGTCGACTTGGGAGATCTGCGAAGAAAATGACATGTTTTTGTTGTAGAGCATTATACTTTACAAGAGCATGAAAGTTCTGAAAACACAACAAGTATTTCACATTGAACACATCCAATTTGCCGGACATCAGTGGCACAGTTTTCACCTCTTCGAAGTGTAATTTCACAGGAAGAATTGCTCCCTGTTACAAAAGTGTTGGCCATGGCAACCACATTCAACACTGTACCGGAATTTTTAAGTAGACAAACTGCAATTCTGAATTTGAGGAAATGGTATCAATAAGTCATTATAAGCAGACAGTGCAATTCATGTTCAGGATTAATGTCTGCAACAAGCCAAAATTATAAACTTATGGAATATCAGAGATAAAGAGATGAACCGTTTGGCTTAAATACCAGTATTGCTCAGGATGATTTGGACTATATTATCATGATATCCACTGCACCATATATTCAATCGTAAGAATTCCAACTTACTTGCATGAGAAGCAGCAAGTGGCGGTGGGCAAAGTCACGGCTGAGCTGGGAGGCTAACCCGACGCATTTGACAGCCATGTTGCGCACGGACGGATCGGTGTTCTGGATCCCGGGCAACACCTGAAGTTTTCAAACAACATCAACAACGTGTTACACAAAATACACATGACACAAAATCCAACTGCTTGCTTTGTTTGATTCCGTTGGAGTGAGGACTGCACTAGTAAACTGATTGTGCTTTACATGGGGTCAGGCACACCACTGTAATCAGAGCCCAACAGTTTGGGTGTTGAGTTTACCGTATGGTGTTGGATTTTGCAGAGTGAGGAAGGATCCTAGTAAATCACTCATTTGGGAGTTAGGGTTAATCTAAGTAATCCTTTTGATAATAATTCCCTCGGCTGCATGCGAGATAAATGCAAATAATATTATATGACTGTCAACTTTAAAACTGAAGTGGAAGACGGTAACTTTATCGAGACTAACCAGAGTGTCGATCAGAGTCTGCAGCGTGGGACTGAGTCCCTTGGACGTCAGACGTTGGAGTATCTCGCTGGCGATGGTCAGACATTTCACCAAAGTTCCTGGATCACTCTGCAGGTTCAAACAAAGAGATGTTCATGTTTTTTTCAAATATGCCACTACTGGCCTTTTGCAGGCTGCGATCGTGATAAATTACATAATGCCGAATAAACAAAACATGTGATCTTGCCATAGTTTTGAAGTATCACAAAATACAAACAGAAAAACAGGGATGGCTTAACAAAAAAATAGTATCTCAGTAAAAAATGTTGATATAGGCACGGGCGGGCTGATGTCATCTGATGAAAACATCTATTCATTTGCAAACCAGTGCTATTCAACACACCAGACTCAAGAAGCATTGATGTTCAAGAACATAAGTCTGGGAGCTAGATGAAAAATTCCCGGATGTCCACGCCCACCTACACAGCTTTTGAACGGGAATTAAATTTTGCACTAAAACACTGTAAAGTTGACTGTTGCAAGTCTACCTTTTCCAAGCGGACCTCCCTGATACTGATGCTGGATTCCTCCAGCAGAGAGTGCTTGCTTGCCTCCAATTCAGTCACTAAATTCTTCAGCTCGGCAGCACGGCTGAAGTCTTCCATATTGACGCAGTCTTCCAGCGCATCACGAGCCTGGTTCAGCTCCACGCGCACGCTGGCCAACTGGTGATACAAAATTAAAATTGTCAGACATACATTTGGACAATTCAACAGTGTACATAATTATAGTAATAAACATACAGTGGATTTTAATTCTGATAAAACGTATCAGTTAGTTCAATTATTTAAAGAAGAAATTATTCCTTCAACTTCAATAAAAAAAAAAGGCTCAAAACACCATGGTGTCAGATGTACTAAAAACTAAGTGATTTTTTGTTTCTGTACCCATTTAATTATTTATTCGGTTGCAAGTAACAGCTGGTTTAAGTGTTAAACAATTAGATATAAGGGCTATGCATCGGAACCGGGTACCCGAGTACCCGACCGTTGATGTCAGAAACCGGTTCCAGATTATAGAATTGAGTACCTGTAAGTAACTTCACACATTACTTGGTAACTTCTCAGAAAATGAAAAAGAAAGGTTTTGAATGTCATTGGGGGAATTTGCAAAATGAAAACCAGGCTACATGAAAAAACAAAACAGATTCATGTTCATGACACGTGCGAAAATACAATTTACTCCGTAAAGCTAAAGAGTTTACTGTACACACTTGTATTTTGCTGTATTGATGCACCGATATGGTAGTATATTATTGTGGCAACCTTTATGAACAATGTACAAAACACAAGAATTCACAACTGGTTTGGAGGGAGTCTGTATCCGAGTTTGAAAGTCGTTATCTAACCTTGAGCTCTTTCTTGCGTTTCTCGCCCTCGGTAAGACTGGTCTCCAGAACGGAGATGGGTTCCCGGACGTCCGCGATAATCTCCGCCGTCAGGTTGACTTGTTCCTCGTCCCCTGGGTGCAGCGTGGTGAAGTGGGTTACCAGGCGGGGGACCAGGGAAGAAGGAATGTGGGGGGCAATCAGCATGTCCCGAATCATCACATCAAGGTGCTTTCTGTTTTATACAAACAAATGATGTTGTCAACCAAAGTTTTTGACCCAGAGATTTTCAAATACTAGAAGACCATTGCGAAGGGAGTCTTAAACTTCAAATGGCACCAAACGCTCATGCAAATATGCTACAGATCTGTGTATACAATCGGATTGAAATAGCCGTGCGTTTTTGCGCCAATGGTGCTCTCAAACGTGGTGACAAAGTAGCAATCCACTGTTCATACACGAAGTCCGCAATCTAAAGGATTCAACGAACCTGCCAACTTCATCAGAGAGGTCCAGGATCCCGCACAGCTGCAGCAGCTGCTGAGCCACAAACTCCTGCTTGAGTGTTTCTTCAACTTCCGTCTCGTTCAGAGCGGTGGGCTTCAGCTTCTCTAAGAAACTGCAAAAGAAATTTTTTCAAAATAAAAAAATGTTCAGAGTTTTCTAAAACAATGGTTTGGATGGAGAGAGGTACGAGTGTTTGCGAGTGCACTTTTGAAAATTGAGAAAATATAAAGGGTTAATTTTTTTTTCAAGTCTTGCCTTCTGATGTAGTTGGAGAATATCGTCACGTTGGGCAGCATTCTATCCAGCAGCATCTCTCCGTCTGCACCTTGAGCCTTCAAGAAGCTACACAGACACTGCCAATAGAGGGCGCTCTCACAAGTCAGCTTGTCTGCTGGGATGACATACCTGTTGGCATGGAAAAGGAAAAAAAACCGAAAACTTTATCTACATGTGGTTAAGGATGTTTACACACCTGAAAATGTAAAACGTGGCAAATATTGAGCCCTTAAAACTCATTTTGTGAGATACGGTGAAAATTGAAAGCTGAAGGGGATGACAATTATCGGCACTCGAAAACCAAAAAGTCAAAACTTTGTGGAAAGATGAGCAAGATTATTTACGTTTCATCCAGTAGGTCAAAGTTGTCCACCAGTTCCTGGGACTGGGCTTTGCGCAGCACGACGTCGAGGGCCAGCTCGGCCGTCTTGCAGGAGTTCTCCACATCCAGGCAGGCCAGAAGATCCAAGACGTTGCCGTCAAAGATGCGCAGCCAGGCCTGCAAGAGCTTGCCCGAGCAGGCATCCTTCACCGTGTCTGCAGCAGACAAGACATTGAACGACAGAATGACTTTAAATGCATAAATTATAGGATCATTTGCTTTTCATGCATTTTGTTATGTCCAATAGTAAATACCACTCAAAATCCAAAGAAGAACATTCAAAACCTAACCTGACGAAGTTTCAGCTCAGTGGATATTACACTTTTTCGAGAAAACAGTGACAACCATGCAAACCCCTTTGGTCACAAAACACAATTTCAGAGACAACACTGTTTCTTTAAAAAAATCAGTCAATTGACTATCAGTACAAATCACCTACATGTCTAGATTTGCGATACTATAAAGCGTAAAGGGTATTTATAAGCTCATGAGTTGTTAACGAGTCAAGTTCCCCACAAAGTGAGTGATTCCCTCGAGAAGTGGGCGACAGGCAACGAAGCCGCTTTTCCTACGTCACGACGAGGTGAAGCCTCATTACAATTAATGCTGACGGTCAGAGTTTCAAATTCTGTCTCTGACTTAAAATGCAGTTAGCGTGCCAAATTTAAGTGAGGAAAGCCATTTTTTGATATATTCAAACACATGTACACTGGTTCAAAAAATATCAGAATGAATCTGACTGGTTGAATTTTAGAATACTCTAATTGCAGAAGCCGACAGGCAATGAGCCATGTACCACCAAACTGAATAGAGTGAAATTGCAGGCATTCCTTTTCGTGTTCCTGACACTAACACGGAACAAAAAGAGGTTTAACAAACCTGAGCGATCAGTGAGTCCATCCTGCAGTAACTGGACACGCTGGGCAATGGTCAAGGCCTTAATGTGCACCTTCTCTGCTAGAACCTGTGTGGAGAATAAGCAAAGTTTGACTATGTTTACGCTAACTCCTCCAACATCTTCCACAATCTAGCGGGTTTTGGAGAATATATTGCATGATTTAGGATTAAACGCCTGTCCTCTATTCTTAAACATGGGTCTTGAGCCCTTTGGAAGATGGAGTACAAAGACGGTGCCAATATTTTTCCATGCATTGATTGACTTTTGACGATTAAGGAAAAATCCTAGTCAATAGTGCCTTCAGGGAAGTTCAGGGTCATTGAACAAACCAGAAAATAAATGCCGTTCCCTATCGCGTCTTGTGGTTTGTAGCACCCAGGAATCCTTTACCTTGGAAAATCAAAGTGACTTCTTATGCCGAGGAAAAAAGAAAGATTGTGTTTAGGGTAACGCCCTTAATACATATATTCTTACTATGTGTACTTTAAGATACCTTTAATGGTTGAATTGACCTGTTTAATCGTTTAAAGGGAATATACATCATTTGCTTTTGCTGTAATTTTCCGAAATGGATGGAATTGGGGGGTTGGAAATATATAGCAAATATAGTTACACTGACTTTTTGAGGTTTTTGGTTCGAAAATGCTATAAAAACCAAGAAAAACAATCATTTTCCTGTAGTCTGGTTCCCTGACTCCATATAAGAAGAAACAGAGCAGTTTACATACATTGGGGAATTGTAAGGTCAGGGAACCAGTCTAGCTGGCTTGTACCCATTCATAGGTGTGTAATCGATTGCAAACAAGTGCGATGGTCAATTGGGGACAGTATTTGACAAAAAGCCAGTTTTTTCCAACGCTGATCGGCCGATCAGCGTTGGAAATTGATACAAAAATAGCACTTTTCTTGAAAATGACAGTATAACAGTCCAGCAAGGTATTTCAAAATGATTTGGTAGTTTTATTTTTTGATGTTTGCAAATGTTGTATTTTCCCTTTAATTAACTGATAACCAGGACAAACAAAAATCTTGCTTGAGAATATCCTGTATTTTCAACATATACAGTATTTAAAGTTTTGGCCAAATGTGGCAATCGAAATTTGGAGGTCGGATATTTGGCCTAAAAAAATTCCAGGAAGGTCGGATTACCATAAACACACATTTTTGTTAAAGGCTTTACCAGGAAGGCTGTCTTCCTGACTGAGTCTTTGACATCGCGTGTGCGGTCCAGGATTTTGGGAAGTGTTCTGGTCGACATGGACAGGTTGGACAGCACAGCACGGCGGACTTCATAGTTGACGTCATGCTCAATCAGATGCAGATAGGCTGTTTGGCAAAGCACAAATAAACAAGAGAAATGAAGATCAAAAGTCACAGCTCTGAATAAGATGCTATAAACTGGGCTATAAATCAAGAGCTACAATGGTAAGAAAATCGAGGCCAAGTACATGGAGCTGCGAAGCACCGAAAATATTTGTATCGTTTCGGTTTGCGGTAACACCATGTGGTAATAACGACTGTCGCTCAGTAGACATTTGCTAACCATAAACGGGTCACCAGCCAAAGCGTCATGCGATGTACATTGCGAGTGACTGGTACCCAGCCCATTTTTTTGCTTGAACACATAGATTTGCTGGCAATATTTTCTTCATAGCCACAAAAGTTGGGCACTTCAACGTACCGGCTATAACTGGGCAGTCGGCGTCAGTTGGGTCCTGCAGCCGCGCCACGGCCGTCACGGCCTGGGTGCGGACAGCCGGGAACTTGTCGTGCAAGCGAATCAGCATGCAGTCGTAGATCTGCTCGAACAGGTCTTCGTCGATCTGCGCCTCATCGCCCAGGTTGACCAGCAGCTTATTGATCATTTGGCAGACACGGAAACGCACGGCACGGTCCCGGGCATTGTGATGCTACCAATAAGAATAAACATGGTGTATATTTAGTACTCTTATAAAATGACTCAAACCTCTTTAAAGTCGTAAGATCATGCTCAAAGGTACGGTTTTACTTTGGGCACGTGTGGTCTAGCGGTGGAGCACAGGATTCATGATCGTGAGGTTGTGGGTTCGAGCCCCGCCGTGACCATGCGTGTTGTGCCCTTGAGTAAGGCGCTTTACCTCAATTACTCCTCTCAACCCAGGTGTTAAATGGGTACCGGCATTATTCAATGCTGGGAAGGTAACAGACTCGCTGTGGAGGAGGTTTGGCGATCCCCCCACAGCAGCATGTGAGTCTGGCCCAATCGCTAATGAAAGAGAGATGGGCACTCCTTTCCTGTTAACACAGGTTCGTCCCCTTTACCTTTACCTTTTTTTAAACTAAATGTTCACAAAATTAAAGCAGAGTCACATCCTTAGTTATCAATTGATAGTCTTGCGAGTAGTACACACCTGAAACAGAAACGAAAACAGAAAGACCATGAAGTTGTCTGCCGGTGACTCGGCTGGTTCTTCCTCTGCTTCGTCCGCTGACTTTTCTACTATGGCAAACGACGCAGCAAACTTGGCCACAAAGTCCAGGGTGCGCTCGACAGCTGGCTCCCGCTTGAAGATGATCAGCGCATGCTTGAAGAAGCCCAGAAACTCTTGGTGAAATGCCGTCTTGTCATCAAGCTGTTTGGTGAAAAAGATGACTATCTTGTATGACTCATGAAAACAGGTATTTGAAAGTATGCAAACTTAACGATACTTTATAATAAAATAAAGTCACACAAGACCTTTTTACACAGCATTTTGCAAATAAAGAAAACATTTAAGAACAAAGTCAAATTTATACTCAATATACTTCAATGATTAAAGCCTTTTTTGAGAGACCTTGGGTTGTGAGTTCAGTACCTCATCATACGTAGTTCTGAGAGCAGTTGTTAGCTTGGCGTGGTTGTGGATTCCTTTCTGGCAATCCTCAAACACCTCCGACAGTGTCTTCCCTTTTTTGCTGGGCATGGCTGTAACACAAAAGAAATATTAAGGCTGTTTCTTAGCTCCGCACCGACTTACTGAACTATTTTCAGTTAAAAAAAAAAAAATCAACAGACAATGTGTTTGGTGCTGTATGTACTATTGGATCTGTCTTGTCTGTTCAAACGTTAGGCCTATTTGCTGTGCTAAACAACATGAACATAGTCCGAGTTTCAGACACTTATCTGTGCAGAGCCACTTCCGCGATTGTGTACAAAGTCTATGGAGAGTCAAGAAATTTTTTAAAGTATTTCTAGTATTATTTTATAACAAAATTGAAAATGTTTCTCAGTCCCAGATTCATGTCTTATCATCATTTTTGCAATGAAGAAAAAAGTGGCGTCAGGTTGTAACATTTCTCAACATGACAATTGAGGAAAGATTCTCATATCTGGCCATCACTTATTTTTCCCTTCAGTGACCTATCACTATCACTTTATCAGGTTCAGCCATCAGAAAGTGATAATTAAAATGTCCTTAAGTCAAATTTAGCAGGTGAAATATTGAAGTATTTACTGTCAGTGTCATGACTGACAAAACTTTCAGACCAGTCTCATAGGGTTTGTGCACAGGGTGACAAGTGATGGCCAGATACGGGAATCTTTCCAACATTGACATGAACAGCAGCCAACAACTGACTCCTGCTGACACAAACAGTGACCATGCAGTGTTGTATAATTTAATTATGATCCCGCAAATCCCAGTTTAGTCTGAGCATCACCCATTATCCACACAGCAAAACTCCTGTACTAAGGCTGTAGGCCCTATAACGTCTGATAATATACGTCTAGACATGCGTGCCAGCCAATCGAAGTCGACTTGAGTTGACCATGGAGCTATAAACACAATCGTGACTAAATCGTTCTCTGTATTTTTATCTGTGATTCTGTATATCTATTCTTGTAGGTAATATGTTTTTATTAGGCAGTGTATATTTTGCCGGAAACGGCAAACCTTTAGTAAACGTTAGTTTGCCGGATATGCACTGAACATGCACAGTTACTGTTTTTTTGTACTTAAACATTTTCCGGTGAAAAGTTTTAGTCTGGCTCCATGCCAAAATTATCGTTGTTACCTCGTATTCACAAGATGGGATTCAGACATTTTTATAATTTCGGACTTTATTTCCCTTTTAAAAAAAAAAAAAAAAAAAAAATCCTCCAGAGCCACAAATCTGAAAAGGAAAATGTAATACTCTGCAAAAAATGTTTGAGGCATGTTAAAATAATAAAAGAAGAATATTCTTATTTATTTGGGGATGAGAAAAAAAACCTTAAACATGTGGTGCGGTCGGAATCGAACGCGAGTCATCCCGTTTACTAGAGCCTTTGCTTAACCATGTTAACCACTACACCAAACGTGCTACACAACTTTTGGTGGGAATTTAATACATCTTATAATTCAGCCCTATTTTAAAGAGTACAGCGCCCTCTGTTGATATGGATTGCCGCCGGCAAACCTTTAGTAATCGTTAGTTTGCCGTCATTACCTCCGGCAAAATATCCACTATCTTTTTATTATTAACCAGTGGCGAAGTGTAACAAAATAAAATAAAAAGTTCTGTGCTGCGCGATAGGAAGATTGCGCAAATCCTGCCCCGCGCGATCAATCAATGTTTGCGCGGAAGGGGCGCATGATGCATGAAGACGGTAGGCCGCCGCCGCGCGCGTCCGGCCCCCCGTGACTTTGCGCGATCCACAAACTACATGTACAAAGCTAGTCCGAGTAACTTGTAACTTGTCCGAGTAAGTTCTAGGGAATCTAGGCCTAGTTTACTTCTGAATAACGTCCCTCGATACGGTTGAAGGTGGGCATTCAAAATGGCCGCGCAATGTGTACTGAAAAGAAATAGGCCTCTCAAATCTTAATAAGGGGAGGTACATTAATCCATAGTGGTGTTCGTTGTACAAAACAATCATTTATGAACATGGACAATCTGTAAAAATATTTTTCATTGAAATTGATCGGAAAAAATACTAATACGAAGTTTTTTCTTGGCATAAAACAGGTAAACGATTTATCAATCGGTGCTATGAAATGTTTCTATCTCTAAAATTGGAATAGTCCATATCAGCAGGAGTAGTCTGGTTCCACGGAATTGACACTTCACTTTTTTTTTATTACGGGTCCAGGTATCCGCCTCTCGCGAAGCAATGTAATGTGCGTGCAAACCGTATGTGTGCGCGGGCCGCGCCTAGCCTGCGGGCGGGCCAGCTGCACTGTACTTTTGCAATCGCCGGCCGGCTAGCTGTGGAGAGCGGATCACTTGCCGACATTTAATTTTTTTTGTGCTGAAGAAAATCATGGCAGATGCGGCAAATGATGAAAAAAGACCCAGGCTGGGTGGTTCTAGGTTTGTTGTGGTTTCGCAGGCTGCGCCTGTCCCGGTATTTGCATTGAGAGTAGCTTTCAAGGAAGATAAAAACGCTACAAAGTATAACGTGGGACCTGGAGGTAAGGTAGTCCGAGTAACTTGGACCCAACTTATCGCCTTTTTAAACATTTGGACATGGTCTGGCGATAGTGGGGTCCAAGCTAATACCGCGACCTGGACAACATCATCCTGTCACTGTCCCAAAAACCAACATTTTCCAACAAAAAACATCAGATTTCACCTTCAAAACGGCCTCCAAATTACTAGATATGCCACCTGAGGTACAAGTAGACATCGATAATTAAGATGGTTGTACATGTACTGAAGTTTACTTACGATCCGGGAAAAAGGTGAAATTTTTCGTCCATTTCGGAGAGCTCCCCTCGCGATCTTGAACACAATAAATTTCCGATCGTGTTTAATGTTTGAATGACACGATTTCTTCTACATGCCCAGCGTTGATTCAATGGTCCCCGTATCCTGAGTGCGATTCCGTTACCGAGCGCGCGCGATGCATCGATTATGATAATGAGTCACGTTTGTAAACACATACATGTGCATTTCGAACTGTAAAAGAGAATCGTTTGAAATGCACATGTGTTTACAAACGTGATCCAGTCTACTCATTATCATAATCGATCGTAAGTAAACTTCAGTACAACTATCTTAATTATCGATGTCTACTTGTACCTCAGGTGGCATATCTAGTAATTTGGAGGCCGTTTTGAAGGTGAAATCTGATGTTTTTTGTTGGAAAATGTTGGTTTTTGGGACAGTGACAGGATGATGTTGTCCAGGTCGCAGTATTAGCTTGGACCCCACTATCGCCAGACCATGTCCAAATGTCAAAAAAGACGATAAGTTGGGTCCAAGTTACTCGGACTAGAGGTAAGGCATAAAATTAAGGTAGTGGATATTTTGCCGGAGGTAATGACGGCAAACTAACGATTACTAAAGGTTTGCCGGCGGCAATCCATATCAACAGAGGGCGCTGTACTCTTTAAAATAGGGATGAATTATAAGATGTATTAAATTCCCACCAAAAGTTGTGTAGCACGTTTGGTGTAGTGGTTAACATGGTTAAGCAAAGGCTCTAGTAAACGGGATGACTCGCGTTCGATTCCGACCGCACCACATTTTTAAGGTTTTTTTCTCATCCCCAAATAAATAAGAATATTCTTCTTTTATTATTTTAACATGTCTCAAACATTTTTGCAGAGTATTAGGCCTACATTTTCTTTTTCAGATTTGTGGCTCTGGAGGATTTTTTTTAAAAGGGAAAAAAAGTCCGAAATTATAAAATGGTCTGAAACCCATCCTGTGAATACGAGGTAACAACGATAATTTTGGCATGGAGCCAGACTAAAACTTGTCACCGAAAAATGTTTAAGTACAAAAAAACAGTAACTGCACATGTTCAGTGCATATCCGGCAAACTAACGTTTACTAAAGGTTTGCCGTCTCCGGCAAAATATACACTGCCTAAAATTAAAATGTAGTACGTGGGCCTAGCTTGAAATTGCCAGCTTTTCTACCGCTCACTAGGCCCTACATGACTTGGCGTTTGTGTAGTTGCGGACCCCGTTCCTATAACTTAAATCATAGAGCAAGGAACAGAACAGGGAATGAAAATCCACTTGTAAACTTTGGGACTCACCTAAGTAGATGACACCATATGGTGTATATATCTGCAGGATTAATTTTGTGGAAAGAGGGCAGGGTTTTGATTTTTGATGAAAATTATGGGGTAAAACTAAAAGTAAAACAGTGACGGCGACAATTACAAAACCCAAGAAAAATGGCAACTAATTTTAAAAGTGCGTCCTCATGTGTTTAACACCGTACATTATTCCTAGTCCAAGTAACTTGGACCCAACTATCATTCCAAACCAGCTGGTTTGGAAGAACGTCACTGATTCGTTGATGAACAATTCCATTCATAAGCCAACATTTGGACTCCATTAAGCAGAGGACAAAAACACCATTTTGAATAACGGCAGGATTAAAATTGTGGAGAGAGGGCAGGGGTTTGATATTTGAGGGAAATAATGGGGTAAAAGTGAAGTTGATAAAAATGAAAATGCTGAAAACAAACTTGGCAATAGTGTCCAAGCAGGTTTGGTTGACCGTCACTGATTGGTTGGTGTACCAGTGCAGCTTGCTTTCCTTCTAGTACTGTTTGGTTCCACATTACAAATAAATTACCGTTCAGAATCTTTTGGTATCCGATCCAGACTAGCTCATCCGCGTAGTAAGTGTGTTGATTCGCATGCGAAGTTTCATGTCAGAAAGCCGATATTTCTTTGAATGAACAGTTCAAAACTAAAAAAATTAAATAAAAAATAGGGTCAGTATAATTAAGAGAACATTTCCTGAGGCTGCAGAGTTTGGGGAGCAATACAATTTCTTTAAAAGTACCAAAAAAACGGAGGTGTCCTCAACTACACAAACCCTACAGATTCAACAGGAAAGCTGGAAATACCATTAAACCATACTTGAGTTAGAATGCAGATGTCACCATGGTCAGGTGATGGTCACCGACAAAAAAAATGCGACCATCACCTGACCATGGTGACATCCGCGTTCTAAGTATGGTTAGTATTTCAACATAGGAAAGTACATTGAAACTAGAAGCGACTGAATTGACTGAACATGTGGTTTTCCCATTTGTTATAGTACGATCCAGGTAAAGCCAAAAAAAATAGTTCTGCTTCCGATTACATGGCATTTGAAAATAGGGTAGGTAGGTAGGAAATTTTTTTTTTTTGGCCAATTTTGTGTGTGTACGTTTTGTGATCATATGTAGGCGCCTACAGGTAGTCAAGGGTAAAAGGTAGAAATTGATGGTTTTGGGTGTTTTTTTCTCATTTTTCCAATAAAAAAAATTAGGGTAGGGGCTGTCAGAATAGGGTAGGTAGGGAAACCGGAAGTAGAACTGTTATTGTTTTTGGCCTAATTGTACTTCCAAACCGGACAGGAGAGTCTGTATTTCTTTTTTCAATCAGTGGACAATGGTGGAGCAGAGGACACAGAATCAGTCTGTTTATCTGTGCCCCATATACATGGCATAGGTCTAAATTGGAACAGGCGTTATGTGTGTTTCTAAGCTAGATAGGCCTATAAAGTGGTTTTGTATGCTATCGTACGGTACCACATGTATATGTATATATTGTCAATTCAGCCGTTCACGCAAGTTGAAATTGATTAATCCAGCTATTTTGGGACTGAGCCCCCATATATAATCATGAGAAACTGAGTGATGGTATGAGGGTACCAGTAAAAAAAAGTTGATTTAATGAGGATGTGAAAAGTAGTTACATGTACAAAGTAAGCTTGGTGTGTAAGTGCGGATGGGCTTTAGCATTCAGCGGTGCAACTATGCGGTGGTTGCTACATGTACATGTACATAGACATCATGGCTGTATATTATGTGGGCCTGAAAATTGTGCCATCAGTGTGCATTATGACTCAACATTTTATATTAAGTTTGCTTTGAATGCACAATTGCACGGTACAAGTATGCACACAAAAATGTCAGTTTGGCAACGAAAGAATACACAGTTTTTGAAACGCACCACTCAATTTCAATGTGTGTGAATGAACCTGGGTCGACCAGTGTTGGACGCTTCAGTAACTAAGAAAAAAAAGTACACTCTGCTTCAACAGATGGGGGAAAAGCTTTAGATGTGAAGTGAAAGATTTTGAGCTATTGTAAGAACACACCATATCACAATATCACTGTGGGCAGGCCTTTGTTCCTCTGTGATCAGGTCTGTTGCCAGCCCTGAGCATTAGGAGGGGCCATATAGTACAGGCAATATAAGGTTTGACCTCAAACAAATCGCAACAGAATTTTTTTCACCACAGTGGGATGTCATATTGCAGATAGTATATATATATTACATCATAATAAATGAATATAAATCATCTACAGATCTTTTCTGAAGTCAATGGGCATCTCAATAATAAAACAAGATCAACTCTCTGTGTTTAGTATTAAATATATTGTTGCAGCATCACTAAATAGTCCATTATAAAGTAGCAAAAAAGTGGTACTGGGTGTGGTTAAGAAACACATTAAAAAACTTCTTTCCACCACTCGGATTTCTTAAGACTTTTAATTTGTTATAGAGGAGATTTTTCTGAGTAATAACCTTTTTAAATGGTTTCTGTTACAATTTGTTTGAGGTTACCCCTTAATTTTTCACATAATGCCTGTACTAATAGTACCAACGAGGGGGGCCCACTACCATTAAAATAAAAAATAATACATATACATGTCTTTTGCCAATGGGGGTGCCAATTGCTCGCCAAGGGGGACCCAGCCCCACCAGGCTGCTGGGCGAACCCCCCCCCCCCCCTTGGCGACGGGCCTGTCTGTGATACACATGAGTTATCACTTTGCACTATAGCCCTAACCACCCTAAACTCCAACTCCAAGGCCATAGAGCTATATTAAATTACTAGAGCGCTAACTTTTCATTCTTGCCTGTGGAGACGCTTTGAAGGCACTCTGGGCACAGACATTTTGAATTTATGTGCATGTTTGTAGAACACAGTCAAAAAAGATGGATTGAATTTTAAAAGTGTACTCTAAATGCAACGCGAAAGTACATTTACGCAAACAACTTAAGCGCGTCATGACGGTTCAAAAAATGTCACGGTGAAAAGCATCTGCAGCGGAGGGACGCGCACACGTTGCGCTGTTTGTGTAGAGAAAAATGAAATGCTCATTTGCTGATCGTGCGTTTCGGTTTGGGCGTATCGGCTTCAATGACGCACATGTTTAGTTAATTTAAAATTCGTAAAAGCAATTTAATGGATCAAGGCTGAGAATCTTAAATCCTATGAAGTCTTGAAGAAATGTATAACCATAAGAAGAGGTTTGAATTCATTGTGTAATCATTGCCAACTGTTGTAGGACTAATGGTCAAACGTCCTGAGACATTGACACGATTATTTTGATCATGAAACGAAAAGATCGGATGACTATTGAGACTCGTACCAAGATCAATGTACCGAAAGAAGTTGATATTGTTCTTTACCATTAATTTCAGGTGGGGGATACCGGGTTGCGGTTATATTTACTTAATCACAAAATACAGTTTTGGAATACATTTAGAGTGATAAGGCCGTTTATTAGCTCCGCACCGACTAACTGACCTATTTTCGGTTAAAAAAACTCAACAGACAATGTGTTTGATGCTACAAAATGTATACTATTGGATCTGTCATGTCTGTTCAAACGTTAGGCCTATTTGCTGTGCTAAACAACATGAACATGTCCGAGTTTCAGACACTTATCTGTGCAGAGCCACTTCCGCGATTGTGTACAAAGTCTATGGAGAGTCAAGCAAATTTTCTAAGTATTTCTAGTAACATTTATAACAAAATTGGAACTGTTTCTCAGTCCCAGATTCATGTCTTATCATTATTTTTGCAATGAAGAAAAATGTGGCGTCAGGTTGTAACATTTTTCAACATGACATTGAGGAAAGATTCTCATATCTGGCCATCACTTATTTTTCCCTTCAGTGACCTATCATCAGGCGCAGCAATCAGAAAGTGATAATTAAAATGTCCGTAAGTCAAATTTAGCAGATATTGAAGTATTTACTGTCATGACTGACAAAACACTTAGAAATTTTCAGACCAGTCTCATAGGGTTTGTGCACAGGGTGACAAGTGATGGGCAGATACGGGAATCTTTCCAACATTGACATGAACAGCAGCCAACAACTGACTCCTGCTGACACAAACAGTGACCATGCAGTGTTGTATAATTTAATTATGATCCCGCAAATCCCAGTTTAGTCTGAGCATCACCCATTATCCACACAGCAAAACTCCTGTACTAAGGCTGTAGGCTATAACGTCTGATAATATACGTCTAGACATGCGTGCCAGCCAATCGAAGTCGACTTGACTAAATCGTGACTAAATCGTTCTCTGTCAAGTGTCATGTCTGTATTTTTATCTGTGAAGTGTGATTCTGTATTCTTGTAAGTTGTCAATGTAGGCCTATGTAATAATTTTTTATTATTAACCAGTGGAGAAGTGTAACAAAATAAAAATACAAAATAAAATAAAAAGTTCTGTGCTGCGCGATAGGAGGATTGCGCAAATCCTGCCCCGCGCGATCAACCAATGTTTGCGCGGAAGGGGCGCATGATGCATGAAGACGGTATGCCGCCGCCGCGCGCGTCCGGCCCCATCCGATCTGTCACTGTCTCCCAATTTAGGATTGCTTCCTTTTTTATAAAACAAAAAATAAAACAATACATGTACTCTATGATTATGACTAATAATTTTCAATAACTAATAAAATGATTACCGTAAGTTCTAGGGAATCTAGGCGGGCCTAGTTTACTTCTGAATAACGTCCCTCGATACGGTTGAAGGTGGGCATTCAAAATGGCCGCGCAATATGTATATATATATGTACGTACTATGAAAAGAAATAGGCCTCTCAAATCTTAACAAGGGGAGGTACATTAATTCATAGTGGTGTTCGTTGTACAAAACAATCATTTATGAACATGGGCAATCTGTAAAAATATTTCTCATTGAAATTGATCGGAAAACATACTAATACTTTTTTTTTTCTTGTCATAAAACAGGTAAACGGTTTATCAATCGGTGCTATGAAATGTTATTTCTACCTCTAAAATTGGAATAGTCCATATCAGCAGGAGTAGTCTGGTTCCACGGAATTGACATTTTTTTTTATTACGGGTCCAGGTATCCGCCTCTCGCTAAGCAATCTAATGTGCGCGTGCAACCTTAACCGCCTGCGCGGGCGGTGGCGCTGCGCTGTACTTATTTTGCAATCGCCGGCCGGCTAGCTGTGGAGGAATTCGCTGTGGAGAGCGGATCATTTGCTGACATTTAATTTTTTGGTGCCGAAGAAAATCATGGCAGATGCGGCAAATGGTGAAAAAAGACCCAGGCTGGGTGGTTCCAGGTTTGCTGTGGTTTCGCAGGCTGCGCCTATCCCAGTTTTTGCATTGACAGCAGCTTTCAAGGAAGATAAAAACGCTACAAAGTATAACTTGGGAGTTGGAGGTAAGGCATAACATTAAAGATAGTGGATATTTTGCCGGAGGTAATGACGGCAAACTAACGTTTACTAAAGGTTTGCCGGCGGCAATCCATATCAACAGAGGGCGCTGTACTCTTTAAGATAGGGCTGATTATAAGAAAAGTTGTGTAGCACGTTTGGTGTAGTGGTTAAGCAAAGGCTCTAGAAAGCGGGATGCCGTGGGTTTGATTCCGACCGCAGCACATTTTTAAGTTTTTTTTTTTTCTCATCCCCAAATAAATAAGAATATTCTTCTTTTATTATTTTAACATGTCTCAAACATTTTTTTGCAGAGTATTACATTTTCTTTTTCAGATTTTGGCTCTGGAGGATTTTTTTTAAAAGGGAAATAAAGTCCGAAATTATAAAATGGTCTGAATCCCATCTTGTGAATACGAGGTTACAACGATAATTTTGGCATGGAGCCCTACTAAAATTTGTCACCGGAAAATGTTTAAGTACAAAAAAACAGTAACTGCGCATGTTCAGTGCATATCCGGCAAACTAACGTTTACTAAAGGTTTGCCGTCTCCGGCAAAATATACACTGCCAACATTAAAATGTAGGCCTATAAATAAATTGCCAGCTTTCTACCGCTATTCCTCCATGCTAGGCCCTACATGACTGGCAGACTGGGGGTTTGTGGAGTTGCAGACCCCGTCGCCCGTTCCTATAACTTAAATCATAGAGCAAGGAACAGAACAGGGAATGAAAATCCACTTGTAAACTTGGGGACTCACCTAAGTAGATGACAATGACACCATCATGACCATGGTGTATATCTGCAGGATCAATTTTGTGGAAAGAGGGAAAATTATGGGGTAAAACTAAGTAAAACAATGACGGCACAAAACCCAAGAAAAATGGCAACTAATTTTAAAAGTGCATCCTCATGTGTTTAACACCGTACATTATTCCTTGTTGAGTAACTTGGACCCAACTATCATTCCATAAAAAAATACCAGCTGGTTTGGAAGAACGTCACTGATTCGTTGATGAAAAATTCCATTCGTAAGCCAACATTTGGACTCCATTAAGCAGAGGACTAAAACACCGGAAAAATTCTGCCAACCGGACACCACTTACCTGCCGCCAAACATCCAAATTTTCACGTTACCTTGTGATTTCAACCAAGAGGAATCCAGGAAAGAGTGGACATGCGAAAAAAAAATTGGTAAAAATGTGTTTTTGGAGCACATTGTGCATGCACATGTAGTGCAGATCTGAGTTGAAGCAGCCGGTCAAAACTGATTGAAGTGTCTGGAATAGCGGTACATTATACGCATGACATCGATAACCATGACGTTGCATGAGACGTCGCATGAGCCGGCCAATGATAGTGCAATACGTCATTATGGTTGAATATTTAGTTTATTTCAATGGATACTTCAAATTCGTCCAAAGATTGATCATTGCAACAGCGATCGTGCGCGGCCTAGCGGTTAAGAGACTCGTGTATCAAGCAAGCGTCCGAGGTTCGAATCTCGATGAAGTGAGCGACTGATTGATAAATAGAAATTAAGGAAAGGAGGGGGTGAGAGTAAAAAGTGGTTTTTGTTATGCTATCGTACGGTACCACATTGCCAATTCAGCCTTTCACGCAAGTTGAAATTGATTAATCCAGCTATTTTTCATTCAATGGGACTGAGCCCCCATATATAATCATGAGAAACTGAGTGATGGTATGAGGGTACCAGTAAAAAAAAAGTTGATGTGAAAAGTAATTACATGTAGTAAGCTTGGTGTGTAAGTGCGGATGTGCTTCAGCATTCAGCGGTGCAACTATGCGGTGGTTGCTACATGTACACATACATCATATGTATATTATGTGGGCCTGAAAATTGCGCCATCAGTGTGCATTATGACTCAACATTTGATATTAAGTTTGCTTTGAATGCGCAATTGCACGGTACAAGTATGCACACAAAACTGTCAGTTTGGCAACGAAAGAATACACAGTTTTTGAAACGCACCACTCAATTTCAATGTGTCTGAAAGAACCTTGGTCGACCAGTGTTGGACGCTTCAGTAACTAAGAAAAAAAAAGTACACTCTGCTTCAACTGATGGGGGAAAAAGCTTTAGATGTGAAGTGAAAGATTTTGGGCTATTGTAAGAACACACCATATCACAATATCACTGTGGGCAGGCCTTTGTTCCTCTGTGATCAGGTCTGTCGCCACCCCTGAACATCAGGAAGGGCCATAGTACCAACGAGGGGGGCCCACTACCATTAAAATAAAAAATAATACATATGTATGTCTTTTGCCATTGGGGGTGCCAATTGCTCGCCAAGGGGGACCCGGCCCCACCAGGCCGCTGGGAGAAAAAAAACCCTTGGCGACGGGCCTGTCTGTGATGCACAGGACTCAGGAGTTATCACTTTGCACTATAGCCCTAACCACCCCAACCCCCTAAACTCCAACTGCATGGTTTGTTGGAATCTGTTGGAGTGAGTGCTGCACTAGTAAACTGACTATGCTTTACATGGGGTCAGGCCATAGAGCTATATTAAATTACTAGAGCGCTAACTTTTCATTCTTGCATGTGGAGACGCTTTGAAGGCGCTCTGGGCACAGACATTTTGAATTTATGTGCATGTTTGTAGAACACAGTCAAAATAGATGGATTGAATTTTAAAAGTGTACTCTAAATGCAACGCGAAAGTACAATTACGCAATTAACTTAAGCGCGTCATGACGGTTCAAAAAAATGTCACGGTGAAAAGCATCTGCAGCGGAGGGACGCGCACACGTTGCGCTGTTTGCGTAGAGCAAAATGAAATTCTCATTTGCTGATCGTGCATTTCGGTTTTGGGTGTATCGGCTTCAGTGACGCACTGGTATGGAATACAAATGCAGATATACAAATAGCCGTACAAAAGCCGTACAAATTTCTAGTTCTCCATAGGTTTGTGCACAAACATGGATGCGCCCATCAGGCATTTCTTTGTACATCGAGTTAGCGCTCTAGTAATTTAATATAGCTCTATGGGTCAGGCATACCACCATTTATAATCACAGTCCAGCAGTTCCGGTGTTGGGTTTACCATATACATGTATGGTGTTAGATTTTGCAAGAGTGAGGAAGGTTCCTAGTAAATCACTCAAGGGGGTTAGAATGGTAGGAAAATAAATGTCAAACCTTCCCTAGGTGAGGGTACACAAGGGGTTCCAGCCAGCAAATAAACTGGCTACTTTAAGGCGTGCACTGTCTTCTTATATTCCAGTCCCAGAGAGAATGCAGTTTTTAGCTCTGGGGCAGTGACGGAATGGACGGTTTTGAGAGGGCCCACAGAGTTAGGATTAATTTTGTTTCCAAGATAATACATGTAACCCCCTCCACCTTTCCACCTTGCACCCTGCAGCCTACCGGACTGACGATGGTGTACCCTGGGTCTTGCCCGTGGTCAAGGACATTGAGAAGCAGATGGCCGCAGACGAGAGTTTGAACCACGAGTACCTGCCGGTCCTAGGCATACCGGAGTTCACCAGCGCGGCCACCAAGATGCTGCTGGGAGAAAACAGTCCTGCTATCCTGGAGAATCGGGTGAGTCCCCTCATGAAACATAACACATGTGAATAACTTGTCGGTTGTGCCAAGTAGTGGTGTTTGGAGCATAGTTGACGCGCCACAAACTGACATCATGAATACAAAGTATCATGATACGTGGCGCATAGAAAAATATCCTAACCATTGCTTTGTGGTACAACTGAATACGTTGTACTTTGGGCCAAGCATTGGTTCAATCATAAGCTAATCTCCTCTGTGCCAAGGCACATCCACAATTTCAGTTACTCTCAAATCCCACAGTCAGCACAATTTAATCAAACTGCTCATTGTCGTTCACATTTTCTGTTGGTTGCATATCGCACTTGCCTGTTGTTTAACATTTTGCTTGTTTAATTTTTATGCTAATGGCTGCCTCCCTACTTGATTAAAAAACATCTATTGAGAACGAGCAATGCAACTTTGCTCCCTAATGTGGTTCCAAAGAGTCGACCAGAGTTGCGCAACCATCGTTTTAGTTTGGTTAATCGATCTTTGACCAATGTACAGCTTCAGACTTTGGCTTTGCGGCAGTCTCTTTTTAAGACAGAGATTCAGATATTGATGGAAATCACATGCAGTAACACTTGTCGTGGATACATATAATGCACATTAGGTAAAGAGAAGATGCTGCATACAACACTGTAGCTGTTCAATGCCTTGAACATGGTCTCAGTGACATGGATCCTTTGTTGAAAATTGGCAATGGTTATACTCGGCATAATTTTACCAACATTGTTGTAAGAAAAGTCCTTGGAACAGTTTTTCATAAGTGCTTCCTCATACTACTTATACCAACTGAAAAATGGCACCTCAGTCAACCTATTCAAGCTACCAAACTAGTGTACATTGCTCTAACTATTTTTTTTTTTCCCGGCAGGCTTTTGGCATTCAGTCTCTGAGTGGTACCGGTGCCGTCCGACTAGGATGCCAGTTTCTGATAGAGCAGCTGAAAATCAACGTGGCGTATGTCTCGGACCCCACATGGAGTGAGTATAATCAGTCCGGACCGACGATTGATATAATCCTGTGGTCTGGTATCCGGGACGGGTTATAGTCATGCTGATTGGTCGGGAGGGATTCGAAGATCAAATTCAGCTTTAAACCATGTAGATTTTGTTTGCTGTTCCAAGAGAGCCAGCCTAGTTTCCTCTGATTGTAGCTCACTGACTCATTGACTGATTGTCTTGAGTCTTGTGATGGAGACTGGTCTGAAACAAGCCCTTGCTAGGCTCGCCAAGTCTTGTTTATCTGACTAGTTCCTATTCAATTGTAAAAGAAAAAAAAAAGGAGTATGCGAGTTGTATTCGCATCGTGTTGGAAATCAAAGTGCCTCAGCATGTGTTTTCCTTGTATGGTCTTGGGGCAATTTCAGCATTATGAAAGGAAATGTAATTTCCGTGACGGAGCCAATTATAAACCATGATACCTTATTAACGATTCAGAGAAATGATCCAAAACTCCTAGTCTGTAATCTGCTTGGCCGTTACTTGATGTATAAGATTTGAAAAACACAGATTCAGGTTTATTCACTGAGCTCTTAAAAACCTCTGTCACAGACATTGCATAACACTGGAATTGCCCAAAAGTCAAAAGTTGTTCCGTCTTGAAAAAACCCTAAATATCACTCCCCAAAGTGACATGAAACAAAAATGGGCATTCCCCCCTTGCTTCATTTGAAGTCAGGAATCCCTATAACCTACATCGCATCCATTCATCATTCTTTCTCCCCCACAGCCAACCACATTAACATCTTCAACAAGCTCAAGTTCTCGAGCATTCACAAGTATCGCTATTGGAATGCCCAGACCCGATCCTTGGACATAGACGGGATGCTGGAGGACCTTGAGGTAAGTGGGCTCAACTTTTTTGTCTTCTCTTTTCTGATCCTTTCTAGTGGTAGAATCTCAATCCGATTATTTTTTAATTTGGTTTAAATTCTACTATTCGGTTTTGACTTTGTAGCCGTATATTGGGAACCAACCTTAAAACAAAATTAAGCCTCCCCTTTTTGTGACACAGGTTAAAACCCTAACCCTGCTGAATCCAACAGGATCCAACTATATCATATACCCAATGGAGCCTGTTGGATTGAGCAGTAAAGCCCTTGTGTACATTCCTGATGCAAAATGTTGGATTCAGCAGGCAGCTGAACCGCATTATAACGCCATGTTGGACTCCGTTGGATTCAGCCGACAACTGAAAATAAGGCACAGTGGATTGAGCAGGAAACTCCGGTTGAACTCTGTTGGAGTTTATCAGGATAGTCCTGAGGAAGTACTAGGGGGTTAGGGTATAAAAACAACTGGAACATCCCCCAATTTTCTCCCTGGTCTCCAATTGTAACTGCATTCACTTGCTAGTGGTCTTCTTGGTATATGAACAGCGTGTTCATTCAACTTCAGAGAGTTCTCATCCATTTTTTTTAACATTACATCTCTGGAGTGCTTTTTGTAAAAGGCCCAGTGGTCATTGAATCCTGCAAACTATCCCCAGTCATTGGGAGGGCATTGCATGTGGCATCTCACTCGTCACTTTTTGTTGGCATGACTGTGAGCTTAATGGGAACTTCCAGTGAAATCAGATAAACTTTTATTCGGTTTGAGAAAAAAAATAGGATAACCGGTTTTTGAAATCTCCAATTTTTTTCCGCCACTAATCCTTTCTGTAATCCAAAATTTTGAATCAAATTCAATGTGAACATTTATGGAGAAATGGAAAGTCAGCTTCTTTTTCTGTTTTATTTTATTCCTGAAGAATGCTCCGGCGGATTCCCTGATTATGCTGCACGCTTGCGCCCACAACCCAACTGGAGTCGACCCTACCCAAGAACAGTGGAAGAAGATTGCTGAAGTGGTCAAGGTACGCTCCAGAGTTGTGTGACTTGCGTCCAGGAGTCGAACCGAAGTTTGACTCAAGTCTGTCTCAAGACACAATCTCAGTGACTCCGACATGACTCAAGTCAAGCTGAAGGGGTTATTAAACCCAGTGATTTGATCTGTTGGTAAACAAAGGATGCAAATGCAGGGCTCTCCCCATATTTCTTATGTGCAAATTTATGTGAAAGCGTTAACCCTGAATCCTTCAAAATTCTCTTTGCCAAGGGCAAGGGATTTGGAGGATTGAGGCTACTTGGCAAAAGTGCATTACTGATTTTGTAGGATGCACTTTGTCAAGGTCTTGGGCCGGACCTTGTGTTGTTTTTGCTCTGCCATGCATAAATATAGGCTTGGATTATACTTGAATTCCTCTGTACTGCTCCAGGCCAAGCCTCAACTTATTGACAGTCACTGCCACAGGATTTTGCAGGATTCAGGCAGTGGTCACCCTTCCGCGGACCACATTCAAGAAATAACGGAGGAATTTACAGGATTGAGGCTATATGCTATTTTTCCGTGAGGCCAATTGGAGGATTTTGCAGGATTGAGGCTACATCCTAGCAAATAGGCCTAGGGAGTTAGGGTTAAGCTTATGCAAGTCAGACAACCAGTTTTCAATTGAAGGGGAATTTACACAGTCAAATTTCAAATGCACACTAAAACCCTGCCACGACCGATATTCCAGTTCTGCCTGTTTCTGGCAATTATGGTCATTGAATGATTAGTAAGTGTTACCTTTATAAGTCCGTGTGCATGAAAAGCTAATGCCTAAATTGTCTTGAGGGGGTTAGAAATAGGCCTTTCTTCAAATACCCACAACAAAATTGACGTGTTTCATTTTTATGTACACTTTCCATTAAGAGGATAGAAGCATATAGAGAGTTTCAAATCTATAATTAAATATATTGGATACACTGTTTTGCAGATATAAACATTTGTCACATATGCAGTTACCTGTGTACCCCCCCCCCCTTCCCCTCTTCCATGCCAGTTGGGCCAGATTTTCTCAAGACGTTTTCTTTATTTCTTTTCATCAGAGGAAGAACTTGTTTCCCTTCTTTGACTGTGCCTACATCGGCTTCGCCACCGGAGACATCGAGCGGGATAGCTGGGCAGTCAATTACTTCGTTAGTCAGGGCATGGAGCTGATGGCTGCCATGTCATTTGCCAAGAACTTTGGTCTTTACAGTAAGTATCCCATAGGGTCTTCTTTTTTTTCTAAATAAACCAGTTCAGTATTCCAACTGCTGATGTGCACATCAAAATTTGACAATTTTCCTTTCGGGATAGGCACTCTGCCACATGCTTGCAAAATCATTGCAGGTACCAGCAAAAGTAAAGAAATTGTATTGTTCTGACCTAATCCCAAAATTTCAAAGAGTTTGGACAGTGAAGTGTGTGTAGGTGATTTTTATGCCCCGACTTTTGGGCGAACAAAAGGTTGCATCGTCTTTTTGATTGCATGAAAAATTGCTGAATGCAGATTCTGTGAACAGGTCCTCCATTGACTTGTGTACATGTATCTGCCCGCATTTATCCTGAAGTTTGAATACCGATTTGGCTTATTAGCATGAAAGTGCATAATACTACCTTACCAAAACATGGCCTGAAAGCTCTATTCTGTATTTGGAACATGCACCTATAACCCATTTGGATATATTAATGTTTGGAAATCATCCTGACACAGTAACCAACTGTCATCACTGTAACATGTCATGCTTAAGGACACAAGCATTGTGATCACTGGGTTTTACAACCATACTAAGGTGTTCTTAGTGTCACTCTCATTAAGCATTAGAATTACAAAAGTATCTCATAAACTGCAAGTGTTAATTTTTATCCTTGAAAAATGAATGGCCTGCTCATTGATTTTGACTTTTTTTCCTAATTTTACGTTCTACATCAAGATGAGCGAGTCGGCAATCTCGTTTGCGTCGTGAACAACACCGACACCAAAGTGCCGATGAATTCGCAGCTGACCAGAATGATAAGGACGATGTATTCCAGTCCACCCAGTCATGGTGCACGGATCGTCAGCACGGCCCTCAACAATCCAGCCCTCTTTGCACAGTGGTGAGCTTGGGTACCAGATCACTGTACACTGATAGAGCCCCCCAGTAATGGTGGACACTTGGTGTCACTGTAGTACACAACAACTGGTCCATGATGGTTATTCTGAACAATAGCTGGCACAGTGCTTTTGGCATTATTGGGGGCCTCCCTGGCTGTGCAGTGACTGTTTCCTAAATTGGTGTCAATCCGTTTCCTCTTTTGGCCAAGCTCCAGAATTTGTTTTTCAAATGGCAAAAAAAAAAGAAGGTTTTAAACGTACTTGTTGAATATCAGCCAAGTACATATTTATTCCCATTCATAGATACCTTTGAGTCAAAAAGTCAAAACAAGTAAAAAAAAAAATTATTTTCAAAGATTGTGTTCAACAATTGTACTCTCTAACTATGTTACGGTATGTTCCTCTTGCAAGCAGTCGTAAACATCTCCTTATTTGGAGATTGACGTGCGTGTGGTGCATACTGCACGATGTGGTGCATACTGCACGATGTGGCGCAGAACGCAGCAGTGTCATTGAAGTGTGAACTTGGGAATCTCGAAATACGGACTCATTGGGTAAACTTTCCCAGGTATTTGCGAAGGTAGTTTTATGGTTGAATTGCACCAATAGTCCAAAGCACTAGTAACACTTGAAAACAAGACAATCTTTCTTGCACTCATTTTGAACTGAGGTGTTTGTTCATTCGACGGGGTGTATTCGAAAGGTTACAATCCAAAACTAAATGAGTAGTAAGCATATCAAAATGATGTCATCTGAAAGGATGGTTTACCAGCCTTCCATTGATAGTTTACTTGCACCCCTGCAATCTTAGATACCTTTGCATTGTTAATTTGAAAACAAGGCATCCAATCCAGATTTGTCATTGTCTATCTTTTTGTGTTTTTACATGGAATTTGTTTTCTCTTCAATAGGAAAGATCACATCAAGACAATGAGTGGACGCATCTTTGAGATGAGACAGATGCTGTACCAGCGTCTTCAGGCACTGGGCACACCCGGAAAATGGAACCACGTCATCGACCAGATTGGCATGTTCAGTTACACGGGCCTCGGACGTAAGTTGGGGTTGTTTGTTTTTAACGGACTCTCTGCAGGAATTATAGACCTCTCGGGGCCCGTGATCGCTGTACACCCACGAGGCCCCCTTCAATGGAGAAACCATTGTGCATGCCATTGTACAAAGCAACTGCCCCGTGATGGATTATCTGAGCAATAGCTAGCACAATGCTTTCGCCATCGAAGGGGGCCTAGAAGTGACGGCATGCCCGGGGCGTTTTCGAATCCCTGTTCTTGACAACACGCGTGTAACACGAGAACGCGTTCTCGAGCTGGTCGTTACGAACGCGCGATCGTCTGAATTTGTACTTAGGCCTATTCCAAATGAACGAGGACGACTGTTGCAAAACCGGACATGCGGGGATGAAATTGCAGACCTGCACTATAATGGTATTCTTATTCCAATCATTAGGGTATTAGCCAAAAAAAACCCACAAAACAAATTACGAATCTGCACAGTCCGCCATTTTGTTCAAGCTGCACCTTGCCGAACCCTCCATCAACCGGGGAGTGAAAAAATCGATCCGCGAACGCCCTCTCGGGTCTGTTCGTCACGTTCGAGACCGCTGTTCTCGTGTCGGGTTAACCCGAGTGTTGTCAAGAACAGGGATTCGAAAACGCCCTCGGATTGGTGTGTAGAGGGTGCTGTTATGCTTCCCCCTGCAAGCCAGTAAAGCTGGCCTCAGGTCGACCCGCGATTTGCTCGCGCCACGAAGGAACCATCGGCATCATGCAGAAATTCATGCTCAGGTCACAAAACTTAGATTCTCTTGGAACAAGTGGCATCCTGACACAGAATAATTGCAACCATGCTTATGTCACCCACGACACGACGGCGATTCCCACAGCATAAACAGTCATGTGACTTCTTTAACAATAGCGAAAGCGTGTTGATTACAATCAAACGACATTGCACGGCCACACCAGCTGTTTGTTCAGCCATTTTCGCCGCATGCTGATTGGCTACACGACTGCAATTGATTCCCGCCTGTCGGGAAAACCTCACAGAAGTTGAAATTGTTCTACCTTTGCGACTGTTGATTTTTTTTTTAGCACCAACTGATGCCAATCGTCTTAATATCGTCAGAGTTACGCTCAGGTCACAAAAAATCGGTGACCGAGTTGTTCCCGACGGTCGTAGCTCAGGTGCAGCTTGACACTGAAAAGTCAGTCGCCGACTGTTCTGTGTCATCGCAAGTTCGACCTGAGGGCGCCTTAAGGATGCTTTGCACTGTGGACACTGGTTCGCATGCAGGTGTGGTGCAGACTGAATATGACAAATGTTGCATCTTGAAATTGACAAAATAGGGAACCACCAGTATAGAGCTAGATAGCTCAGTTGGTAGAGTATCGGAACGGCAATCCGGAGGTCGCAGGTTCAAACCCAACTGAAGTCAACTTGTTTTTCAACTTTGCCCCCCCCCCCTAAAAAAACAACCTGACTTGATGTCTTTTGTTCCCCCGTGTAGCCAACCAGGTGGATTTCCTGCTCAAGAAGTACCACATCTACGCCATGAAATCAGGCCGCATCAACATGTGCGCCATCACCACCAAGAACGTGGACTACATTGCCAAGGCCATCCATGAAGCAGTCACCACCGTGGTGGAAGACCCCAAGCTGTAAAACAAACAAGTCTTGGGCCGCGTCCCGATCTCTCATTGTCATGGTCCTTGCTCGTCACAACTGCATGGAAACAAGCGGGCAAAAGATGTAGCCGTAAGCCCGTTTTGGGGACACGGCCTTACAAGGCTGTATGAGCAGAAATTGTAATTCATTCAGCTCAGGTGTAGAGAATACTGTCCATGATTGTAGTCAGTACATTTATCAAATTTGGTGCTGTGTCCCCTTGATTTTTTCCTGTTTCAATTTGCATGGTTTTCTAGTCTCTGATTTGTAATAAGTGCCAGCTTTCTTTTGTGGGTGATTCAAAATGGCTTAACAGAAACAGTCACATGGGCACGGCTGCAGTTGGCACAAAATAAAAAATGCTTTAATTATCTATAAAACACAGCTTGATTTTAAAAAGTTTGAATACAAATTTACAGAAACCACAATAAACTACAAATTTACAGAAACTATGACTACTTTAAATTTACAGAAACTACGATAAGTGATTGACAACATGCTTGCGAAATTGGTGAAATTGGTGGTGGTGAGGGAAAATCTAAGAAGGGTAATGTTGTAACTGATGTAGTTTGCCAAAGTTCAGTTCTGTGAGTAAATTGGTGGAGGTTTATTGCTAGTCTAGATGTTACTTTGCAGCTGTGATAAGAGAATTTTGTTGCCACAACTGAAGTACGTAAACGCTTGATTTGGTTTGATGCACAGACAATGCAGTAAAATCAACTGATTGGGCATTTCACATGAAAGATGATATGCCATTGCCTCTGAATCAAGTCTAACAGTGGACAGTTGGAAGGGGGTTCTGTAATGGGAGCCTTTTGAGACGGTGGTGGCAGCAAACATACTGTCCTTTTCAATTGTTTACGTCGTGTTAAAGCTAAAGCACACATGCTCAATATGACGCAAACAATGGAAAAAGGACCGGTGTGTCTGCTGCCACCAACGTCTGAAAAGTCTCCAATTTGCATGTAATTGTGCCAGAACTTGGAAATGTGCTGTGTCGAAATACGTGAGTCCACCAAATTTGTGCAGTGAATTGCCAAGAGCTGATTTAAGACGTCCGATATATTCATATTTTATCTTGATTTGAGTATAATATTAACTTGATTTTATCATCCCTCGCTATGACAAAAAAATACGGCAAGTCTTGTTAAGCGGGTCTCAGATGAGCGCACAAGAATCTGTTCACTCAATTCAGAATAGCTATTCACTGGATGCATGTGGCCTACTAAATGGGCCAAATTTTGCCCATTGGAGTAATCCTATTTTTTGGGCCAAGGTAAGACTTAAGCACGTCTAATTCACAAGTGACTGTCAGTCAGTCAGGCAGGTACAAAGAGGACTATAGGCCGGCCTTCTGGGACCAGCACAAACTTGTTAACAAGACCTTGAAGAATTATTATGAATTTTCTTATAACAGGCTTTTGTTTATCATGCCAATTTAACTAGGAATTGTGTGTAGGATTCTGTGTCGGATATGACAGCAACACCAGAAAGTAATGCACAATGTATTGGAAATTTTAGCAAAGACAATTTCACTAGTGAAAATCAACTTCAGTGTTATTAAACGTGTGAGTACCAATTACTAAGTGTATTGCTGCCCAACATGTATTTCTATTACGTTTTAAAGTATTTTTATCCAATAAGCAATAATGTGATAAGTACGTTTTAGTACATTTTAATACAAAGGTGAAAAAAACTTTAAATGGGTGGGACTCGAACCCGCGACCTCTTGCTTACCAGTGCAGATATAACAAACGCACTTACCAGAAGCAGTTGGCTTATTGGAGGGACCACAATCGACGACATTCTATTTACAGGTTTTTGACAAATATTCCTTTACATGCTTTCAAAAACAAAAATTGATCAGTACACACATACACTTTTACCATAACTATCTAGGCAGGTTTAGCCAGAAACTCTCTTGGATCCTCGTAGATCATTCATCTCCACTGTGCAGACCATAGTGGCAAGGGCCACCAAATTCCACCTTTTCTCAAAACTTCAGAAACTATCAAATTAACCGGTGCGTTATGAGCATGGTCTTGGAGGGGGTAGGGTTAAAGTCGGTGAAGGGCTGAAGCACTCCAATCCTATCAAAATGCAGTAGTTATCAAGTGTGCCAAAGAGAACGTGTTTTACATGTAACGTATTAACTTGTTAATAGTTTTTACTTGCAGCTTTGGCTTCATTTCCATAGATTTCTGCATTATGTTGCCCAATAGGCTGTGCTACGTCTGGCCAAAGTTCTTCTATGGTAGTTTAGCTACCCCCAGTCTTTCACCCAAACTCCGCCCCTTATTACTGGAATTACATACATGTACTTGAGATGCAATGATTAATTGCTGTGGAATGTTGTGGAATATTAATATAGAGATGTGATAATATGAATATGCCGAATAAAGTATGCGAATATAACGAATGTTTGCATTGTAAAAGGTTAGATGTAAAAACGCCCATTGTTTCATTTCTCTGTGGATTTGAACCGTACGTCCTTCGTCAAACTGTCTTAAAAGTTGGGGAGAACTTGGTGCCTCTGTTAATGTGTCCCCTCATCATCATCACTGCATCCAGGAATGTCTGTTAAGAGTTGCCTTTCTAGCGACACCGGTCGAATTCCCACTTCGTTTGGAGGAAAACTCATTTTCTCTCTCTCTACCATCTATTTTAAGATCATATTATAAAGTCGCTTGATCAGTGCTGTCACTCCATACACACTGGCTCGAGGCCGCAACTAGGAGTGATTTTTCTTCCCTGACAGTCACAATCGGCGATCATTATTTCTGTGAGTCTCAGCGGGTCGCTAACATTTTCCAGGGAAACCTGGCCAGGTTTCTAGTGAGGGCAGCCGGCGGGAGGGCACGGTGGAGTCCTTGGCGAAGCCACCGCCTGCCGTGCGGCTAGCTGTGTCCAAATTGCCACCCGAAGGCTCCTGATACTTTGAAGTTAAATGAAAGCAAACGGTCAGTAATTAAACTTAAAAGTGATGGACAGAACCCGCAAAAGTGATTTTGAATAGTGTTCCAAATCGCGGATAAGTCGGGTAGGGTAAAGCTGTTGGGTAAAGCCCAACATTAATATGAACTAGTGTTGATTAAATCGAGTACTAAATTTACCAAAACGTATGGGAGGAATTTGCCTATTAGGTTTACCAACTTTTGGCAAAGTACCAACCCAACTTGCGGAAATTCTGGAGAGTGGTGCAGATTTGTCTTCATTTTGTTCCGTACTGATAGCGCAAAATCGTAATGAGTTTTTTTTTAACTTATAAGTCAAACAATGGACTATTGTCTTCATCTGTTTGTGTTATCTGGTCATCTTTTCTTAACACTGAATGTGGGCGTGGTGATTGGAAAACGAGGGCGCCACACCCACCTCCTCGGACTATGATCAATTAATGTTATTTATTAACGTAACTTGGAAAATGATTAACTGTTTATAAGGCCTTTTGACTTCATGCGTTGAATGGAACGCCTCGTCCACCTACTTCCCCCCTCGGCCATGTACTTCAGTCGAAATCCTGGATCCACTACTAAAACTTTACAAAAAATCATGCTGATTGGTGTTGGCAGAAACGTTCAAGCTTTTTAATTGAGCATATACTTTTTTCAGAGTCATTCAAAAACTTGTATAATTCCCTGCTTCCTTTTCTCCCGCCTTCCACAATCATCAATATGGCTTTTAAATTATTTTCGACTGAAACGATTCTTAGGAATTTGTAAACATGACTAGTGCTTCAGATCGAATAATGTATCCAACCGATTTCTTCTGGTGCAGCGGTGTTAAAAAAAAAATTGGCCGTACAACTAAGGACACCAAAAACCTCCCTCGCGTAGCGCGGACTATGGGCGGTACTACTCGATGGCCCTCCACCGTACCGGCAAGGCTTATGACGTCGCCTTCCTTGCGTGCGAGCGTCCAATTTCTCTCGTGTTTATCTTTGATTAATATTGAAATCGGGCAGAAAGAGAGTGAATGGAACAATGTGTAAACAGGTCATTTCAACTAATAGTCCGTCAATGGGGGTAAGTAAAGTGCTTGAATGCCGGGGCCCGGGCCAGCCGTACACGGCCGTGATTCTCCGCAAGCTATTCATATTCAAATACGCTCATTGGTTCGCGGGTTGGACTTTCAATACTTGTAGTCGCGTCGGCGAAATCTTTTGAAAGGCGCCAACAATTGTGTATGTTACAATTCAGGGCTATACCTGCTTTTGGGGTCTCGCAAAGCGGCCGGTTTCCCTTCTCAATCGCGGCTCTGTTGTTGCTCATGTTTGGGAGAATTATTAGCCATTATTGTAGCGGATACTGTTGACGATTTGGGCGCCGTCATGTGGAAAGAAATAGTGAATTGATAGCGGACGTGTGCTCGTGTAGGGATTCTGAACTGAATGGCTGTGCTTGTACACATGCTTTCATGCGGGGAACTGGACTAGTCAGTTGACTTAATTTTGTAGCAAGTCTTCGGGTAGTGCTGTGCTGTAACGGAGTCAACTTTAAGTGGTGGTTTACTTACGTAATCTGTGTTTTCTTTGCTTTCGGTTGGGCAATCAACATAAGGCCAGCCCATCATACTGATCGGAGAAGTCACCGCTACCACCATTATCAACATCATCATCATCATCTCCTCTAGTGGTCTGTTGATTGTGCTCGTGTTTTTTTTTCTTCTCCGCGGAGGCTGTTGCGTAATGGGTACACAACACCTGCCGAGCCGAAGTTTGTTTTTCCCGATTTAGTCACGGAAGGCGTTTAGTCGCAAAGCAAGGCACCAGCACGCACCATGTACCACTCGCACTTCCTTGGTATGGACCGAAGTCAAGTCAATAACGCGAATCATGCCGCGTAGAATGTAAAGATACTGCCACTCGTCAATGCAGTCACATTGAACCATGAGGTTGCACCGTACATCAAATCACCTGGAGAGCATCGCAGCTATAGGGATGGAAGCAAGAATGCATCATTATTGTGAAGCATTTTGATGTTGAGCGACCAACGTTTGTCGTGCAGACTTCTTGCCGGCCTGCACGTATAAGGTAAGAACGGCAATAGCTTGAATTTTGTTAAAGTGTCAGTTTCGTTTTCCCGACTTATTTTGGTATATTACCATGGAACATCGCTCCGTGGCGTAATCATAAACTTGTGACACGTCTTGCACTCATGTTCACGTGCTTTTTGTTGTGTTTATGCCATAATCAGAATCAAGGCACCGAGAAATTCTTTCTTCATGTACTTATTCCTCCATGATTTAGGTAATCAAAGTGTATATACGGTTTCTGACTCCTGTTCGATGATACATGGGTATACAGGGGAGTCAGGTTGGCGTAGCGGTACTTTCCTCGCCTTCCACCGCTAGTGACCCGGGTTCGAATCCCAGCTGGATCAATGGATTGGATTTTCTGTCCCTGCCTGATTCCGTGGGTTTTCCCCAGAATATCTTCTGGGTTTTTCCTCCCACCTCTAAATCTGTAATTTCTTCTCATTGTCTTCCTTCTAAGTTGGTGTGATGTTTCCCCTGGGATACTTTACCGACTATAATATACAGATACAGGCCTGGGGAATATGATGTTTGTGTTCTTGGGCAAGATACTTTACTGCAATTGCCTTTCTCCACCCAGGAGTATAAATGGGTACCTGTGAACTGGGTATAGACATCAAATTGCGCTGATCTCGAGCTGCTGCAAAAAGTTGGTCTCTTTGCCTGATGAATAGGGGTGTTAATTTTCGGTTGTAATAATATGGCATTCAGGCCTTGTGCAAGGCCAATCTGCAATTTGTAGACCTATTCTGTCCACTCCATTGTGTAATAATCACATCAATGAGATCAACATTATATTTAAAAGAATAAATATAATCTGCACATAAGTTGTTTAAAAACTCTGCTTAATTGCCCACTTCAGCCTGATTTAACCCAAAGAAAGGGTATTGAGAACTCCAGATGACCGAGATGCCCCGCGAGGCTTGAACCGATCAATGCGCCCATTCTGCCCGCATCCCCATGCGGCGGCAGGCCCGCTAGCTACGGCTACCTGCTCCGGCATCTATTTTGATCTCGGTGCCTCATCAGCAAATGTGAAGTTTTTGCCGGAAGAAAGAGCGAGAGGGTAAAGACCCACACGTAAGGCTTCACATCCGCAGTCCTCTGAGGGTAACCGGTAGGGCCTTTGACGAGTACATGATTGGTGGTCCGTGCGTGCATGGTTCAGCATATAGTAACAGCGAAGTGGTACCGCTACAGTTGCGTAACTAAAAGGGGCCTGGGGCACGCCTCCCACATCCCCCGTACCATGTACCACCACCCTTCTGAAAATTTGGAGAAGCCAAAAATGAACTTTTTTGGTGTTAAAAACGAATTGAGTGTGACCCCCCCCCCCCTCCAGAAAATAAGGCCCCCAAACTTGTAATTCATCCCAGTTTAATAGATCAACTGGCCCGCCGTCAGTTTTAGGTACATTAATCCATGCACAAGATTATAAATGCCACCCTCCATTTAAAAAGAAAAGTCCCTGACTTTCTCTGTGTTTATAGCAGTTTAGAGAGCCTTGTGTGAATCCATTGCACATCACATACTAATAATTATGCTAAAACCTGCAGGAGCACTTTCGTTTCGAGAACGCTATTTTAGGCTTTGAAACGTTCTCCCTATACGAATTTATAATACATGTAGTTCGAAAGATCATTTAAAACTAGCATTTAAAGTGCCAACAACAACAGGTTGAATTTTTCTTTTGTAAATATCACTCGAAGAAATAATAATCATCAGTAATGTATAAACTTTATCCCGACCAGAGCTAGTATAGGCCTCCATTGTATAGCAAATATTTAAAAGTTGTCGTTTCATACTCATTTAAGCTTGTCAGAAATGTGCCTCATTGTAGCAACACAAAAGACTCATGTACTTGTTTCCCTTCAAGTTTCCGTTAAAAATAGTTTGCTCTATTGTGGAGCATGAAAAATGTGACTTTTGCAGCGGTATCCTTTCACCTGAGCGGCCCAGACGCGAAGCTTGCGTGCGAACGATGCATTGAAATATGCAGACTGCTCGGGGCTGTTTGGCTTATAACGTCCAGCCGTACTATAGAAGCCAGTCAAGGGTTTATGATAATGAGGAGATGCTTTGCACAGAAAATATGTACATAATGTAGTGACTTATTTTCAGCAAGACAAACCGACCTACAGTGAAGCGTGATCGCGGTCCTTTTTATTCACGAAGTGGCCATTTTTATGTCTTGTGCCCCGAATCCAATTTTTCGATTAATTATTTAGTATAAGGGCGGCTTAATTGGTGCGCATGCGCGAAGTTACCAGACTATTATAGTTTGCAATGTTACCTCGCTTTCAGAAAATAAAAATTGCATTTTGGGTAAAAGAAAAAAATGAAACGAAATTTCATCCATTTTTTTTACAATTATTAATGTAAAGTCTACAAATACAATTTGCGTGTTGTATCATCCATTCCCGGACAACTTACGCTCGACGCCATGGGTACGAGGTTGATCGAGCTGGTTCATGATAACAAAATGCATGAGTTCTTAGTACAATACAAAAGTAACAGTCACCGCCACGACACACAACCTTGCACGGCGTTCTCAATTGGTTGAAAGTCTGTCCGAAATTTGATTAAATTGTTGAGTGTAAACGTTGTGCCTTAAGTATGCAATAATTCGTATAAACAAAGGGTTGGCTTTGGTGCATCATGTTATATTTTTGAATGTGACTGCTGCCTGGCCTAAGGTTTGTCAAATTTATCAGAATCTTTGGCCTGGCAACTAGACTTGGTTACTGTTATACTAACCCAAACCAAACGGATGGATGAAATAGCAGGCCGCTTTTTTTTTTTTTTTTTTGATTATAATATTTCAGGTCAATCCAGTCAGTGAGCAGTTTGCAGCAGTTTCATTCATTTCCCAGTTTATTTGAATTGATTAATACTCAGTTTTGAAGTGCAATTAAAGTTCAATACAGATATGTCCAGAATTCCTTCAGTTTTCCCCCTTACTCAGCCTATTTGCAAATGCGTACTATTGGTTGCCATAAAATGCTAAGCAGTCACTCCAATTCTTTTCTGTAAGGTAATTGAAATTGTGCATGGAATTTCACAACGGCGTGTCATGAATTCATAACCAACTATTGCGGTGTCACCTTTGATTTGGTATACACCTCTACAAAGGCCGATTATACATAATCCGCATGCACGTGCACAACAAGGGTGCACACCAGTAAACAGGCCACATATCCGTCCGCCGAGCTCATGAATAAAAGTTATACTCTCAAACTGTTCCACATTAGATAGTTCTGAGAGCCATGGAATTGGGGAATTGAAGAGATATTGAAATGAACCTCTGGTCCGGACTTGGGGCTTCCAATACTGAGCATTTTGGATGCAATTGGGCCCGAAAGTGGCGCTATTTAGCCATGTTGTGGAGGGATCGTTTTTAAAGATGGCTTCTTTTCCGCTTTGGGGAAAATAGGGGCCGTCTTCTTACGGTGAGATTTTCTGGAAAAGTCAATGGTCAACCGTCCAAAAATTGAAAAGAAATTGAAAGATGACATGTTGATCATCAATTTTCTGTGCAGCCTAAAAGCCTTCAGCCCATTGCCATCCGATAAATTGATATGAATAGTAGGAACTTTTATCAAGTCTGCTCATTTTCTCTGCCGTTTATTGAGCGAGATTTCTTTTCAACTGACACCAGAATATGTGTAGACATTCGAAGAAAAAACATATGCATATTCAAATTGCGACATGCCTCTTTCGATTTGCACGAGCTTATACTTTTGGCATCCATAGACTTGTTTAGTTGAAAGCAGATTTTGATTGAAAGTTGAAGTATATTGAATATAGCCTAAATACATCTGAGTCACTCCTATGTCATTTGTTACTATGTCGCTTCCAAAAGATCATTTGATTTTCGCTTGCCATCATGCGATTACGAGCTGAAACAAAGATGATCGTTCAGTATACAGTGCAGTCAAACTTTGCAGTTTCACAAACTTTATTTTGTCACAAGAGGGCGCTGTGTTGAGAAAACCTTGCCTCGTGCCAATGCAGATCCGGCGATTATTTTAAGCAACACATTCGCATCTTGACCTTCATAACCTTTGACCAATCAGTGGACTTATACTGTTGATGACTTTAGTAGCTGACAGCCAGCAACCAATCAACAGCCTTAAGTCATGTTTCACGAACGGCTCCTCAGCATTGGAGGCTTGCGCATGAAATTGCATGCGCACATATCACATGGGCTCAGCAAACGGATGCTGCTTGTCATGTGATAAAACATTAGTTCCAAAGTTTTTTCCATTTTCCAGGAGTCGATCCTTTCTTCATACATATTATACTTTGTGGGTTTGGGGCCAGTGTTTGCCTTTTCCTACCGAAGTCATTGTGTTTGTTATAGACAATTGGGGCGATTGTGGAGAGGCACAGCAATTCCCCCACCCCTCCCCCAATCGCAGGTGTGTTTACCCTGTTTCTCAGCAAATACCCTGATTCATGCTTCCTGTCAAAATATTTACAGAAACGATCAGGCCGGACACAAGAGACGGGTTTCTACTGCAAGCGGAAGGGAACCAGCCTGACAATAGAGCACATTGTTTTCTCTGACTTTTTGTACGTGTTTAACTTGAAGAAAAAAAGAAAGAAGAAAACACACCAATAGATTAATACTTCACATAAACATTGACACACCAGATAGTTGGTTCTTATATTGATACGGGAACTCTCAATGCTTAAAAAAAAATCAGTGTGTTTCATCAAACATAAATGTTGCTCTCCCCGTACGTGCTCTTGAACGAATTTGATTTTTTTTTCCTTACGAAAAACTACGCTTTGTTTTGGGGGCATCTACAATTACCCTCTGAAAGTGAAAATTCCTTTTTGGGGGGTTGCGTACAAAAATATGCCTGATTAATTTCCCAGCCGTAGATAACTTAATATACATACTGGAGATGTGCTCACAACATTGTCACGTGATATGCCTTGATTTTTCACGTGATAAACAGTTTTTTCCGGGCCGCGTAACTACCTCGATCCCATTCGTACCGTATCACAATGGCCCCTGTAATAAAATGGCCGTCGAGCGAATTAAACACCTGGTTTAGAATTCCAACATTCCTGGCGATATTGTCTTGAACATTTTCGGACTTTTTTTATGGGGGGATCTGAGGGGCGCCTGGGGCGAAATCTTTGCGCTGAAGAAACTGCAATGCAGTGCGTGCGTATTTTCTGCACCAAACAAACCGGTCGGTTGATGAGTGGTGTTGACCTTAACACGAGCAGGTCTGTTGTTTTGACGCTGCAAACACGGTGCATATTCAACCCGTACTTCGCCCTGGTGCATTCCTTAGATTGTAGGGTCAAACAGTCAACTCTCTGTGAACTTAGTGTCTTGTCTGTGACGCGCAGCTGCCGAGATAAAGTGGTAGTGAGATACCAAGCTGAATTTGCAGAATCTATGATGCGCAGTGTAGTTCACACTGTTTTGGAAGAAGATCCATCTTTGAGAGACGGTAAGCAATGCTTGTACAAGTATTTCCACAATATGAATCGATGTCAAACCCTCGCATTTGTCCCGCCGTCTGCACGTTCTGTACTGTCTTTGGCGAGCATGGTTGCCAGGGTTATCATTATTGTCTAGGTACGATACAAACTTGTACTTGAACTTGTAAGAAGATCTCGCTAGGTGCGTACATGTATATCAAGAAATGTTGAGCTTTGGATTTGAAAGCTTGCATTCATGAACCCATGCATCTACATGTACGGTCCGGGTATGCGTTTCACGTTATACCTGTACTTGTGTAAGATTTGGTACTTTATTCGCGCAAAAAGTAAGCCTACAGTACAATAATTATGAAAGTCGGAACATTTTGTGACACAATAAGCTTGATACGTATACACGACCCTTCAAATCTACGTGTTTCTTCTTTTACTTGAAAATCACATGACCTGACCCTTGCATGCAAAGTAAACTAAAAGGGCGTATTTTGAGCAACGCGAGGAGCTTCATGTGATTTTCGTAGTTGTGCTCGATCCTAGTCAAGACACAGTGTTTATAGCGTCTTGTTTATGTTCCGCATTGCCATGGGGTCTCAGTCAGCAGCCTGTAAGTGCGTGCCGCGTTATACCATTATACGACCAAGTTCAATCTGAACGTCAAGTTGAAAGGTCAGGCACAGTTTAAGGGATCAACCTGTCGGGTTATCGCGCATACTTGCGATGGCTCGGGAAAGAAAGGAAAGATTACGGGCCATGGGATTGTGGTTTGTGATACCGTATACATGTAATGTGCTGGCGCAGAGTGCTGCTTGTTTTTCCTTCCTGCCACTGTTGTGGGATGTCCGACGTAGCTAGCTGTGTGGTATGGGCATCCGTTCTTCCTTCGTGGTGCATCCAATTTCAACTCATGGTTTCTAAACTCAAAAGTGTGAGTTTGAGTACGGTTTGTGTGTTCTGTGGCTAGACGTACTATTCTCCAGAGTTACTTCTCTCCACCACTCAGCATGCTCAGGTGTACTTACACCAGAGATGTTGGAATTCGCCTTTTTGTGGGAGTTTGAAGCAGTGAGTTGAAGTAGCCGAAATGAATACCTTTAATATTGGGTTTGACAAGCAAGAGTGATTATAACTTTGCATTTGTGCTGATCTTCTTTGCCCCTATCTCACTGATTGGCTCACTGACTGTAACCGGGCAGTGCTATCGTATAGGGTTTCCCCGTAACGCCGATGAATTGGCTAAATCCGGCCCGTTGTGTATAGACCGGCGCATGAAAAGACTTCCAGTGAATAGCCACTCTAAATCAATTGACAGAATTGAATTGTGTGCCCTCTGGTTTGTAGTCAGTGGACAGAACGGTGTGTGCCCTATTGAAAACTCCGAGTGCACTCGACGATCAGAAGAGCGCGCGTATATTTTAAACACGTGCATCTGTCAAAATAAAAGGATTGAGCCCAGTAAAAAAGTTACTGAAAACTGTATGAGCTTTTTAAGCAAAGGACGAATTTAATATGAACAACCAAACCTTGGCTATCAGTGCTAAGGGCATTTTATGGTATCGGGTACATGTTTTTGTAATCCTCAGTTCCTCACAACTGAAAGAAAGCACACAGGCCCTCGGTTTTAATTCTGATTTCAGATTCGTCTGTTAGTTACCTCCAGTGCCCTTGGTTAGGTGGGTTGGTACCAGACAACGCTGAACACCCTTGTGCATGAAACCTGAGGGCGCCATGAAAATGTCAAATAGAATATGCAACAATCTGTTCTCTGAGGCAAACAAAACTTATCTCTTCATTGGCACCGTCAGGTACGCCCTTCAAATGGGCTTTATTATATTACCGAGAATAGTCTCCGGTGTCACCTGGAAATCAAGTCAGTGATATCGGCACGAAACGTAACAGCAGACGAACGAAAATAAACTTTAACCCCAAAAGACTACCTACAGACGTCACGTGTTATGCTCGTGTTATGCTTCTGTCGCTATCAAAGAAAACTATCACGTATGCCACAGGATACGCCAATCGAAGTTTTACATTCTTCACCGACTGTTAACGGTCGCACGAGACTGTTTTGAGCTTCGTGTCTAATTCTTGCGTTTTTCTCCCGTTTTACCTGGCGTTATTGATAGCCACGTATTGGGCATTCGCGAATTCATTTTACTTAGTTAATGGCGACACAGACAGTGTGGTTCTTTGTAAATCCCCTCATGCGTCATGGAGCCCATTGGTGTTATAATGGGTGTGAAAACAGGATTATCCGGGTTATTTTGGATACCCATCCAAACACCGAGCGTGAGATATTAGGCCACCAGTCCCCATGAAGAAAGTCAGACTAATCGAACGGTAGTCTGTTGATCTTCCTCGTGCTTGAGTAAATCGTTGGCTTTTATTCCTGCCAAACCACTGCGTGTTGTTGACACAATTTACTTCTTCTTCATTTTTTACGGTTCCGTGTCTTTTCTTTCATCCCAACTCACAGACCCCCAGCGAAAGGAAATTGAGGTCGACAAGGTGTGAGCTGGAGCATGAGCCCGGTCCAAGTGGGCGAGAATACGGCATTGTTTCCGCCTCAGCAGGCTAGACTGAGATTGCCCCGGGTGCCCGGCACGGGACCGTCATTCCCCGTCATGGCTTGCCGGGAGAAGCAGCTTATGAACGGCATCCTGTCAGCGACCAGCTCGCCCGCTGCCGGCTCCGGGCTCAAGAGCAGCCAGACGGCGTGGTACAAACGACTGCCCGGTCGCAGTAAACACCACCGGTTAGGACCCCTCCGCGAAGAAAACAATACTGTGCCGATAAATGAGCGGGCAGCCCCCGGGCCCAGCGGAAGCTGTAAGCCGACCTCGTCATCAGGTACACAATCCCTGATGACCAAATGTACCTCCAGTGCCAAAACACGGTCAAAGGGCTCCCCGAGATACAAGACTGAAGACCGGGTCAGTTCGAAGAAAGAGAACGGCGAGACTACACGTCGCAGACCGCAAGACTCTCGGCCAAGCTTTGACAAACTCTCCAGTAAACAACGCATGAGTTACCCTCCTTGCACGGGGCCAAGTCACTCAAATGGCCTGTCCGATCTCTCGGCAGTCAAACAAGTGCACTCGTGTCCGGTATTATGCGATCTAGAAAATGTAACCATCACACCAAAGAAAACAGCATCACCAAGCAGCAGTGCTCACAAATGTGCACATTCCTCTGACAAGGCAATGACTGGAAGACTAGGGGCCAACAACCATCACAAAACCAAGCCGGACGTTACGAAACGTCACGGGGAGCACGACCGTCTTAAAGTCCCGGACGCAAACACAAGCGGACGACACAAACATGGTCACAGGAGACCGAAGAACAGCCGAGAAGAGGCGAGGAATCACCGGCCGAAGCCGCCATCTTGGCAAGATCTGCCACCGGAGCAGAGTGATAGTGGTGCAAACGCACCGGACGCGATCCTGACGCACACGTACGCCGTACCGGAATCCACACACAGCATTCCCGCAGTAGCGGGGTACCGCTGTGATAGCGCCACCACTCGGTCGACAGTGGAATCGGAACGGCGAGCCGTGCGCGCCAACATCAGACGGACGCGAAGCCGCGTCATCGACAGCAGAGAGATTCCCAAACACGAGGCCGTGCTGCCGCTGTCGCAGACCAAACCCAGCGAGTTTCACCTCCGTAAGACTTACCACGACGACACCGTGTACCTGCTGGAGAACGCGCAGAGGTGTCGCAAATGGCTGGCGGCCCTGGAAGAGTCTGACGTCACGCCGCTCGTGGGCGAATCAGAGAACAGTCACGGATTGGAGGACGAAACGGTTACGTGTGCTGTGGAAATCTCCAACGAGAAATGGAGCTTCTTAGGCTCGCCCTACCCATCTTCGAGCGAATGCAGTTCTGATGATTAGTAACTAGGACATGCACGCTTCTAAAGACTCAACGTCATCCAGTGATTTAACTCCAAACTTTCGGTTCACGTGCGAAAGTAAGCCTACATGTTGAACATGACCTTATCGGAAAACATACCTCACGAAGTACTCGCCACGGATCAGGTGTTGCCCTGACTTCCAATTGGCTAACTATTTTAAAACAACATTGAAGCGTTTACAAAAATAGAAGCTTTCCGCGTTTACTAGGGCCCAGTATACCATGCTATTAGCTTCTAAAAGTCCAGGGTGAAAGCACTACATTTCGGACCCCTCGTTTTCAAACAAATCCTGGATCTGCCCCTGATATGGTTAATAGTAATGAGTTCTGGTGGTCTGTATAATTTTGCGTCAAACCTCTTCAAGAACGAGAAAACGCGTGACCGCGCAAGAAATCATTTCAACGAAACAGCTTACAAAATGGCGTCTGCCGGGAGTGTTATTTTTGTTAGAACCATCGCATTTTTAAAGGCATATATAGGAATATTCGCGTCTATGCCAAAAGTACAGGCTTCAAACAGATTTCTATCAAAAATCTTACTTGGATTAAATATCGTTCTGGTACTTAACAGTTAACACCCCGTGAAATTATTCTGTCTGGTTTGCTGTCATTAAGACAAAATCAAGATATGAAGGTGATTTCCAACGATCAGTTAATCTTTTAAAGACTGATCTTTGGAGAGAAAAAAAGAGTGCTAAGTTGAATTGACGAAATCGTGTTTCATGATCAAAAGGTTTTTTTGCACACTGTTTTCTCGATACGTGATATCCCCTGAGATGAAGCCTTTAACAGGTTAGGTTTTGAACATTCTTTTTTGGATTTTGAGTGGTGTTATTATTGGAAACAACAAAATGCATCAAAATCAAAATGATCGCAATTTGTCTTTAGTGACCAAATCAGGTGGCGAGACTCAATTGAGATCACTTAATTGTTTGTATTTTCCTTGAAAAGGTATCATTTGACGAGAGGACGACAGTGCCATCTTTTCCCCATGCATGTTATAATGTTTTTTAAAATGGTTGCATTATATCGTAGGCCTACATGTACACGTACTTGTATTCTGTTAATTAGTTTAAACGCATACAGTACAATCTGCTTGCAAAATGAGAGACAATGAACATTAGAATTTATACAAATTCTATTTTTTTAAAGGACAACTCTTTTTATAACTTTAAACCTAAATATGTTATTACCTGTACAACAAGAGTAGATCGTTGTACGTGTACTCTAATGTGAAAACGATGTTATGTTTTTGTTTGTTTCGAAAACAGACTTATTTTTCTTTTCATCGCATGAATATAGTTAAATGAACAATTATCTGTGCCAAGTTATAGTCTTTGTCTTTTCTTGGGAGTATTGTGCTTCAGTAGTGCAAGAAGTTTGACTTGCTATTACTTCCACAATGAATAACATAAACAACCGAACATTAATTATCAGGAAAAGCACTTGCCGATTTCAATAAAGTAATCTTTTGTCAAAGTGTTGAAGGAGTCCAAAACAGAAACAAATGATTTTTGTTAGAATAAAGCATATAAGTTATAAGTACATGTACATGTAGAAGAAAAATCGAATTTGTTTGAGAGCACGAAGAAGACAACTTTCAAGAACGTTCAATTATTGTGGAGCCGGAGACGAAGCCAAAGCCAAAACGAATCCTATGTTTAAAAACACTCATGGACTCGCTTCGTCAAGAGAGGTCGTCCTGACATCTCTACGGTCTTTGTGCTCAGCCCATAGCCAGCCTAAGGTTGCAAACCTGTAAATAAACTGCCATTGACACCAGTGATAAACACGCCCACTTCCGAAATGAAGGAGAAATGCATGTACTCACAACTCTCCAAGGCGTTTGAGACAAACATCAAAATAATGAAAGCTAATTTCATCGTATTTCATTTTTTTTCTTCATTTTTTGGGGGTTATGCAATGGTTTGTTTTGTTGAGAAAATTCCATCCAATATAATCACCCCTTAAAGTAGTGACCTGTAGCCTTTTCTTACTTCGCAAAATGACTGCGCTCCACTGCAAAATAGAGCAATCGAGGGCCTAATTTCATCCGAATTTCACAGAAATACGAGCTCCCAGTCCTTTGCACGGCTTCCAGCCTTTTTTTTGGGGGGGGGGGGCGCTATTTACTGGCCTGCGCCCCTAATAAGTGCGGTATGCCTACATGTACCAGCACAAAACTCAAAACCAGAGTAAATTTGTGAGATATTTATTAATTGAGACATCATCAGAAATAGTATGACCGTTTTATGTAATAGCGTAGTTACGGTTTACATACCACTCAATCAACTCAATTTTAAGGTGCACATAAAACAATGACGTAAGGAATGAGCCAATCCAATCAACAGGTTTAACAGCCTTTAGGATAAATGTGATTTTATACATGTCATATTTAGCTTCCATCGGAATTTGCAATAACTGTACATGCATTCAAAATGAGGGCGCACTTTCATGATAATTGTGAAGTGGAGGTTTATTCTCACAGATTGTTTCAGTCGACTTATCTTATCTATAATGTTTTCCTGCTGCTGTCTGTTTAATAAAAGTGACCCAACATTTTGTCGTTGACCAGAAAATTGTCGCATAGTTTGTACCGTGAAGTTTTACAGTCAGTCACGTTTCTGCTTCCTCCTCTTCGATACTCGGTACGCTGAATTCGATACGTCGTTTCGTGGAATCCGTCTCTAATCGAGTCCCAACCACCGGACAGTCCCCCAGCCACTGATCCACCAATGTCTTGACTGGGCGCTCCTCCGCAGTGGGTGTATTCGAAGGCACAGTCGGACGTTCCGGTTCAAGAATCGAAGCGTCGGTATCGATTCTGCTCTCGCCTGGACTGCTGTTTCTCCGAGACGCATTCTGCCGAGAAAGCTGATGCAAACCGAGTAACATGTTTCGTTCTCTGTGAGTGCTCTCGGAGGTGGACGACCCTGTTGATTCGCTCTCGGCGGTGGAGTCACTGCTCGGTTTCGACTTGGGACTCTTGGAATTGGTCTTCGGAATCTGCGTCAGGATGAGGAGCTTCTTGAAGGACTGAATGTTGCCCTTCTCTAGTTCAATAGTCTGGGTGGTGACGGAGTCCGAAGGATGACCGTTGTCTCTGAGTAGGGAGCGCATGTGGAGGAGCTTGGAGTGGTAGGTGCTGGGTGGAGGTACCCGCCGTGGTGTACTGCGAGGTACCGGCGTGGGCTCCTCAATCGCTCCGGTGAACGGAGAGGGTGGGGGTGAGACATACTCCCCAAGGATCTCGGATAAGAACTCACTGTCACCGTCTCTGATGCTGCTCCCGAACTCCGAGTTTGGAGTCTTCCGTGAAGACGGGGTCCGCGAGGATAAGCTGACCGTAGTAACGCTCAGGTCTCCCAGGGAGGCAACGCTGTTGGAGGCCGGCGACCGAGTCCGCAGTGCGTGCTGCGGGTAGCTCAGGTGAACGGCAGGCTGGGACGATTTGGACTCGGCTCTCTCGGAGATGAGGCTGTTTTGTTTCGTCCTGTAAGACGGTCCATCGCAGGACAAAATCGGTGTACCTACATCTCGTGGACTGGTGATACTGGGGTGGATAACCTTGGCCTTTCCCTGCACGCCCATGTCGTAGTCGACCGGCCGGTGAGCATCTTGGCTGATATCGGGCAGTGCGCCCCCAACGGCCGGTGACTTCCGTTTCGGTGCAGGACTGACAAAGAGTCGTTGGGAGTTCTGCAGGGTGGTGAGGCGACCAGACGCCCTCGACGTCGAGGCGCTCCGTGCTGGATAGCTGGGTTGCACTCCCCCTCGCAGACCAACGATGCATAAACCTGTAAAATTGCAGAAAAGGCGTCTAAATTCAGCAACTTTTCAGTTAACCATGATCAGATTCAGATAGGGTAGTATTAAAAGAAAAGACAGGGTACCGAGCTGATTCCAAGTGTGATCAAATACATTTCTTGTTATCATTACATAACCTTTTTGCAGTGACAATTGTTTAGATAAATCCTACTTCAAGATTAGTCTATGAAATTGCACGGCAAGCGTCTATGATATCCGAGCATATCATGCAAAACAACACTGCGTCTTGACGTCCCGTTTCTGACCATTCTGCGAGCGCCTTCTGTCGTGTCTTCGGTAACCCGATGTTGTATGACAAAAATGGCAGCTATTGATTACCCAATCAACAGCTTTGGCCGACTTTCTGCTCTAAATGTCGTCACAACTCTTAAAAGTAGTTTGTATGCGGGGTCGCATACAATTTACATGCACGAATATATCAGGCGTTCGTAGTGTAACATTTTGTGGTCGTTGTAGTGTTATATGTTTTCCCAGTCACTTTAACACTTGTATCTTTCAACTTCCATAGAAAAAAAGATACTTTAATTTCGTTCAGAATGTCGTTGGGCTCCATTGTTAATTCGATTTCTTATTTGCACCAATAGATTTCATATTTTGTCCAGTTTAATTCCAAAGTTCCAAAGTTTGGGAAATTCATTTGATATTGATTGACGTTGGACTGAAAAAGCTAATCCGGTTTGTTTTTATCATTGACAAGTTTTATAAGCGGAGATCGACAACGCGATATCTCTTCTCCACTGAATGATTTTTTTTGTAAAGATTGCACTGGAATTTTCATGCAATTCGTTATGAAAAAAAACCTAGTGTGCGGTAAAAAAAAAATTGAATTCGGTTATTGTTGTGGAAGCGGTCATTGAGATACTAACAATGCCGAAGTGAAACGATCCGGGAGGCAGTACCAGTTCAAGCTGAAGTGAATTCCATGAAGCATAAAAGAGGGGGGAAACCCTGGGGGAAAGTCAATTGTACGGAAACAAAAGACTACTATCAACTCGGTTCCGCCACAATGACATGGTATTGAGAAAAACACATGCTGCTGTCTCTGAGCGAGTGGATATGGGTTTAATAAAATTGTAAGCAAACTTGTTGATATTGAAAATAGGTACTCAAATTTGTGCCTATAATTTCTGCTGGCCGACATGCAGTCAAGCGGTAGATTGAAATAGTGTTTACCGAAGCAAACTTACAACAATCTATAATCCAAGGGCGGATCCAGAACACATTTTTCTTTGGGGGGGGGAATTTTGGTCCACAAAAAAATTGGTCAAAAATGACAGCGTGAGGTTCAAAATTGTTGGATTCTAGATGCTCTGTGTTGCGATCTGAGGCACTTTCTGACCACTTTAACCAATCCTTTTTGAGGAAAAGATGGTGGTGTACCAGTGACTGCCTCTACTGCGACAACACTTAAAAAATAAAATTGTGTTCGATGTTTTTCTTTGGCGGGGGATGGCCCCATTGCCCCCCTCGATCCATCCTTGCTATATAATCAAAACATGACCCATCTTTTTCCTTTCACACTAGGCTCTTGTCAAACATATTCTATCTTTGTCAAACAAGATTTTTAAAAAACCCGAATGCTCTAGAACTCACCATCAGAGTGTTGCTTCCAGTGCATGATGAAACCTTTTTTTTGTACGCAAAGAACTTTGTCACAGCTTCTCGGTGGTCAACTTGCCGAGAACGAACACCCCGGCCATGTTCCTTCCTCCTTGGAGACGAACTGAATCGTCCCCGTGTATGCGCCTCAGCACACGGCCCAAGAATGACGCCGTACCTGCTACCAAGGAGTTATCGATCACTAAAATTCGATAGTTTTGTTCTTTCGTGTTTCAATAAAAGGCACTTTCAATCGGATTATGGACCAGACAGTAGGCTAACAACCGGACGACAATGCTTACAAAGCCTCTTGTTTTGGTACACCGCGGAGAAGTCTTGAAAGGTTATTTCCTTTGGCTTTAAGACGCGAATCGCTCTATTATCCCTTCAGAGGAGGAACCACAGGAGCTCCTTCTTTTTGATACGGTGGCGGCACCTAGAATGTCTTCGTACTTGATTAGGCAAGCAGAAACTGGTACACAATATCTTCATGTGAATTACACACCCATAAAGTTTTGTGGTCAACCTAACTACAACTTATCTAACTAAACGAATTGTGTGGTTCACATTGCGAGCAACGTAAATTAATACAAATGTTTTAACTTTTTTTAGGTGCTCGCGAAACCTCGTCTCCAGTTTCGCTTAAGAAAAGGGTCATATTATATACCAAGACACTTGAGTTTGGCCCGAAGGATTTGTGTTCCACTTAAGGCCTATCTCATCCTTTTATAGGAGGCCAAGTTCTTAGAGTATTCAGTCATTTGCTTTAATTTCATAAAAGACTTACAAATTGTCATGAAGGCTAGGGCAAAGCCAAAGCGGAACATGAGTCGGGGTTTCGAAAATGCCCTTTATTGAAAAGAGGTTGGACAATACCGCTAATAAGCTTGGCCGTGTAAATTGCGAAAATTGCAATGTCGCGATCTTTCGTGAGATTTTAACCGACGAACCGACTAAATGCAGAGTTCTTTCAGAAGATTCGTCGGGGCAGAAACTTCAGTGTATTTTCTAAGTTTAATTATATGATTCAGCATAATTCCCTCGCGAAACCAATTGGCAAGATCCACAGCATTAAAGAATATCGAAAAACAATTCGAGAGTTGTATCAGTAACACCCCTAACACCCCCTTAAAAATCATATCACATTATGCTACGAATTCAAACATATGATTTCTGATAAATTGCTTTGAAGCAATGTTTGCTAACATGTCAACATTGCCTTCCCTGATCATCCCCTGATCACGGATCCGGGACATGATTCAGTCGTCCTTAATCCTGCTCCATAACCTCCGGATTCAAGACGAATACAATGCGACCGATCGATCATCCTTCGGATTAAGACATCGGATCAATAGCCCTCCCTCGTAGCTACAACACGTCGTGTGGTGGCGCTATACTGTCTTGTACAACTCACAATGACTCCTTGAATTGTTTATTGTCGCCGCAGGTTCAACCTTGTAATAATCTTTCTAATTTTACACTGATTTGTGAGTTTATTTATTTTAGCTTATGTTTTACTGTTTAACTAGTGACTCTGCTTCAGTATGCACACTTCAAGAGATACAAGTGCATACGCCTGCATCCTGCGGCATTCTTGTAATTTATAGAGGTGCCGTCGTCGGAAAACCGTAACGGGGAAGTTTTCTATTGTTGGTAACATTTGGACCGGTTGTGGAAAAACGTGACATTTTTCATCCTTACAAACCACACAGAATGGTCTGCTATCACTACAGCTACGGAAAAGTATCATGTGACCTCTCCCATGGTACCCAGCGATTCTTGAATGTAAACGATGGACTGTGGATGTACAGAGTACCAGCGATTGGTTAAACCCTAACATTAAAGTGTTTTTTTTGGGGGGGGGAGGGGTACAAACAACCCATAATGACTGATTGCTTTAAAATCTAGTATACAAGTAGAGACATTCATGTTTACTACATATGCAAAGTTTAGCTTAATCGGACGAAGCCTTTTGGAACTACGATCAGACAGATTCCACGCATCCGTCCGGACTGAGGGCGATTTAATTGACTCCCGTTGAGCGGATGTACATGTGTTGAGAGTATATCTTTGCACATTACTGTCCGCCGTTACATGCAAATGAAGCCGGGTGATTATCGTTGCTAATTCCACTGACCGCAGTATTGATACTTGATCGATATCTGTTCCCATCCAGCATTGTGAGAAGCTTGAGGTTCATTTACCTTGCTACGGCTCCAATCAGACGTATGATTAGTTCGATTTCCCCCCATATTCCTGCCTCCCCCTCCCAACTGCACAGGGCCCGCCCCCGCTATTCAATTTCTGTTGGAGAGCACACGTGTACGAAATTACACGTGTATTTGAAAAAGCAGAATCACTTCTCGCAAAATAATGACCCTGTTGTAATACATATTACTTTTTAATCGTCTTGTCTTGAAACTCCTCCTGGCCATTCTCGCTGTATACACTCGCACTGCTTGGTTTTTGCTGGATCAAAGGGCCTGCAGACTATTGCTCTTTGCATGGACTGACTTAGCGACTGATTTCCTGACTATGGAGTCAGCGAGTATGATGTCCTTTACTCTGAGGTTCGGGTCCAGCTCGACTAAGCAAGCATTATAGTGGAACTTACACTCCACAATTAACTTGCTATTTTCCAACTTGAGACAACACTTGGAAAAATTAGAAGACCTTGTAATAAGTGTTAACAATTTTAAGGTATCGAAGGAGAAAACAGAATGTACAATGTTTCGGTATTGTTTCAGCAGGGGGAAACCCCTAAAATGCCGTCCAATGTTCAAGGCTAATAAAATTACTCAAATCCTTCCACTTGTTCAAACACAAAGTGTAAATTATGTAAGACACTTCAGCTTAATAATGTGTGTTCTTGTTTGGTCGACCCATATCAGGCCAACATTTCTTCTTCTTTTTATATGTACCGCTTTACTACTACAGGATCGTGTTTGGACAGTTGGGTGCCGATATGGTAGGGGAGGTCCCTAAAATTCCTCCCCGATAAGTTAGATATCAAAAGTGTATGTCTATCGCTATAAAACGTACCCCACTGCGCGCTCCTCGCTAAATTGATCCCTGTAAAAGTTTGAAAACACTCCAAGTTTATGTGCTGGTGTAAATGTGGACTGCTTGACACGGGGTGCCAAAGAGCAAACAGGTTCCATGGAGATCGACGAGATAATCACCTTGTAATTGTAGCACATTAACGCTCGAGGGGGTTGCTCTATGAACGCATAAATCATTTTCTAGCTTGATTTCGATCATATCGTATCTTTTTGTTTGGTTCGTTTCAGGTTCGGTTACACATTAACCAAACGTGCCCATAGAACTATTGTGCTTGCATCACTGTCAAAGAATGTCACATATTCCAATTTTTCATCAAAACAATTGGTTCAAATCTTTACGTATCCCATTGTTATGATTTTATTAGTAATCGATCATCAGCATAAAATATATCTGACATAATATATTTACAAAATAGAATAGGGCCTAAGTACAACAGTTGTTGAGTCTGCAATTAATTTTAGCGGAAAATTCTTCTGACCGATGTTTTTTTTCGACCTAATGTGTTGAATTTGTTAAAGTGTCGTACAGTAAGCATGCAGTACATCACATATCAGTCAAAGCACACAATAATGAAGAATCGCACAAGAAGGCCAACTGTGGGTATAGAGTTTTCATAAGGGCAAACTTAAAGGCTTGATCTTGGCATCTTTTCAGATCTTATTACTCGATTATTTCAAAACTGTCCTGTAAGTTAACCTCCCTCAACCATTTGACGACTTGGTTAGTCTTCCTAGAGCTGCAGTAATTCAGGTGCTTGATGACAAATTCCTCTTGTTTCCTTGTGTTCGTCTTCCTCTCTTCCTTACTTTCCGTCTTGGTAGTGTCCATTGATGGAGTCGCAGCTTCTACCTTGCTGGACGTTTCACTAGCTCGTCTCAAACTTCGCGTCTTCTCCTTCCAGATGCAGAACGACCCGTCCTCAATCTCCTTCGCCGAGTCTCTCAACTCAGCTTCTTTGTGGGAACGTCCACCTTTCGAGATTGCCCTCTGACCCTTAGTTCTGTTGGGAAGCTTCGTGGAGGATTCGTACCGTCCCACCGGGGTTCCTTTCCCCGTCTCTTGCTGTCGAGTCCTTGGTGAATCTGTGGAGCTGAAGTACCTCTGTCTCCTAGCTCTGATGGCAGTTTTTGTGGCGCTTTCTACTATCGGTGTTGAGGGACGCCTGTGATCCTGGGACGTCGGTACCAGACCCCTAAAGGGTCTGGATGGCGTGTTCAGGCTGTCATCTAGCGGCTCCACTCTCGTATGAAGGAAGCTATCCGAGAAGCAACTCCTAATGATGCCGTGGCTCCTCTTGGCACCGGTCCTTGGAGTAGGCACCATGGCGATGTACGGTTGCCTTTGGCGGTTGTCTCCGGCCCGGATGGGCCCTCGTTGGCCCTCGATGACCGGTAACGCCGTGTCCTTCTGCCTGGGGTCCTGATTTGACGGCAGCCAGACGCTGCTCATCGCTTCCAGAGCGACTGGGAGGTTGGTCTTAGGCGTCATGAGGTCCTGTGGGGCTGGAGTGAGTTGGTAGATGGCGGTGCGTTGGATGGGCGGGGAGGATGGCGAGGGTGGGTGGGGCGTTAGCACCGCCTGGCGCTGGCTGGTCTCCGGTTGCTGGGTGTGTTTCATGGGGTCAGTGGTGGGTCCATACCATACCTCACGACAGCAGGCATCATTGTCGGTTATCTACGAGAAAATAAGAAGCATTCGAAGAAAATGAAGATCTATATTTAAACATCTGAAAGTATTCAGTCTCTGAAAATAAGAGAACATTTGACTGTAGTGAATTACAGACTGAATGCGAAAACCAAGGAGCTTTTGACTCACTTATTGATATTTAGATAACTGAACTGTCTTAACATGTGGTGTACTCCTTTACGTATTTAATTGAAATGTATCTTTCCAAAACGTCCCTTAATTAAAAAAAAAATGACGAGTGAACTCATCTGTGACTCACTCATAAACCTCACACCAGCACATTATGTGTAAACAGCGGTGTTAAATCAAAATATTTCCCCCAATAATCTGTGATCAAACAAAACAACGTCTATGGAGTTTGTTGTCGAAATTCAATTCTGCAACACTATGCTTCAACTTAAACTACGCTCCTTAAACTTTTCCCCACAGATTATTTGATGATCAACAATCATCATGTTGATATCCAGTACTTCGAATAATGTTCAGTTTATGTTGACAAGGTATCAAGCAAGACGTTCATTTTTATATTAGTAGAACTGCATACGCAGATTGCTAACGTGAACAAACACGCCTAACGAAACAGTTAGGCCTACACTACAATAATGCTGTCTTACCTCGGTTGCTGCAAATACCATGTCCAAAGAAACGCAATTGTTTCACACAAACACGCCACCGCCAATTTGCATGGTGACACGAGGATCAAGACTTAGAATATGTGCTAGTTTCCTCGCTGTATTTTTGTTCTTTTCAAAATCCTATTAGGGAGGAATCAACCGTATTTCTGAAATTGTGCGTGAGACATTACAAGGACTAGCGACCGGCCGAGTACAAGGAACACCCCGGGTGGGGAGACAATGGGGCCCGGTGAGGTACCACAGAAATCGAACTCTGCTCGGCTTCTCTCAATTTTTATTTCGTTCCTCTTTTTGACAGAGAGAGGCTCATCGATCGTACCCTAGCGACGGCCCGATTTGATCAATAGCTGTAACCCTCAGCTTATCTTATTGACTTACATATCGTGCCGGCCGTGCGTCGCGTCAAGGCATGTGTCGCGTGAAAATATAACGGTGCAATCATTATTCATGCAGGCCCCGATGACAGCTATAGTGTGCACTTTGATGGGTCGACGAGATTTGGAGAGAGTCAAGTTTGTGTACACGGTCTTTTTGGGAAGAGAGGGGGCATGCTATTTCGCAAACCCCGTGGTGCATGAATTTTTTGAAGATGAAGAAAAAATGTGACATAAGGCCAAAAAAAAAAAAAAAAAATCGGTCTCTGGTCAGACCAAAGTTCCGGAATTGACGCGGCGACGCGGCTTTTTTTTTTTTTGCTTTTTTTTCTTTTTTCTTCAAGCTTGGATTGTACAGACAAGGTGGGGTACTATTTTGCTTTTTTGGTGTCCTCATGTACATTGGTGTCCTTCATAATTTGCTTTGGTGCTCTCGATCATTTGCCGTGGTGCAATTTCCCATTCCTTGGTGCTCTTTGGTAAAAAAAATTGAGGAGGTGCGGCAATATAGGGCGCTGTTGGAGCTACCGCGGAACATTTTGGAAAAAAAAAGATTGACGCGCATGATTAAAATCGACGCGCGCGCTGACCAGAGACCGACCTATTTTTTTTTTGGCCTAATCACTCCTTTGTTATAGTTTACAACTTGTTACTTCTGACTGGACTTGCGATATTTTTGTTGACGTGTGGTCTGGCTTCAAAATCGACTACAACGCTGCAAAAGTTTCGGACCCCTTTCAAAACAGCTTCATCACATGAAAGGCCTACTCGGTTTGTGTGCTTTCCTGCAGGCTACATACGGGGTCCTCAAAAGAAAAAAAGAACTGGAACGGGTCGCCAAGTCTTTAAAGATGGTCCTACTGGCTAGTACTTGCTTTTTGGCTGCCTGTTGTTAATCCAAACCGCGTTCAAGGCACACAAACATGCAACCCCCTCCCCAACCCCTTCAGCCGCTGACTAAATGTTATGATACTATAGTAAAACGGGGCCCAAAAAAATGAATAAATTGAATGCTAAAGTTCGTACATTTATTTTCAAATTTAAAAAAATGTCCAGGGGGAATGCCCCAGACCCCCAAGCAGAAGGGCATGCCAGGTCACTCAATTAACAACCCCCACCCCCTTTATCTGAAAGCTAGATCCGCCCCTACCATGGATTACTCTTCTATGCAGACAGAGGAAGCTGTGTAAACAGTGTATCATTTTGGAACGCGTTGGTCTTTGTGAGACTCAGCACTACGAAACTCACAGAATTTGCCAAGCACATACAAATATTGGCTTAGTAGCAAAAATAGGTAAACCAGCTAAAATGCCACGTGGTGTAGTTTGCTTGTCACTGGCTCCCAGTTGATTTTTGCTTAGCACGCAAATGTCCCAAGCCATATCTTCTGCCAAGCATATGCTCGATCCGTGATGAATTAGGGCCCATGAGGTTCCAAGGAAAGTCCGGCGCGAGTTAACTACACTCTTGACTCTCATTATCAACCGGCGGGTCAGATATGTGGAGAATAATGAATGAATGAATGAATATCGTCGTCCGTGAACGTCTGAGCGTGACCGTCTATACGTCTGACCGAATGCAAATAAATTCCTGCAAACAAGCATGACCGCATGGCTGGAGTTGATTATCCATCAACTACAGATATCCAGGGATGATGACAATAGCTGTGGGAAAACTTGCTTAATGGCTGACCCTGAAATAATGACCTACCATTGAACAGAACGAAAATGATGAATTGCTTTCCTTATCCTTTGCAACTATTTTGCCCTGGACACTACGGATATAATAGCCAACCTGCGCATGCATTCTGTATTGCCAAAGTGTCGGTGATTACAAAAATGTGTTTACTTCCATATTTTGTTCACCAAAGCGCTTCATTAACTTCGTTTTCACAATTCTGTCACAAGAGGTAGGGCGAGGGGAAATAAGTCCCTTAAACCCTGACCTGGTTCAGGTGTGCTACGAGGGGCATTCTTTGGGCAAAGCTTTCAGTTGTTCAATCCTGGTTGCTTACCGGTGCTGTTAACGATGTAATGTCCGTGCTGTTAAACAAATTCGGTTGGTTGGTTGGTTGGTTGGTTGGTTGATTGGTTGGTTGGTTGATTGGTTGGTTGGTTGGTTGGTTGGTTGGTTGGTTGGTTGGTTGGTTGGTTGGTTGGTTGGTTGGTTGGTAACAAACGTCAGAAAATGCCATTTATGGCAATCAATCACCTTGTCCCTTAGGCCCTCGCAACAACACGTGCTTCAGGTTCATGGCTCTGAAGGGTCACAGGTCTCCCCTGACCAGGTAACAATTTATTGCAGTCGTGGAAAATTGTCAAAAGTCATCATGGGGTCACTAGGGTTGAAAACCTGCTTGTTGTACTCCAACCACTACTCCTTCCTATACATGGCACAACACGTCACTCTGTTATGCATGAACACGAAAGTCGTTGGCCCGCAGCTTCCGAGATCATTTCGAGCTTGTTTCTTTATTTTCTTGTAACGTCTGCAACCCTTGTAGGGCTTGTATAATGTTGGCTGGCTTTGTGAACAGGGGAGTCAGGTTGGCGTAGCGGTACTTTCCTCGACTTCCACCGCTGTGACCCGGGCTCGAATCCCGCCTGGGCCAATATGTCGATTGGGTTTTCAGTCCCTACCTGATTCCGTGGGTTTTCCTCAGAATATTCCTCTGGTATGAAGCCTAAGAAGGGACAGGGTGGAATTTTTTGGGGGGAATTTCCTAATTCGTTCGCACGAATTCCTAATTCGTTCGCACGAATTCCTCGTTTGTTCGCACGAATTCTAATTCGTTCGCACGAATTGCTATTTCGTTCGCACGAATTGCTATTTCGTTCGCACGAATTCCCAATTCGTTCGCATGAATTACTAGTTCGTAGGAACGAATTAGTAATTCGTGGGAACGAATTAGTAATTCGTTCGCACGAATTACTAATTCGTGCGAGCGAATTACTAACTCCAAACAAAATGTCCACCCTTTCCCTTCCCGGGCTTCATACTCTGGGCTTTTCCTCCTACCTCTAAAACTGTTATTTCTTTGCAAAAGGAGATTATTGATTGTTAATCACTTTATTCAGAATGTAACGACCAATAATAAGTGTATTACGGTGTTGTCAGGTTTTTAAAGAACATACATAATGGAGGGTTTACACAATGTATTTTGTTTGCAGAATGGTTAATAGTTTCTCGCCCAGAAGTCTTTTCACAAACTTGGCGTTGGCTTGCGACTTAGAGCTTATAGGCTTTTTATTCTTGTGTGGGGTTGTTGACTCCATCAGTAGGCACCCCCACGTGTATGCTACATTAATCATCAAAGGCATTAGTCAGGCTTTCTGAGTTCTAAGATCGGTTTTGTTATTCTTCCCAGACTGGTTATCCTGAATTTGCGTGGTGTCCCATGCATTGTCCCTACATAATTGGTTAAAGAGAAACTCTTGATGGTCTACAGAACCTTCTCAAACCGACCAAACACTTGGGGACAGAATGTTCCAAACCTTTGGTCGGAAAAGAAAGAACTTTTGAACCCAAGGCCCCAACAGGGAAAGTAGGACGCGCGTATCGGCACGTCCGCCATGTTCGCAGTTGATTGTCCCCGGTCGTGCCCGTCAGTTGAACCCGCAACTTCGAAGCTTCACGCTGTACCAGCTCGCTAAACAAAACAAGAGAACAAAACTCTCACTGATAATGTTCTCAATTTGCAGCCGAACATGCGATTGAAATGAATTGTGAGAGGGGAAACACCAACAAAAGAATGAAAGAGGTATCAATCTCTGTTAGCACAAAAGCCGGGAAAGCAAACAAGTTGTTTTTCTGAAAACTTTCCGTCAGCCACATCCTTGAACGAGATGGCCTCTACCTCCCGGGGATATAGTCTCGCACGCCAGCGGCGTTCAAGCTTTGTTAACAACCCGTCCCATGGTAATTCCTCTTGTTAAATTCACCGGACCAGAAGAAGAGCTTGACGTTTCCCCCCATTGTTGATGTATAATACGACTGTGACCGTAAACTGTGTCGATGTCAAACTAAGTTTACGGCCCCGAATCGGGTGATTTCTATTGGGTTGTTGCCACGGCGCTGGCCAATCAGCTAGGACCGGGTGACCCTGACATTCTGAAAGGGGTAGATTATCCAATCATTTTGGGGGACATTGGAGCATAATAGTGTGCCAGTAGCCGGAGCGTATGATTACTAGCGTGCCGGGGAAAGTTGTGCGAAGTCCTGTTCAGGGAAATTTCTCCTTGGTGATGATTCAACATCAGATTCTTATCGAAGGGAATTTACTCACAAGGATGAAGTAGCAGATGATTCCATTCTGCGAAAAAGAGTATTCAGGGTGAGTATAAAATGCACTTTATCTTTTGTTTTTAGATTTTTATTGGGGGGGGGTGTTTGTTTTAGTTTTAGTACTTCCAACTACAATATTGTCCATACCAGCATTTTTGTCACTCTAAATTGTCAATCTTACGTCACAGCATACAATACAAATTCTGAGTCCTTCCACTAAACGCAACTTCGCAAATAGAAGAAAATCACACAAACATGCATACGGGTCGTGTAGAGGTCATACACGCACAGAACTCATTTGGGGGGGGGGGGTGTCAACGAAATCGTATTAAGTACTCATTACGAAACTTTGCCGTTATAAATGTATAGCTTCTGTAAAAGTACTCGTTGAGTTTTTGCCTGCCACGTTCTTGATCAATCAATAGAGTGCGATTCACGTAACAATTCACCCTCTACAAATGCACCCTCACCAAAATTGAATGGAAATATGGAATTAAACAAATGGTACATGGAATGGAGTGATGAAAGACGTGGATGAAATAAACTCAAAACATCTGTAACATTATGAATAATTTGTTACTCGGCGCGGGGGGTTTAATTTAAGTCTCGTATCTTTCACCAAATCATAATCTTGGACACATGAGCCCACATTTCTGTGGAGTCCTGTCGTCACTCGATATCAAGTATATGACCTAATTCGTCTAGACGACGAACCACCTGTTGAGACATGGGAACAAGTTTGTGTTCAATCGCAATTATCGGGTCAATGTTCTGATTCTGATTCAGCAGTGAATTTTGTCTTTCATTCAACAGTCGTATCGGCCTACATGTCCATGTATTGAAAAGACATCCAACAGTCATTTAGAGAGGAAAAAAGAACCTTTAAACATGGTGCCTGGATAGACGTCAATATTCTGAGAATAAAAACAAAAAGGGAAAAGTATTACTCTCTAAATTCCAAAGAGTGAAAATTCACTCCATTCGAGTGAAGATTCAATCCCACAGTCGGAAACTAGGGACAAGACTTTTATTAGAGTGAAATTCCTACAATCGTACAGATCGAGTTTTCACTCGAGCTTCGTCCGAGGTGGTAATTTTTTCAGACTATTTCAATAAAAAATGCGAGTGATTTTCACCCTAAAACGTCTAGTCCCTAATTTCACTCTTAATTTAGAGAGTAACGGAATTGGAGAAAAAATAGTGAAGACTCTGGTGTTATGGTGCAATTAAGCGATTATCGAGGCTGATATTTTAAATTGGTATGCCAATCTGCTCGCTGAAATTGTAGACCTACGTTTTGTTTGCCTTATTCCTACAAAATGTATGGTTAAAAACATCTTTTCGTAGGTCGTTGCACTACTTCGGGCGAGTTCGGGTCAGGAACCCGAAGAATTGAAAGTGTCAATAAGTACGGGTTGTCATTTTTTTTGGGGGGGGGGTGGATTAAAGCTTAACGCTGGTCCCCATCCGATCATTAATGTATCCTGACTCAGTAGAAATATGGCAATGAAAAACCACCATCTGTCGTCAAACTGACATTGAGGCAATTTCACGCCTTGAAATACGGCCACAGCGGTCCGTTGCCATAGCATCATTTTTGCCCTTTTGACATCATCCATGTCATCGTGCAGTGCTTACCTTTTTGGTCTTTTCAATAATACGATAATTCCTTAAAACGTCTCGCTTTTGCAAAGTCGGGAATTGATTTCCAGCCAAGGAATCTATTAACTTCGTTTGTGATGATTGATTTGGCATTCTTACACGTGCACATTTTGGCAAAATGTGGATTCGTGCATTATGGTGCACAACGAATAACGGATTTAGCTCTGCTGTGTTCATTCCGACACCAATATTGTCAAATCTTCCAGCGCAATTAAAAATGCGCAGTTGCTTTGAATACCGCATTGCGTGTTTTGTAAGAGAAGTTTGAAATCTGCACATGATACTTGGGTGGTCGCATGATAGAGATTCGCGGTCCCGCATTTTGTTGTTAACAAAGCACAAAATAAAGTGAGATCCTGTTTAAGAGTGACAGCATTATTGGTTTTTGGAATCGCCGATAATAAAATGTATAATCAGATGGATTTAGGTTCATTTTATCGCACCATCCGTTTTTATTGTCATATTTTTATAGGCTCCCTCCGAACTCTCAACGACTGCAATCCGGGTCGCCGGCCCGGACTTCGGCTTTGTTTGCCCAATAAAACGGTCTGGTTTAATAATACCGACGGCCGTTTCGTGTAATATTGCTCAAGTTGAACATTACATTTGAACAAAAAATATAATGACATTCAAGGAACAGTCGTTCATGTATAAGAATGAACCAGAATTGGCAGGGCAAAGGTGAAACACAAGTACATGTACAAGTGCGATATGTAGTGTGTAACCTTGTTGTGAGTCATTAAGCAGTAATCAGTGGGGTTGTTAAACCGTTAAGAAGATACCTTGAAAAGGGAACATCCTTGTTACATGTTATAGCTCATAAACTTATTGCGATTATATATCACTTCTTTCTTACCATGGCCAGACATAAACCAAGCGGTCCTCGAAGCAAGATGTGCAAGGAAAGCCACCAACGCTCTATGACTAACTTTCCACCAATCGCCGAGTACAGCCGGCTAACGTCGCCGAAGGTTCAGCGCCGGGGCCTCCATGAGGATAGGACGAGACGCGAGCCTCCTCGGCCTATTGCAGGTGCGCTAGGATCCCGTCCCCGCAGTAACAGCGATCAGTCCCTGGGGGATGTATGGAGCAGCGGCCGGCGGTCTATCTGCAGTAGCAACGGCCGCTCCTCACTGTCAATGTCGTCTGGAGATGCCTCGACCGTCTCCACGGAGAAGCTCTGGCGGAGGAGAAAACTGTCTCCACGGAGGGTCATCAGCAGGCCTGTCACGCCGTTCCCCACGGAGGATATACCAAACACTCCAGCCGCTGAGGCCGACCACGAACCTCGCATCCTCGCCCCGTCCCCACCTCACACCAAGGCAAGCAAACCGCACCAAACTGACCAACCGCGGGGCAGGACTCGCTTCAGCTTGTCGCAGAAACACCAGCCGATAGCTGAGGAACAAAGCACGGGGAAGATCACCTCACTAAATCGGGTGATGAGAAAAACTGACGACTGCTGCCTGGAACGTAAACCCCATCCTCCCGCCCAGAAGCAACTCAAGGAGGCGGAGACGACCAAAGCAAGCGAGCGGAGACGCAGGAAGAGCATGCCTGAGATCTATGGGAAACCCAAGGGCGAGGCACGCAAGGCAGACACGGCCAGCAAGAAGACGGGGGCACGGGGCCTCGGGGAGATTATGGACTGCGTGACGAGAGAAAGGATTGTGAACTGGTTGAGTGAGGTAGCGTACGCCAAGGACGTCACTCAGGAAGCCTCACAGGAGGAACTCAGCTGTATTGATGAAGAGTGACAATCTCCTTGGCAGCTTCTAAATTCGAATTTTATAATTTATTCATCTGTTAAAGTGACTGAGGTTGAACGAGTCAAGAAGGATTATTTATTCAGCCGGCAATCAATGACTGTTAATGATTCTAGTGAAACAGAAAAACGTTTGGAAATGAAACTTTTGGCGAATGCCAGCAAACAATCGGGCTTGCACCCGTATAGATTTTGCAATTTTAAAGCTTCGCGTTTTGCAAAAGACTGCGCCATTTCGTGACAAAATGCACACTATTGCTGGGACATTCCAACACTTTCTCTGATTTTAAACTTGGGAATACATGTGTTTATGATTTGATTGTAGAAAATATATTGTTTTGATTAAGAAATATTTTCCCACCAGTGTTTTGAGTTGAGAATGTTTTTTTGCGAACGAGTATTTGGGTCATTGCTGGTGACAGTGGCTTCTTGCGTGGCTTCTTGCGTAAAGCTAAAGTTGCACATAATACAACCAGCTAACACCCCTGCCTAATATTGACACTAGTTAAGTTTTGTTGAGTTTGGAATTATTTTTGGCTCGCTGTGATGCATGCTAAAGTCATGTGAAATTCTAGTTCAATCTTCACTTCTCAGTGTCGTCATCATGCAGTTACCATGATCACCCTGACATATTTATTCAGTCCCAACTGTAAATATATAATGTGTGAGTATTACGACAACCCAGAGTCTTAAGAAAAACTTGCCGATTTGATTTTGTTTGCTTGCTATCTGTAGTCTTGACCAAGGGCGGATCCAGAACACAATTTTTTGGGGGGGGGGCCAAAAAAAACTGTTGGTCCCCCCAAAAAGTGGGTCAAAAAAATTACGGCGTGGGGTTCGGGGCCCGCTCAAAGGCCCCGAATTTTTTTTTGGATTCTAGATGCTCTGTGGTGCGATCTGAGGCAATTTCTGACCACTTTAACCAATGTTTTTTTGAGGAAAAGATGGTGGTGTACTCATTGCCTGCCTTTATTGCGGTGTCACATAAAAAAAAAATGGTTTCGTTTTTTTTTGGGGGGGGGGGGGCCATGGCCCCCTTTGCCCCCCCCCCCCCCCGGATCCGCCCTTGGTCTTGACTCAAGGCTGTTCATTACTGTATAAATTTAACCTGACGGCTATTGCTGGAGACCTGTCAGTACAATGCTGGGCTGGTGTTTTGTTTGCAAGTGAAGCAAATCTGGCGTAAAACGCCTGGGCTTTAACACGTTCCATTGTGATTTATTTATTGTGTGTGAACATTTTGACAAGTTCATCTCCGATTTTTGCCCTCGCTTGAACTTGCCACAGTGCAAGTCGGTGTCTGATTTGCGTTCATGCCAGTGCAATCAAAAGCTATTATTTTTATGTGAAGTGAGAAAAAAAAAATTATTCGGTTTTGTCATTGGTGACCTTGTCAGAAATCTATCATGTACGGTTGATCTTTCTTCATTGGAGTAAAACTACTGCATAGAGAACAGTTAACATCCTATTATAATGTAATCATATTTTTCCTGTAAGCACTTTGGCTAATAGTGTTAAATTATTGAGAGAGAAAAAATGTATTCCTACCTGAAACCATGTTTTTAACTTGAATAAGGAAATACTTTGACTCTTAATCGTACATTGATGTTTTATCATGGACTAATGTTTGTGGTTAATTTAGCTGCTGACGAGGGTTTTTTGTGTGACGTTACCGGTACTCGGCGACTAAATTGTTTATGGCAGATATAGGCGCAGGCTGAAAAAAATTACTTCCAGTAACTCGCCAGAACTCATGCCAATGTCATACTTTCTGTTGGTGACCATTCTGCACTTTCATCGCAAAATGAACACGAAACATTCCTGTAGCGAGGAAAGTTTAAACCAGACGATAAACCAGACAACCCGAAGCAATCAATTTTAATTGTGCCGCAAAATTTGTGTGGAATTATCTGAAATATTGTTCTATATAAATTAATTTAAAAAATAAGATTTGTGTGTGTGTTCTAAATGAGTTTGATATAAAAGAAAATCATGCAGTACATGAGTTGATGGTGTCTGTTTTGGTGGGAGTTGTCGGCTGAGTTTGAAGTGAAATCGTGATCAGTCAAACCTCAAGGGAACAGTTTCAAAATTTTACTTAAGCAGAGTTTTGAGTGAAGTGGGTTGTATCATTGTTATACTACTGAAGGCAATGGATACTTTGTTAATATCAGAGTTTGACTTATCGAAATTTCACTGTTTGAACGACAGCCTCATGGAGAGGCGGTGGTGGGAGCAATTTGAAGGGACAGCTTACAAAAATGGTTCGTGAGAAATTTGTGAAGACCCATTGCGCTACCAGGCCAGTCTCGCCATTTTTGTTGTGGTACCACTTACCATGTCGTGCTCGAATAGTGATGAAATACCATATTGCCCTCGGGGTGGTGGAGTGACGTTCATCATACAATTCTCGGTATTGGTGACTTCACTGCACCACACATTGCTTGGATGCAACTGGTACTTTTACGTGGGAGTGTTGCACTTGTTATAAACATGAACATGAATGGTGCGAGTGGAAGTTGGTTCCTCCTGGTGGGGAGAAAAAGAGCGGACGTGCCGGTAGTCACGGGGCTAAACGACGTTGAGAGATCGCTACTTGGAAAAAAGAGGCAGAAAGCTTAAGGTCGCCCGTAAAAATAAACAAAAGTGTGGGTGAAACGTTTGCAAGGCTTGCACTTTTTTCCCATCGTTGCAGGCCTATCACGGCAGACCACGTTGATGCATACCGGTTGCTATATGACCATGGAGGAATAACTGTTTTGCTCAACCCTTTTCCGGGTCAAAAATGACACTTTCTGCCAATGTTTCGGGGGAAAATGAACCAGAAAAGTGTCATTTGATCCGGAAAAGTGCCGTTAATTTTTTGAACCCGTATTCCGAGTCAATCTGGTCCGGATATTTAAAAGTTCAATTGGACAAAAGTAACAATGAAGTTACAGGGAATGAAAGACTGACTGAACGAAGTCAGTTGAACGACCAGGTATGAACCCCACACAGCGAGTTGACTTCATGGTGCAGTATACACACACACAAAGAGTTTGAACATTATCGTCTAGACAGTGTTACCCCAGGGACGGGCTCGAAAGTGATACATGTGCACCGATGATAATTCGATCAAAGGATAAATCTTGACATTTCCACGAATATGAATAAACCACTGGTACTGTCCCCTTTTTCAGGTCAATTTATACAACATGCTCAAAAAAGTTCAAGAAGCCATGAATGTGTTTCTTGTACTCAGCCTGCAAGTACATTATATTGATATGTAATCATTTGGGAGATATGGGGACACAATAGGATATCATCGAGTACGCACATTTTGAGTAACCTAAATCACAAATGTGTGAACTATGTGAACCGGGGCATCTCTTGTGATTGACTTGTTAAAACTTTAATCCAACTTTGCTTTTTTTTCGCAGTTCGTAATGGTGTGTAAAACTTCAAAGACCTCAAAGACATAATCATTAAAAATGAACCCACCTCATACTTATCATACAAATTCACCGAATTAAGTGTTTTAAAAGGGAAAATTTAAGATATTGTGCGTTACGAAAGGTGCACTGTGAACAGAAAAAAATGCAAAGAAATATTGCTGTATCCCCTATTTGAACTGTAAAGTGTTAAGGAAAACATAACATCTAACAAAAGTGGCATGCGCATAAAATCATTGAGGAAGCATAACTAAATTATGGGAACATGCACTGCATGCAAAGGCTGGCGCTGCATGGTGTTGTCCATAAGTTAACTGCGTCTGACACGAGTGTTGTGGAAATTAACGTGAACCAGACTAGGGCCTCTCAAAAAAATATAGAGGGCGCCCAACCAAACTCCAACCAACAGTAAAGCCTCTCGTCAATTTTGAGTTGTCAGTAACTACGTGCACTTGCATGAAACGTCAAGTCTGTATGTTCTGTCACGGAAATGACGTTCTTATTTTTTTTTTTTTAAATGCATAGTGGGTTTTTTTTTCAAAGTCTTGTGATAGCCCCATCTTGTAACGTCACAGTTGCCAGTTGTTGTTCCGATCCCTCTACTTCATACGTTTTAGATTTTTTGCAGCATTCGCTACAGCAGCTCATTCTCAGTTTCCCGTTCATTTCACACGTCGGCAGCGTGGTCCGGAGCGCCCTCTTGAGTTCCTCATAGTGGAAGGCGTAGACGATGGGGTTCAGACACATGTTGCACAAGACGAAGATGACGGAGAGGTTGTGGTACAGACCGCCGAACTCCACCGGGACACCCAGGTTGAAGAGCAGGTAGATGATCTCGTTGGGACCCCAGCACACGATGTAAGAAGCCGAGACGATTAGGAGAGTGCGGAGCACACTTTTGGAAGCAAGGAGGCTGAAGTGTCTCCGCCTCGGAACAGGGGAATTGGGCGCACAGTCTGTGGTGTTCCTCCGATCACTGTTATATTCAGAACTTTGGGGGTCATTAAGAGCGGGGGCATTGTTGTTCGGCGCATGAGCATCTCGTGACGGAGACGTAGTAGATGAGCGCCAGTCGCTTCGAAGCTTCAAAATGATCTTGGTGTAGACGTAGACCATGAGCGTGACAGGAAGCATGTAGTGACCGGTGAAGAAGACCACTCCTAGGACACACTGGAGGATGACTGACGGCCACAAAGGGACGCACTGGCCCTCCGAGTCCACTGTCTGTACCAGGGCCCATCCCAGCTCGTGGAGAGGACCAACAAACCAGGGGATGATGGCCAGGAACTTGGCGCGTCGCATAGAGAACCTGTACCGGTACTTGATGGGATGCATGATGGCAAAGTATCTCTCGAGGGTGAGAAGTACGAGGTTGACCGTGGAGCTGACTGAGAAACCCCAGAGTGGCCAGCCGGATAACCACAGCTTGCACAGCACGCTGGCTGCTGCGGTCGACTCGGGCAGAGGTGGCTCAGGAACGAGATAGAAACACACGAAGAATATGCTGCTCGTCAAGTCTATCAGAGCCTGGTTGCAGATCAGTACATTGGTAACGGATCGGAGAGACGGAACCTTGACCACCAGGTAAATGACAAGTGAGTTGCCTACTATTCCAAGCAGACCAATGATGCTGTAGACGGTCTTTAGCATTATTGCATCGAATGGGGTTGGGTCATTCATCGCGGTAGTAGCGCCCTCTGTTGTCTGGGAATCCATGTTGTCTTTTGTTGGCAAGGAGGTCGATTCAAGATGCCGTCTCTAGAACAAACACGACGTCTTGTCCCCCAAAATGCTCAGTTTCAACCTGAAAATGAAATTTTGTTTATCACTTGGGATGAAATATAAGGGACTTCTTGTGCTCAAACTTAGGGCAAGTTCGGGCAAGGACCCGTAGTCGACTAGTACTTGATTTGTGACGTACCTTACGCCTGCGCACTGATAACAACGTGCGAACGTCTCTAGTCAAACGCTGGTCAAAATGTCATCGCAAAACTTCTGGATCCTGGCTCTCTGCTAGCGTTATGAATGCGCACGGCTGTTGGTTACCACCGATGCAACCAGCCCCAGTAGGCTGGTTCCAAATAGTCGACTAGCGTAGTCAACCACCGTCGACTAGACAGAGTTCGGGCAAACGTTAGTTAACCATTGGTCAACTATAGTCCTTGCGCGAACTTGGCCCTAGCTTGTCGAAACAACAATTAAGCCCAACAAGAACCAGCCACAACAAATAAATACAAACAAATGAACAACACAATCACAAACAAACAAACAAACAAACAAACTACCCCCCCCAAAAAAAAACCCCAAAACAAACACCCCAATAAACAAACAAACAAACAAATACCCCAACAGCAGAAATGACGTTGACACCAATAACAGCAGCAACAAAATTCGTACGACGTTTATGAAACTTACCAGCAATTTTCACCACCGATGTTGAAGTGTCCACCTTGGTTACACACACTCATTTGGGCGTCATTGCTGTAACAAAAATGAAACAGAAATTGTGATTATTTCTGTGGTTAGAGCCAAAATCTTCGATCATTCGGGGCTGTTATGTTAAACTTTATTTCAATATTTCCTCTGACAAAACAAAAAGGATACTGTCATCTTTATATCCAAGTCAAATTTGTTTTCAATTGATAAATGTCCTACCAGCCAAAATTATAGGGTTACGTAACTGACTCTTGTGTGGGCATGTTTAACGTCATGTAAAGGGTCATTGTACAGGTAAGATCCTCTAAGCATTTACTTAATTAACATTATACACAGCCCGTACTTCAAATTGTTTATTTTGGATTTCGGACAATCCTTATATAATATGCATGTGCTAGTTTCATCTGTTCACAGCCGGCGCGTATTCGTTCTCTCAAATCACTATATGTCACTGCTGTAGGCCTGCAGATTTTATGAGATTTTTGTTGCACTGCGTGGAGTGGTCATACATCTGCGCATTTATATTCCGATCGGAAATATGGGGTTTGGATGCGTGATCATGGTCAGTTACCATAATGTCTTTATTTTAAAAAAGTTGTGTCATAACATGCACAAGACATCAGCCGAATTACTCACAGATGATGGATAAGAAAAAAAAAACCTGCGTGGCAGTACTTTCAGAATTATGTACAGGGGAAGGTAGCCGGATTATGCAACGGCTGTTTTAGGATAGCCAGAGTCAAGTGTGTATACACATGAAACGAATTCCGAAAATTCATTTTCCAACAGTGCTCACGGTACGGTCGGGCACTCCATATTGTTGCAAACTCTCACCCTACTTTTCAAAGAACAACAAGACAAGACAAGCCGAGTTAAAGCTGGTCTCAGAGAGCACAAACAGTCTATTCAATTGATTCAGAATGAATATTCACTTGAAGTCTTTTCATGCATCCGGTGTTCACAGTGGGCCGCATTTAGCCCAAATAAGGGGGTATTCCTATACGATAGCACTGCCCGGCTCTCTTCACCAGTCAACAACAAGGCTAGTCACAAGTGAAAGTCAGTCAGTGAGTCGGTCAGTCAGTCAGTCATTTACAAAAAAAACATGCCAGGTAATGTTACGACAGACACGTCCAGGAACACGACTCCTCGTCCCGTCACCTACCTTCAGAAACATGGACTCACCGTCGACCAATAAAGTCCCGGAGGTGGATTTTCTGTGAACCAACCACAGTACAACGCGTCCATCTGGCGTTGAATAAAGTCTCTTACGTTCTGATGCTCGTTTTATCTCAGTCCTGGATCGTTACACAATCATCAACGAACCATTCAGCCGTATGATTACGGAGTCATTCGGCCAACTTTGAGTCCAAAATAGTCCCTCAAAACTAGATCTTTCGGCAAGAAATTTCCTAACAGAAGATTGTAACAAAGACAAAGTATATAAAAAATTATGGCTGAGTGTCCAATTGGCGGTGTAAAGACGATAACAATATTGCGTCCTTCGTTTCTGTTTATCGGTCCAAAGGTTGATGAATTCTTAATTAATCAGTAGATGTAATCGTTTGTTTAGGGAACAGAAGCCGACTTGTACGCGATAAAATGTATAACTGCAATAACCCGTTGCCCCCGAATGGTGTTAATCCGGTCACATAACAAAGGATGATTACAATACAATCCCATGACTTGACACAATACTGGTTTAGCCTGAGATATGATAACGTGTTCCAATTACGCGTTCACAAGTTCTATCAGGTGTTCCTTAGAAATGAGGCATATAAATACTACTTCAAAATAACTACATATTGGAAATGCGATCAACGGCCGTTTAGAATTTCTATAATTTCCTTTTGCGTCAAATGATGCAACTTTGGGCTCGGAAGACGGAACATGCAGACTTTTTGGTTACAATTTTATCTCCTTTATTAAGCGTAAAATTTCAGATAAGAAAAGCCGCGACAAGAGTCTTATGGAATCGGTCTATTTTTAGAGGCCTCGACCTTTTTGTTCCATTTTTATCTCTACTCAATTTCCAATTTTTTTCACAATTCAATTTTCAATTTTTGTATCTATTTAAATTCTAAAGTCGTTGTCTGCAAGTGCTTTTTACGCACAGTCCAGAGATAAATTGCGAACAGATTCATTTTCTGGTTCCCGACAAACTAAAAATATACACGTAATTAGTTTAGTGCTTGCCGAAATGTAGCATGTAGGTCTATCGATCTGTCACTGTGTTCCACTATATGAAGCGAGAGGATTCCTGAGTCTAAAGCGTAAAGAGGGAGATATGATGCATGCATCGCTGATGGCCTGTAGTTCTGGATGACGTCTACCTTATAATGGATGGTCCGTGTTGGCCTAGTTTGTGTCATGCAAGGTTAAAGTCACACTTAGTAACCTTTGCCGCCTTGTGTAACAAGCTAAAATAGTTTTAACAGAAACAGCCGGTGCAGTAAATTGCAATTGTTTAGGAGGGTTGTCATTGTTATCAGTCGGCAAATCATTCATGTCATTATTCCTCGATCATATATTATCAGTTAATCATTATTATTATTCGATTATGCACCCGCCGTATGGTAATCGTGTGGTTTAGGAACCCGTTATCCCATGTAAGAGAACGAAAAGACATTTAATGTTTTGGGACTTAGCCTAATACCTAAACATTTGGCGATGATACAAGCAGGAAAAGCCACATCATGTGCTTGGAATCATCTAAATAGTTCGCTAAGACACCACGTTGAATACCATCTAACTTAATTTTGTGGAAAGAGGGCCGGGTTTTGACGTATGAACAGAACTTGTAAAACATAGAGGTGACAACTGCACGATTACACACACGGTACGGTAACACACTGAGTAAACAGTGTTTAAAGAGGTTGTGGAATGCTCGAAGACATTATGTAGCCTAAGGTGTGATGAAATAAAAACGACTATTGTTTCCGTCATAAAATGAGTACAAAAGGTACTTTTAAGAGCTGTTTTTCAAGTCCTGTCATGCCTGTTTCGACCCGAACGTGCAATTTGTGTAAAAGTCGTCGTTGCGGGCAGCAAACAAAACACAGTAAATCGTGACGTAATAAACAGGACTCCCGATGCAGAGTAGCATAAACGAGTCCTGTTTATTACTCACGATTTACTGTGTTTTGTTTGCTGCCCACAACGACGACTTTTACACAAATTGCACGTTCGGGTCGAAACAGGACCTGAAAAATAGCTCTCAAAAGTACCCTTTGTACTCATTTCATGACAGAAACAATAGTCGTTTTTATTTCATCACACCTTAGGCTACATATACCCAAAAAATGACGGAAATGTTTTCGAGCATTCCACAACCTCTTTAAAAACGTCGGTGAAGGGCAAAACCTAATTTGATTTATATCACCCCGACGCAAAATTCCATCTTATAATAACTGCACGATTACTCGCCGTAAAGTGCATGTATGTTATTCATGAATGCTGCGTGTGGATGGAAAATCTTAGATCAATACAGGACACTATACCAGCTACATCGAACAGTATAGATTAATTTAATAACACTTGCCAGTTGCCATTGCCTTTTGTGAAACCTGATTTAATTAGCGATTCGCTATTCCAGGTCGCGGGTGAGTGTTTATAGTGTGTAGCTGTAATTCGATAAGTCAGTCTGGGTAATATGTTTAGTGTTACAGCCTTGTAACCCCTTTGTACCTGACTGATTGACTGTCACTTGTGAATAAGCCTGGTTGTTGCCTTGTGTAGAGAGCCGGGCAGTGCTATTGTATAGGGTTACCCCGTATTGGGCTAAACTATGTCCAATTGCGTATACACCCGATGCATGAGAAGCTTCCAGTGGATACTTAGCCATTTTGAATCCCCTTTATGGACTGTTGTGCTCTCTGGGACCAGCAATACTAGGTATGCCTTGTCTTGTTTTTTAATAACTTCTGTTAGTAATATATTACTAAGTGTACCATTATAGGGAGACACGTTATCTTAATTTCTTCGATAATAGAGAGACACCGGTCATTAGGGAGACGCATTACTGTCTCCCTAATGGCACAGCCCCCCTTTAGAGGCAACATTTTACCGTCGCAATGAGGTAGGCTATATTTGTTGCTCGTGGTCTAATAGTAAATATACCGAAATTCGGTGGAAAAGGACAAGGGAATATTTGGTTAGTATAGGGCGCATTTAAGTTTGAAACATTTTGTGCACAAGTCTATGGGAAAGTCTCCCTAATGACCCACTCCCGGTATCCATTAGAGAGACATTCCCATAGACTTGTGCCCAAATAATAATCCGACTTTCCTGAAGCCAATTTCCCTTAAACCTACCCCCACGAATTTCGGTAATTTTACTAATTGGACCATGGGCAATCGATCTAGCCGATTTGCGATATAAAAATTTACTCCCTAATTCCACATGTCTCCCATAGGTAACCTCCCATACCACCGCTTAAGTATCTTCCAAAATGGTATCATTTGCGATAGTTTACGGAGCCATAACGGCAACGGGACAAATTATAAATAACAAAAATAAAATCTATGGTGACAAAACAAGTTTTCCGGTTGATGCATTAATATAAGTTACTATTAGGTTACCGGTACTTGAAAATAGCACCGCCAAACAAAAGTCCATAGCCGTTCTGTAGAATCGAGAGCCATCAATATCATGACAAAATGCATATATCCATTTGTGTGCGTGTGTGTGTGCGTGTGAGAGCTGTCGTTAAAAACCATGAAGGATTGCTCTCTGTGGCACAGTGATCATTCCGGGAAATAAATGAAAAATCGGGCATGGCGTGTTTATGTATAAACCAGATCTTGCGTTCCATCATCGTCTATTGGCCTCATAATTCTGTAACCGATAGTAACTGTGGCGTGACAAGAGGAGGGGTCCCCCCCCAGAATTAAAATTTAACTTAAGTTTCTTAGTATTTTCTCAAAAGTTTGTGAAGTTGCAATAAGCGTCCTTTACTGTAGAAAGAAGAAACTTTAGTTTGTCTGGGTTTATTTTTCTCTAAAAAAATACTTATGCAACCAACACATTAAAAACATGTTCGATTGATCTAGCCACAAAACGACAGATTTCAATTAGTTCATTAGAAGAATTTTTGACAAACTTACCGATCACAAACTGTCGAGATTGGATGTAAATGTCGATACCAAACGTTTTCGCCCGATCTCAAAGCCTTTTTGATGCAGTGTGCAGCATATTATTTTACGCCCAAAAAACTGCATGTTTTATCACTGATATGTTTGTTTCCCAAAATATACGGTGCCGAGAGTGCATTGGATATTTCAGATCACCAGCCGATGCGACTAGTTGTCGTCAAAATGCTACGGTGGCGGTAATATAATTATTATGGTAATTGACACGCGAATAAGTGAGGCCCGCAAATATCAATGGCCCTATTTTCCCTTAATAAATGAAACAACGTCTACGCTACAAATTTGGACAGGATATTAACATCTTTCAAACTCGACATGTTGCAACTGCATTAACGAAAAACTTGAATTAATTTCCCAAACAGGACCTTGAACAGGATTGGAACCACGTACCTTCTAGCAAAGTGTCCTCCCCAAAAACGCGCCTGTACTTGCAAGCCACTACAAAATGGGATCCACGATTTCTGCTTTTCATCATCGTCGATTCCTTTAAGAAGCTATGGAGTCTGAAACACATGCCATTCTCAGTCGACCTCAACATTCTCGGGCGATCCGTTTAACTCATCCAGTCCTCTCATAGTTTGTTTTTCCTGGCGACTGCACACAAATGTAGGAATGTTAGCCTTGGCCAGCCCGAGTCGTTACAGGTTTAAACAGTGACACAAAATAACGATCACCGTTGTTTTTCCCATCAAGGGTATGTAGTAATGAACCATTGATCATGAGCGTATCAGACCTGGCCGCCTTGGCGATAATGTTGTAGGGTATTTTTAGACATATTACATCCCTAGCCTCCAATGAGATGTTTTCAAGCAGCCTCTTATTTTAGTGGGGCTACCGTAATGCCCAATCCCCTGGCCACATTTTGTAAACTTCTAAATGGAGTGACGCTGTGCCAAACTTGCCCAGCAACAATATATGTGCTGATACAAACAAAATGTTTACCTCCTGGTTTGTAAAACGCCCTCATTTAATAATTAACTTATTAATAGCTTTCATTGAATTTTCTATGATTATCATAAAATAAGTTTAGATTAATGAGTGCTATAAGGCCTATAACGTTGGGGCTTTTCTCTTCACTTTCCACTTTGGTCAATATTTTTTTCATCGTGTTTGGAAACTTTTAGGCTTAGGCCAAAAAAAAAGTCTCCGGTTTCTGGTATGGAGCTTGCCCCAAAAGTGGTGGGGCGACGCGGCTTTTTTTTTTTTTTACCTGTTTTTTTTTTTTTTTTGGCTTCAAATGTCGGCTGATGACTGCAAATGGTGCCCGACTAAACTTAGTGCAAATATATGGGAGTCCAGAGAGGCCACATAAAGTTTATTCTCGATCATAACCCAATCTAAAAACACGTTAAAATTGTGCAGCAGCAGGATTCCAGTCAAACCAGTGAGTTTGGCGGTTTTGAGACATCAGCTTGTATTGAAAAAAAAAACTTTTTCATTTTGACGACGCGCATGGCTACGGCGACGCGCGCGCATACCAGAAACCGGAGACTTTTTTGGGGGGCCTTACGGGCTTTGTTTTTTTTTCCCTGGGAAATTCATTGTCTTAAAAAAAATATCATTAGGCCTAATATAATGTGACATTTTGAAAATAACATAGTTTCCCATGCTGAACATCATCCAATCTTCTTTCCATTAGAAGGCGTTAATCATCTACCGGACAAACCATCGTCTTACATGCCATCATTTCCACCGCATTTATCTCACAAAAAGTCAGAAATACAGATATAGAGTGATAGCTCGCCCGCATCCCCTAAAAAACCACTGCAGAGTACTTAATCGTGCCCGTGACTATCCACTCACCCTAAGAGTTTAGGCAATCTTGGCCCACCGTGATGTTTCCCGGTAACCAAGCACTTGTTAATGTAAAAATGTGTCCTCAACGTCGCCACTTTCCATTGACTGATGGCACTACACTACATCGCAATGGAAATATGTGGCTTTCGAACACTACAGACGTTCCTGTATTATTGCTACTTTGCTTGATTTATCTGCAAAGATTAATTTCGCCCGCTTCGTATTTATGTGACCCCAATAGTTCCAAGAGAATGAATTGAAAAGACCCTTTTAAATCGCGAGAGATATGTAATCCAAACACCCCCGCTCGAGGAACGATAGCCTTATCACGGCATGAAAAGGCGCACTTGCTAGTTTTGTTGTTAATGATTACAAACATATTGCCCTGTACAAGAGCGCACTTGACTTTAGACATGATTGCCGCTTATATGGGAATACGCATTATTGAGGTTTGCTGTGATGGTTAGCATCGTCGACAAATCGCCGAGCGCACAGTGCATACAAACATGTCTGTTTCTCACTCGGACGTATCACTGAGATGTCCAAAAATGATCTGGGCTGTGTTGTGTGTTCGCTTGGCTGCTGCTACTTTCGTATCCGATCCCGAATTTGTTCCATCCAAAGAAACCGACGAGTATTACTTCCAGCCGGGGGATTTTATACTTGGCGGCCTCTTTTCGTTCCACCAGGGACCTCGGGGTGCGACGTGCTCACAGAACGTCTCTGAAGAGTTTTTGATGTGGTTGGAGACCATGCTGTTCGCTATTCAGCAGGTGAACAGACGAACGGACGTGTTGCCTGACTTGAAACTGGGTTTCTACATCCGTGACGACTGTCTGGACGAAGAAATGGCGATGTGGAGCGCGCTGAAGATTGCACAAGGGAATCCTGTGACGGGGAACCTTAGCATGCAGCTCGACGGCACCGGTACTGGGCAAATAGTTGGGATTGTCGGGCCAGCGAATAGCAGGCGAAGCATCTACGCAGCTAAAGTGGGATCTCTCTATCACCTGCCTGTCATGTCTATCTACGGAACTAGCGTAGAGCTTGGAGATCACAACCGATTCCCGTACTTCTTGAGAGCCGTGCCGCCGGACAATTACCAAGTCGAGGTCATTCTGGACATCTTGCTTGCCTTCGATTGGATTTACACGGCTCTGATATCCTCCATGGATACATACGGGATCAATGGAGGCACGGAGCTGATGACCCGAGCTGGATCGAGAGGTGTGTGTTTCGCATTCTCGTATCACCTTTCGATTCGGCCTTCTGCCGCCCAACTTGACGAACTTGTGAGTCAAATCCGCGAATTGAAAGAACTGTCCGTTATTGTCATGTTTGCTAATTTTAACGTGGTATTGCAAGTACTTGAAGCCGTAAGAGAATCAAACATAGACAGGCGAATCATTTGGATCGGTACAGATGCTTGGCCGCATGCATACCTAACCAGCCACCCGGTGCTTGCCCCAGTAGTTGCTGGAAGCATCATGGTGCGTCTTTACAAGGCAGACGTTCCTGGTCTCCACGACTACATCTCATCGAAGGATTCGCGTTTCACGGAGGTCAGCCCGTGGATGCAGGAGTGGTGGGATTCTCACCCTGGCTGTACGAACCTGAGCCAGTGTCCAGTCAACGCTGAGGGGAACGATGTGGCTATCGTCCACTGCGTCTACGCGTTTGCCTACGCCCTGGACGCCTACGTGAATACCAATTGCCAAGGGTCGAGCGACTGCCTGATCGACAGGAGCATTCTGATGGATTTTCTGCACAATGTCAGCTTTGATGTTGGCATGGGACATTTTAGATTCGACGCGGACGGAGAGCCGACGGGCCGTTACCTCCTCAAGCAGATTCAGTATCGCAACAAGGGGTACGCGCAGGTTGACATAGGAGAATGGGATACCACTATCTACGAGAGACACGAACGCCTGACTCTTGACCGTTCCAAACTGAAGTGGGAAGACGGTTGGGACGGGCCTCCCAGCTCGGTCTGTGCCGAGCACTGCGGTCCGGGATACATCCCCGTGGGTCTGCCCTCCAAGTGCTGCATGGGGTGCACCCCGTGTCTCTGGGAACAGATCGTCAACGGCACCGAATGCTTGACCTGTCCCGAACGCCAGACTCCCAGCGAGAACCGAACTGTCTGTGTGGATATCATCCCTCGTGGTGTCAACTGGGAACATCCGATAGTTCTCACCACCGTCATCCTCGCCGTGCTAGGTTTGATCCTAGTCGCTGTGACCGTTGCTGGGCTTCTCTATTACTGGGACCACGTGCTCATCAAGGCCTGTAGCCGTGAGTTGTCGGTAGTCAACATCCTGGGCGTCACGCTAACTTTCTCCACCACCTTCCCGCTGTACGCTACTCCTACCGTGGTCTCCTGCACGGTGTCCGAAGTCATGATGTCCTGCTCCATCACGATGCTGTTTGCCACGTCGTTCTTGAAGGCAAACCGCATCTATCGCGTCTTTGAAGCCGGTCAGAAGACCCTCAAGAAGCCCCGATTGATCTCACCCAGATACCAGCTAGCTCTGGCCCTGATCTTGATAGCCATTCAGGTAAATTGGACCCTGTGTCATCTTGACAATATTGATTTTTGGTTGAGATTGTGAAATGTCATTGGTATGAGTGAGGACTCATGAACGGTTTGAGTGAGGGAGACATTCTAAAAGATCATGCCAGATCGAAACATCAGGCAATCTAACTATTTTTATTTGTGTATTAATTTACGGTCATATAATTTGATGTCAACCCAGTCAGTAAGGAGTTAGCAGCATTTGTATGTATTTCAAATATATGTGGTTAGGCCTAGACGTGTGATACCAATATTACGCACATGTGAAACATATTCCTGAACAAATAGAACGGCAGATTGCTGCAGATGAATATAAACCATTAAAGATGTTTGCGTTGGGGGAAGTATTATCGTGAGTAACCATCCACTATATCACGCCATGCACATTCAAGACTTAATTTTGCATTGTACAACTTGTTTTTATCCCAACTTTGTACCACTCAATCTCCGACGACAAAACGTGACCGAGCGTGTGCCCGTGGCACGCACGCTGGGAGATGCTCTCGATTTTACCAGTGCATCGTGCCGCAAATCAAAGCCCCCTACCGTCATACAACGGTGCGATCGTGTTCGGATCAAAATGAAACGACAATCACGGAACGGGTCTCAATATTTACACACGTGGGTTAATTGTTTGACGATGTCACGGCCGTATAACAAGATTTTACCATTAACGCATTTAAGAGGAAATACTGATTTGTTTGATAACGATGGGAGACTTTTGAGACGTTTGATTGCAGCAAACACAACGGTCCTTTTCAATTGTACACGTCACGTTTAAGTTAATGTACGCATGTCCAAAATGACGTAAGCAATCGGAAAGGGCCGATGTGTTTGCTGCCACCAAGCGTCTCAAAAGTCTCCTTGTGCCTCCCTCTACTCCGTAAATTCTCAAGAACAAATCTATGTTACATTTCCCCCGCTGAATCAGGATCTTCACGGGGGATGGCGTCAAGTGATGTTAACTTCACAGAGGAGGGAACTTCGGATAGAAATTTCCAGCTCTTTCACAACTGTGGGTGGATTCCACGCCCCCTCCTCCCGCTTTCCTCGAATTGACACATTTTGTTTCCTCTTGTGCATTCGTGCTAGTACAAGTGCAATTCCGTATAAAGACCTGATACTTGTAGGAAATTGGCAACGATAACGTTTTTAAGTATTTCGTTATTTTTTACGTGTAATTTCCACAGGTTATTATATCAACCGTAGCCAGCGTGTTGAACCCTACCAAGCCCTCGGTGCCTCCCAGGTCTCCATGGGAACTGTACTGCCCATTCACTTACAACATCTTGGTGAGTAGTTTCTACAACCTGGTGCTGGTCCTGCTGTGCTGCTATTTCGCCTTCAAGGCGCGCAAGGTACCAGACAACTACAACGAGTCCCGGTTCATCTCAATCAGCGTGTACTCCATGGTGCTGGTGTGCCTGGTGGCTGTGCCAGTCTACGTCACGGCCCGCGAAACTCTGCTTAAAGTCGCCACGTGGTCCTTTGCCTTTGTCTTCAACGGTTTCTTAACTTTGGTCTTCGTTTACCTGCGCAAGCTGTACAGCTGTCGGTTCAGGAGACCAGAGGGTCAGCAAGCATCTCTGGGGGACGACAGCAACCACGGGGCCGTGAATCGGACATTCAGCCGTGGAGGAGAAAAACTTTTCACACGTACAACTACAATCTGTCCAAGTGTTCAAATTTAACTACATGTACCTCTGTCGATCGCAGAAAAAAACACGTCAAAACGGTAGTTGCATGGCTACTGACTCTGCTGGTCTAGGGCAATACCGCCAATATTAAGTTTTCAACGACGTAGCATTTCCATCAAGATTTTTGCTGCCCTTGAAAGTGGACCAGGAAGTCTGGAGACTAATGCTATATAGACTGTCCGCTGTGGAAAGTCAGAACTTGGGTGCATAATTATGAAACTTTGATCTACAGAGCTCAGATCTACCGCCATTTTGTGAGCTCGTTGAATTGAAGCCTTTCTAAAACTCTCACCCGAGTAACTGCAATTACTTTAATGTCTGTACAAAGTTACCATGAATCCTTAATCTAAGGACACTACGTATATTCAGGAAATATTATATAAAAATACATGTAATACGGTTATGGGTGCCTGTGATTTAGTGTAGGATAATACCGTTGTTTTCTGTGCATAAACTATTTATGTTTTAATAAATCCCTGTCTGAAAATCTGCGTTTAAAAATTGAAAAATCGTCTCTAATAAGTGAAACATTCGAGTTAGGATCCCACTGCGCCACGCTGGGACCATATCATCTGGCATGACAGTTAACTACAAATAATGAGAGCTGATATGCACATTTGTTTCATTGTTATAGGCATAAAAAGGCATATAGCTTATTACGTCTACTACAATGAAAAACAAAAGAATAAACTGCTGTTTACGTATCAGCTATATCTAAAAGTAGTTCCGCACCGAGAGAGGTTCGATAAGTAATCAAGTCCAACTCTAAAGATCACGTGGTCGAACTAATGGTTGACTTATCTGCTAAGTAAACTGAAATGCTGACAAAGAACGGATGAAACAATGACCTTAGGATAAGATGCACTGCGCGCCATGCTCCGAAATGTCAGATAAGCGTCTGGCAGGGTGACCGTAAGGCCAGAGCCAAATTCTGCTAAATGCACATCAAAAATCTGTCAGATTTATCAAAAATCTGCCAAATTCCCCAGAATTACTCGAAATACTCTATAAACACTGAAAATCACATGCAGATTGGTACTTTTGCCTTAATTAAGGTTCAAATTACATTATAAACAATCTAAGTCTCATAAAGATGTTGTGAAATTATCGCGTAAATTTACGGCAAAACACGGATCCGGCCACGACTTCGTCCGTTTCCCACTGAACCTCAGCACCTAGACCAGCCAACCTGTCCCTTTATGCAAGGGTTTGTTTGAAACGATTGAAGCTTTCTTAAACAAATATACCATTTTTTGTTCAAATTTGTTGTTTTTCTGTCAAATAACCATTTTTGCGGAATTCTGCCAGAAATCTGACAAAAAAATCCATTCTGTCAAATTTTCTATCAAACTCGTTTTTAAAAAAAAAATCTGTCAAAGTTAGCCGAAAATCGGCTAAAACGGCCGGTCACCATGGCGTCTGGTTTGACAAAACTTCACGGGGAATGAACTAGTTCGATTGAAATGGTTTGAGATCTAGCCAATCAAAGTTCATGTTTAAAATAATCATCCCATTCCATTTCAACCCAATTGGTCCCATCAGTTCACACCGCCTTATCTCCCTAAATAAGGCGGGCGTCCAGGGGCGGATCCAGGAATTTTTGCAGGGGGGGGGGGGTCGTCAGCAAGTCAAAGCTGAAATGTAGACAGTTGTGTTTTTCTGGACGGGGCCTCCGTAAAATAAATAGGTGGGGGGGGGGGGGGGGGGGGGGGCTCGTACCATACTTTCATTATGGGGGCGCTGTTCAAATCCGACAATCATCAACACTATATTACAGAATAGTGTACAAATACCCCCCTAACCCAGCTGGCTCTGACCAAATTTTGTGCACAAGCGGATACTATTACCAGTATAAATGTCACAATTTCTTTTGGGTGTCAGAGCAGGGGGGGGGGGAGGGTACACTATTTTTAATGTATTTCTATGAAGAAGAAAAAATTGAGTCAGAGCTGGGGTCCCCCCGGGTCCCCCCCCCCCCCCCCCCCCCCCCGCATCCGCGCCTGGCGTCTTACATTCCCAAATTCTCAAAACTCTTCTTTGGGAAATGGAGAATTTTGCAGGATTGAGGCTATATGGCAAAATGACGAAATGGCTCTATTTTTCAATGGAGTGTAGGCGTCACTTTTCAAAATGGCGATGGGCTTCAGGACAGCCTTTAGGGGTGATCGTCTTTGAATGGAATTCCCCCCAAAAATCATAGGTTAACCCCCCAAAAAATTGAACGAAAATGAAAGATGATATAATAAGCTTTAACTTGATGCGTGTTTCAAACACCTTCGAGAGCTGTATTTTAATATCACTCGCGTAATTATCACTGAGGTCACTGTTCTGCAACCCTAGACTTGAACACCGTAAATTGTAAATGGCGCCCCCTCTTGACCCATCCGGGAGCAAAATGAACGCGAAGTTTTTTTTTTTAAACCTCGGCATGCTCGTCAGCCGAGGATCCGTCACAAGCTCTGGGGTTATTTTAAGAACTTAGAAGCGTTTATTGCTCGAGAAAAATTGAGCATACTTTTTTGTTCAATATTTAGTGTAAAAATGGACCCGATACTGAGCCTGTGTCTCATACGTCACTGACCTAACGCAAGAAGCTTGAAGCCTAAGTGGAGACGAAACCGCCGTTTAGAAAACCCTTTAGGTTTTTAGTAACGTACGTTGGCTCTTGAGGGCGCCATATGTAATGTTTATAGCAACTAAAAAGTTGGGGGGAAGTCTATTTTTTAATAGATGAATTACGGGTTTATAAAGCTCCATGGTTTAAGTGATTTACAATAAACATCATCAGGAGAAAGGCAAACGTTAAATCATGGATTCCGATGGAGGAAAAATGACCGTTTTGGATGGTTATTCACCTGGTAAGTAAAGTGGTCCCCTTGATTGAATTTATCAGCACAACTGCACGCAATCATTCATAGGCCTAGTACAACTACTAGTACTAGTATCATGTAAATTTGAACTTTTTTCAACCAGTTGGCTGTTTTCAATTCGAATAGATAAACCAATATTAAAAATATACAATACTAGGCTATGTAGGTACTGAACAGGAGCCTGTAACAACATAACTGAATGGGAACTGGCAGTTGTAGTAGGCCCTAATGAGTAATATGTCTTGCCTAAGAACACAAGCGCCATGTTCCCTGTCTGGATTAATTCGAACCCATGTACCATGGCACATGGCGCATAAATTAGAAGCTTGATGCCTTTTTTCAGCCAAGATCTTTGAGACACGTCTCTTGGAGGTGAAGCAACAGGAGGAGAAGGCACTGTCAGCAGAGAGAGCCCAGGTCCTCTTTGAGGTGTTTGATGAAGTCTTACCACAGCTGGGGATCTTCAGAAATGTTCTCAAGATGGTGCGGGATGAAATATTTGGTGAGAATATCCTACCATCTCTGACCTATGACCTTAAGCCAAGTAAAAAAAACAACCTGTTACTCGTCCCGGCATGCTTCTATTTTCCCGCCAGTGTCCTTTTTTTCAAAATAAAAGGGTAGCTGCTCCATAGGACACATATGTTTCAGCATGTTCCAGAGTTGAAAAAAAAGACCACCTCCTTCCTTTTCTTCAAACATTCCAGAAGAGAAACTATTTTTTTACTTGGCCTCGGAGAATTGTTTAGATCAGGCCATACAGAGACTCTTAGTGCCAAAAAAAAAAAAAAAAAAAAAAAAATGGCAAAAGGTAACTTTCTGCTTGGCCATTAAAATTCGTCAGATTTTCCATTTGCAAAAGACCAAGCCTTTAGCAGTCAAGTTTGAGGTCTCACTTGAAATTTATAAAAATACAGATCAATGACCAAGAATACGAAGATAGTAAAGAAGCCTGATCCGAAATATGAGTTGACCTTGGAGAACAGCTTAACAAAGATGAAATCCGGAGCATTTGATTGGCAAAGTTTGAATGTCTTATTAATGTTAATTTAGATGAAAAAAAAACAATCAAGGTTGCATTTATATATTGGTGCATTGTCTAGGGGGATTCACACAAATAGATCGGTGTACTGTGTGTAAAGAATTAATCAGATGCTGTAAATTGTGGGGGAAAAAGGACATGGTGGTCTGGAAGTAGAGTCACTCACACAGTTTAGTATTCTCATTCACTTCAAATAACAACCAGATGTTCAAAGCCCAACTACCTGCAGGTCCCCTTCACCAATATCAAAGGACTCAAACACTCATTCTTCTAACAGACCATTAATGATTGGAACAACCTCCCTCAGCATATTACTGGGATAGGAGACACCAAACAATGTAGTGATGCCCTCAGATCTTTCAGCACTCATCAGTAGCATGTCCACTCCTTCCAATCTGAGTGATGATCCTGCAGGAGCTTTCAGGTATATAAATCAAGATCAAGATCAAGGCCTCAACTTGGACTCAAAAACTCCACTTTTAATTCCTGATTCTTGATGCCTTGATTACAGAGGCAGTCTACAGTGACCAGTACACAAGCTCAAAGGAGACGCACACGCCGTACAACGCAGCCACCAACGTCGTCACTGACAGGAGGGAAGAAGATCGGACATTTATCCAGCGGATTCCGTACTTCACTTTGGTCCAGAGAGTTTATGCAGAAAGGTATGGGCACTGGAAGTATGTCTGTCTTTTGAGCAACCCAGGAGTCGTTGCATGGGGTAATATTCGAATAAAGATAATTTGAGAAGGGAAATCTTTCTTTATACAGTGGTATAACCGGGGGTGGTGGGGGGGGGGGGGTGTTATGGGGGCCGTCGTACTGTCTGCTAACTTTTGACCCATTCGCGTGATCTGCACTCCCTGCTATGGTACAGGGATGTATTTTTGTGTTAAAGCACAATGCTGCATGCATTCATTGCTTAGAATGTCACCTGCCAGCCAGCTTATTACAAATACATGAATTTCCATTAGTGCGCATGTGCTATTAATAATGAGGTGCTTATATAGCGCTTTACACCAAGTGTCTCAAAGCGCTTCACAATTATTACCCCTGTTCATCAGGCCATGACACCAGTTTTTGCAGCAGCTCGAGATCAGCGCAATTTGGTCTCTCCTGGGTGGAGAGAGGCAATTCACAGTAAAGTGTCTTGCCCAAGAACACAAGCAGCATGTTCCCCACCAGGGTTCAAACACTACGGCACATGAGTTGAACACTGTAACCATTGGACCACACAAGTGCCCCATTTTCTTGACCTGCCTGTTGACGTATGCATGTTTGGTATCACCTTAGTCCAGTAGATGTTCCCAAGAATATCTCGGGATATTCAACATATGCGGTTCGAACAATTTAGGTTTGTGTATGTGAACACAATGCCCTCAACTAAGACAATATCTAACATGTTCTGTAATTGAAAAAAAGCCGGCACTGGTCTTGAAAATCCACGTTCAGAACGTCTTGCACTAAAACTAGACAAGTGACCATTCTGGATCAATGACGTCAAAAATGTCAAATTTATTTCTAAGTGAGTCTAGACTTGTTCTCTCGCGTTGTGTGAATTTGTAGACACGAGGAGGCAGCTAACCTACGGGATGAGATTGAAGCCCTCGAGGAGCGTCTTGCAGACAAGACTCAGCAGCACGAGGACACCGTGGCCGTTGTGGAATCACAAACCGCCCGGATCGGGGAACTCAAAGACGAGATCGCGAAGGCCTTGCAGGACGTCGAAGACAGGGATGTGGAGATTGAGAAGTGAGAAGATGATATCAGATGGGGTTTTTTTTGGGGGGGGGGTACTTTTATCAGGTTTTATTTGGCAAGGAAGTTTGTGGTTTGTTTGCTTGTTAACTTCACTCTTGTTAAAACTCGGTCTCAGTTTTGAATGACAGACACCTCATAATTTGAGTGTCTCTGTTTGACCACACTTAAATGCTCTGGCCCTAGTTTCTATTAACTGATCTATTTTTTATATTAAAATTATTTTAATTCTTTTTTGAGAGAGAGATAGTCAAACATCACAAGGCCCTGTAGGGCTACACAAAGCAGGGATAGAAAAGGAAATCTAAAAGTACTTCAAGTAGAAAGATAAGTTTTGATGTTGTGCTTGAAATGGGACCGATCAATATCAATTGGGAAAAAAATGCCTTGGAAATGGCAGCAAAAGCATCTTGTGTTCTTTTTCCATGGAAACAGCGATAAATCTAAAGTTTGACAACCTTATTACAAATCAATGTTCATTTTTGGGGCATTTTTTTTTTTAAGACTCAACGATGATTTGGAAGAGTTGACAGAAGACACTGACAGAGAGAGAAAGAACTTGGAGTTTCAGAAGCGCAAACTGCAAGAAAGGGTGACGGCTCTTGAGAAGGAGGCGGAATTCTTGAGCCAGTACAAGAGTGGTTACGATGCCCTTCAAGAAGGTAAGGCCAAAAAAAATGTATCCATGTGATGTTTCAATTCAACACTCCAAATTTCTAAATTTCGAGACGCTTTCTTTTTAGTGGAAGGCTCCAATTACATAACAGCGATAACCAAGAAGACAATTTGTTTGGGAAAGAAGGCTCAATAATTTTTAAGAGTTAAATCGATGAGTTGGATGGTGGGCTTTGAACTGAACATGATTTTCGTCGATTGGATGCAGAAATTGGAATGTTTAGTTGACCAATGTATAATAATTACCTTCTTTTTTGGATAGCCTTCAATGTCAAGATTGAAGAGGACAAGTACACGTCCAGGAAATCCAGAAGATCGGTCTTAGCTAACAAAAAGGTCAGAGAGCAAATGTTAAGAAGGGTCAGATTCTATAGAGGAGGGAATTTCTGATTGACAAGGGAATGACAGAGAAGGGGTTAGCGTCATTCTGAGGGTGCCTCAATTCCAATGCCATTTCGCTAGGATCCATCCTCAATCCTCCAAAATCCTCAAAAATTGTGCACTTATGTTCAAATGAAGGATACCCAGCGCCTCAATCCTTCAAAATCGTCAGGCAGTCCAGCCTCTCAAAATGCATTCATCCTAAATCCTCGCAAATCCTCCTCTTCTTCAAACACCAGTCATCCTCAATCCTCCAAAATCCTCATGTGCTAAAACACCATTCATCCTCAATCCTCAAAACTCCTCATGTTTCTCAAACACCATTCATCCTCAATCCTCTATTGGTTCTTATAATCACTCTGGTTTGTAACATTGCAATCGACAGAACCACCTGCTCACCAACTTCGATGCTGCCAAGAAGCTTGAGAAGCAGCTCCTGGAGGTGCAGAACCAGACCATCGAGGAGTTCGAGTCTTTCTTGGAGGCGCACAAGTCAGAGCTTCAGCACAAGGTTCTGCGGGATACCGCCGACGGGGGCTTGCTGGATAGAGAGTATGACGAAGAGGAGATGGAGCTCGAAAGGTTGGATACAGAGGTATGTGCTGTGTGAAAATATGGACCACCTGGGAGGGCAGTAGTGCAGACATATTGTACGATGATGCTATGTCCCTCGTGCGCGTAGTGCTAAAAATCTCCTTTTATGGAGATTGGCGTGGGCGCGGGACTCGTACTGCCCATGTGGCGCAGAACGCAGCAGTGCAGGAATAAAGTGTTTTAACACCAGCCGGTGTTTTATCAGCGGTTTAAACCAACAACATGACAGGCTCTCGACCAATAGGAATGGGTAAAAGTGTACATGTATTTATGAATGTAGAACAAAGACAGGTTCACTTACCCCTATAACTCCCAAGCTTTCCGAGGTACAGTGCGTTAGAGGTACATGCGACACATGGCCTGATCTTTAAGCATCCACAAAGGCAGGCTCACAACAGATCGTGTTCAATGATGAACCACTTGGTCAAGATCAGAGTGATTGGCACAGGTGTTGTTAATATGCCTCTACTATCCCAAAGTAAGGTCCTTGTGCAGGTGGAATCAAATTGGTGACCCGGTTTTAATTTTTTTGTATGACTAGTTGAGCACCGCGCAAGACCACTTCCAGCAGACCATCACCGCCCTGAACACCGAGCTGGACATGATCCGGCAGCACAAGGACGCCATCCAGCAGCAGACCCAGCAGCAGGCGGAGAAGCCCCGGGCCCAGGAGGCCAAGACGCCAAGCCGGTCACGCAGCGTGGCCTTCAAGGAGCCCAGTCCAGCCGGGGGAAGCTCCTTGGAAGGAGGGTATCGGTACGGGAGAGATGAGAAGGTCCCCAGCGTGAACGGAAAAGGTAGGAATGACCAGCGGCCGGTGTAACTGAACAAAAAATCTGCTGAGTGTGAAAATTATTTGCTTACTAAAAACAGGTTACCAACCAAAACATCATCCAATTATAATGTTATTTAGGATTGGTTCTCATCTAATTCATGCTAAGCAATATTTTCTGCTTAGCAGGTGCTGAACTAATCTTATGTCACTGCTTTACAGTTAGCATGGTTACCAGAAGAATAAAACTAATTTTCTCAAGGTCAAGACGTAGGCTTGTTTTGCAGAATTATTCACCAAATCTCCTCGCATATCATAGACTCTTTCTGTCCTTTCCCGTGCAAGAGACTAGCATTTGTGTTTAGTCAACACATTCGTGTTTTCATTCTGTGATCAGAGTCTGCGCTCTCAGTGGCCGACAACTTTGAGAACGTGGACCTCCTGAGCAGCGAGATGGATCCCTTCGTGCCCCAGGAGTCCATCCTGAGCAAGTACAGCGTCATGATCTATACCACCACCAACCAGAAGAAGACCTGGCATGAGCTGAAAGACGCCAAGTTCTGCACCAGCTGCGGGGAAAAGGTACACTAGCTGCTGGTGCTGCTGCCGGTGGCGGCGCTAGACTCTAAAATTTGGGGGGCAATTGGGGGGAAAGGAAATTTTTTTGAGGGGGGAGGGGGCAATATTACAACTTGGAGACAACAACAAAAATTAAACAATCTGGGAGCCATGAAGAGAGAGCTATTTCTCCCTAATATGTATTACTTTTCTTCTTTTTTTCATCTTTTTCATAATTTTTCAAATATTTCTTTGTAATAAAATTACAATAATTAATCAATATTGACAAAAATAAAATCAATATATTGACCTTTGGGGGAGTGTGACCTAGTGGTTAGGGTTTGTGACTCATGATCAGAGGGTCCGGGGTTCGAATCCAGCTGCTGGTCATATAATGTGTCCTTGGGCAAGCCACTTCACCTCCACTTGCCTCTCTCCACCCAGGAGCATAAATGGGTACCGGCATTAGCTGGGGAGTAACCTGCGATGGACTAGCATCCCATCCAGGGGGGAACAGAAATATTCTCAGTCGTTTAATGCTACTGAAACCGGAGATAAACGCGGCCTGATGATGAGCTACATTGGCTCGCGACAGACTTTACTATATTGAGAAAAATGTGGAGCTATAAGTGTAATAACATCACAGCCTTAGTGTTTTTTAATGATCTTTAACATCTTTAGTTTATGTATTTGTTCATTCATCAGACAGTTTTATGTCCGCACAAAGTCAGCGGGGAGAAAATAATCATGCTTCCACATAACTGCAGTCACATCAAGCTGTCGCGCCCAGGGGTACGCATTCCCATGGAGAGGACTAACAAAAGGTATGCCATCCCAAGAAATTTGCTGTGAAAAAAGTTCAGCAATTTTATTCAGGCTATTTATGTATAGGCGGACGCGGACATTCTGAAATATTTTACACAGCTTATCTAGTGTCCAGATCCATTTTCTTGAAACTCGATGGTTCGTGAGTCCGGAATGCTGAATGGTAACACATGAAAGCGCACGTGCTTATGAAAAGATGTTTTCATCGGCGCGGCTGATCATGACGTATTCCTGCCCACGCCTATAGGTTAAAATTAGACTTCACAAGTCTGAAAACAAATTTATCGTGTTTTGTTGTTGAACAATAGGTGTTCTTTTCGTACAAAAAATAGTATGCCGGTGTTTTGTGAAATTTAATATTGGGTCCGCCTCACTGATATAACTGTCCATATTAGTGATTTCTGAGACATTTTGAGATAAAAGCTACATTTGCCACTTTGGCCACCAAACTTCGGGATCTGGACTCTGCTACTTTCTAATGATTAACAGACTTGAAGCAAGTCTATTCTTCATATCACTCGTATTCTCCATAATGAATATCACAATTAACCATTTTGTCTAGGATATTTGAGTATCATTTGTGTACTTTTTAGTACAAAGATTTTTTACTTTTAACGAAAAAAGTCCTGTACGAAGGAAATTGCATTATGCCTTTTGTATGGTTTCTTTTCTCTGGAAAGAGGTATATGAGTTGATGAATATTACATATAATCTAAATATGAAAATTCTTTCTAACCTGTAATATCTATGACTTTTCCTATTTATCTCAAACTAATAACTACAACAAACGCAACAATTCCAGCTTACAATTCTAGAATAAAAAATAATTTGAAAGTCTCTTGTTTTAACAGAGCGCTCCATCCTCACCCACCGCCAACTTTAAAGTTATCCTCCACCTTGTCCGAGTCGGGCAACCTGCCAGCCAGCGATCCGGCTGGTACACGCATCCGTAGCCGGTACTCTGTATTGGAGAAGGACAACGAGCAGCATATATTCCACGGGGATTCCGTCACCCCCGGCGTAGCTGATAGCGCCCCCACCTCCGCGACGCGGATGGAGAAAGTGCAACATTCTCAAGACCAACAGGTCAGACAAAAACTCAAACAAACAAAAAATTTGTGGCCTCTGTTAAGAAAAATTACCTCCGCACACCCTCCCCCAACCTAAAACCTGGATATGCCGCTGCATGTAGCCTGTAATTTTTTAAGAGATTTTGTGATTTTGATGATATGTAATGTACTACTTTTCTCAGATGAGCACTTTTATGCCACTGTGGGATGACTACAAAGAGAGAACCAGTCTAACAAGGTCTATCCCCAAACCACTGGACATGGTAAGGACGCCAGACATTATTGATCATTATGACTGGCACAACATGCATATATTAAATGTAAAGATAAATACCAAATATTGACCAGTGTAAAATGTAATAGCAGTCGATCATGGAATACTTTGAAACGATGACTTTTGACTGGGCCAATATTTTTACTATTGACTTGTGATATATAATCTAATTGTTGGGCATATGGCATCAGAATGGTTGCCTAAAAAAATACAAACTTCAAAGGCCTAAAGACTACTGGTTTTTTTAAAAATTACCGAGACCGACTACCGAATGGATAAACCTTAGCTCCGGAAAAATTAACAGAATGCACAATTGATTTTGAAAAAAAAGGAACAGCACTTTCTCACTGACAGATGTCATGTTGCATCCATTTGTTAGATTACTGTCTGCTATAAAATGCAATTTTTTATAAAACAGATAAATCGTTTTACTTTGGAATTGTTCTCCTCAAAACAGAAAAGGACACTCTCCATCATTGGCCAGTTCTATGGCCACGCCTTGTGGCAAGACGAACACGCTTTGGAAGACGAGCCAATAGTTGGTGTCCTCGTGAGTTGCCATGGTTACTGGAAGAGAGCTTCTTCATTAACTTAAGTTTCGATCAAATAAACTTAGGAAATATTCTTACATACAAAATGGTGTGTTTTTTTTAAACTTTAGTCTGATATGCCACCAATGTCGAGACAATTGCATTCAATAAGTTTTATTTTTGGCAAATTCTTCCCCAACAAAACTGTTGACTCTTTTGTGTTGGTCTGTCCTCCTGCATGGTTTCTAGTTGTTGGAACACGTATTTTAAATAGCGCTTTCTTTTAATTTTCTCGACTTTTTTTTCCTCAGACTGGTTTCTACAATTACATGGCTGATCGTTACATTCTACCAGATGTGATGTATCTGTGTGCCCATGATTTCATCACTGCACTCATGGAATACTCTGTTGTCAACAAAGTAAGCTTTTGATCTTTGCATCCATTCATTTTTTAAAACCATTTGTATTTCTTAATGCTGATCTTTTAAATGCATTTATTCCTATAGATTTTTTTTGTTTTTTGTACTCGAACTCGTACTCACACTTATAAGAATATACTTGTGCTCATCTTTGCTAGAAAAAAATACCTGTGCTCGTACTGGTAGCCATACTCGTAGCAAAGTACTCATACTCGTACTCATGAGGATGTTCTCCTGCGGGAATTTTACCTTTTTTCAAGGTACACACAGGGAAAGAACTCTTTTTGATTTTTACTTTTGGTGGGCTTTTGCATATTTTTAATGCCTAGTCTGACAGCAATAATCCTTGAAAACATGTACCCATCAAATTGGGCTTGTACTCATTGTACTTGTACTAAAAAAAAAAATAGTTCTGCTTCCGGTTTCCCTACCTACCCTATTCTGACAGCCCCTACCCAATTTTTTTTATGGGAAAAATGAGAAAAATATCCCCCAAACCATCAATTTCTACCTTTTACCCTTGACTACACGCAGACGCCTCCATATGATCGTACACAAAAAAAATTGGCAAAAAAAAAAAAATTCCCTAGCTACCTACCCTATTTTCGAATGCCATGTAATCGGAAGCAGAATCGTTTTTTTTTTTTGCCTTAGCTATAATAGGGCTGTCCATTTTCGAATAATTTAGTATTCGATTACTCAAAACTGTGTTTGACCGAATATTCAGATATTCGAAACTGCCAGCTGCAACTGCGTGCCGCACCAGTAAAAAGTTGCACAAAGAGGGCGCCATTTAGAATTTGCATGTAGTAATCCATATAAGACACTGGAGTTTTTGGCAGTAAGTATTTTATGACTGCACAGGGCTTTCACCCGCTTAAAGGATGTGAACAATGAAGCGCCGTTAACAAAAAAGTGGGCACCTGACAATAAAGTGCTGCAACTTTATGCTAAAATAGCATCACAGTTGTGTGTGTATGTGCGTAGTTTTTTTGTTTTCAAATATTCAAACCGGCAAAAAGGTACTTGAATATTTAGTTGATGACTAACTATTCGAATATTCGCTATATTCAGGACAGCGCTAGACTATAAAACTGCCATTTTTCAACGCGTATTACACCTGGCCTTAGTTATGATTGACATGCTGATTGATGTATCGATTGAATTCATTATCACCCATTACTCTTTGCAGGCAATTCAGATCTTTGCTCAGATTCTCGTCGGTAACTTGGATGCTGCAGTCTTCCGATATCTGCTGGTCGTTTGTGATCTGATCGACAGAGTGGACTGGCAGTACGTAGAGGACTTCAAGGCGTTTGCCACAGCCATCTATCCATTCTTAAATGTAAGACAACTCGGCCTTATCTTTAAGGCATTGTTATTCCTCTAAAAATTCCCCTTAGATGTACAAACATACATGTATACTCAGTGGTGGTTCTACGGGGGCTAGGGGGGGCTTTATTAGCCCCCAAAATTTTGTCTACCCCCCCAAAAAAAATTCCATAAAAAAAACAAAATTGCACTAGCAAATTTAAGAATGTGACGTACATGCGAACGTTCTCCCCCTAAATAAATAGTCGTGAGAAGGGTGCATTTGTACACTTTTAGTTAATATAGTGTGCCTGATTGAAGGATTTTATCAGGGCTCCCCATTGAAAGATGGCGGATGGATTCTCTGATTATCTCGACTATTTTGCTGATACAAAATTGTGTCCAAGGGAGCCATAGCCCTTTCTACATAGCTATTTTATTGGAAACAAACAAAAAGACATTGACAATATATGTGCAAAATATATTTTGTGGGGAAAAAAGTAAGTGGGTGGGGACGAGAATTTTTTATTTTTGTTTACACGGCCTTACATTGTATTTATTTCTTGATGATTCCATAAAGCCAAAGAATGCTTTGGCGGTTTAGGGCAGCACAAAGAGTAATATGTTTCGAACTATTCTGTGTAAAATGTCCAAGGTCATGAGAATTTGAACCACATAATATCAAATTGTGTTTGTCTGCCGTCATTCTCAAATCTCCACCCTTTCTTTCTTGGTTTCCGTGGTAACCAGGAGGATGACATAGACCAGCTGCATCTTGGCTACACGTCCTTCAGTGAGAACAAAGTCTCCAAGGCCTTAGTGTACGAATACTTGATGTACATCATTCTCAAGTACCGAGAACCAAGATTTCAAGAAGTATGTTTGAATTTTGTTTTGTCAAATTCAGTAGATTGTGTAACTGTGTCCTGTAGACCAATTCAGGCTTGCTGTCACGGAGGCCCCCTTCCATGGCGAATGCATTGTGCTAGCTATTGTTCAGATAATCCGTCACGGGGAAGTTGCTTTGTACAATAGCTAGCACAATGGTTCCTCCATTGAAGGGGGCCTTGTGAGTGAACAGTGATCACGTGCCTGGATTCTTCTATGAAACAGATGTGGTCAAGTCGTCACAGGTCAATCACAAATTATCCAGTCTCACGACACGTAACAAGTCTGAATACAAAAAATAATAATAATAATACCGGAGTCTTATTTAGTGCACATATCTACCAACAATTAGGTACTCAATTCACTGGTAATTATGTCTTTTTTAAAGACAGGTAAATGAAGTTTATGAGAAATATAAGACCCAATGTGTAGCACCTTTATAAAGGGTATACTGCTAGAAATACACACTGCCAGAAACACCAGGGCAAACCCCTTCTCTTAGCGATAAGTGTTACTGGGTCCTTCAACGTGCATTACACAACACACGGGACCTACGGCTTTATGTCCTATCCAAAGGACGAAGCAATAATGGTAAAGTGCCTTGCTCAAGACTACAAGGACCATGTTCCCCGTCAGGATTCGAACCCATGTACCACGGCACACGAGTCGAACACTGTAACCATTGGACCACAGCCCCTCAATGATTAAAATCATTCAGTCGTAAATCAATCGGTAGTCACTCAGTTTCTAGCTAAGTTGCAAGCTATCGTATGAACTGCAAGCAAAGGCTTTCCTTTGTCAAAGTGCAAGTCCAGTTTACTTGTGATCTCCTTGTGATGTGATCTGTGATTCGACTTGTGATTTGACTTTGTGATGGACTTGACCTTGCTCTTCAGGCCGTGAAGCAACAGGCTTGCTAGGCCACTCGGAATTTACAAAACCTTATAACAAATTTGTGACATGGACAACAAATTGTCTCTCTTTTTTTTTTTAGATTGAGAGCAAGTTGTTACAAAGGCCCGGCAAGGAGTTAGGCCTGATGAGCGAAAAGGAATTCGGCGAGGCCGTGGATGCCATGTCACCCCTCGCTAACGAGAAACTACGGCATCGCCTGTTTGCCGAGGCCCAGGCCCACTGTAGTGAGGGTCCTAAAGTAGCCGTCATGCGTCTGTCTCGTATCCTTGCTAATGTAGTAGAGGCTTGCATGGAGAGTTTTCACTCACCGATCTCTATGTACCGACGGGATAGTGCATCAAGATCACTGGTTGAAGTTACTAAACCACCATCTTGAGAGGCCTAAAATATATACAAATTTTACAGTACTTTGAGATAGAGCACAACACTGTAAGGGCTGACTATAGCAGCGGCCATATTGGGAGGCCAAAAAAGTGACTCTTGGCAGCTTCACTTCTTTGTGAATGACATTGTGCTGTATCCAGTCAGTATATTCACAATAGGGATCAGCGATTCGAATCCATCCTAGGGACCATACTGCTGGCATCCTCACTCAAATATGTAACAGCAGAGTTGGGTTTTGTACACTAGACTGTAACAATGCAGATTTGGCGTTTTTTTTTGTTTTTCAAAATTACAGTCAGAAATTGGCAAAAAACACCAGTTCTCATGTCGTTATATTTTAATTGGTGAACACTATTTTATTACATTTAGCATGCAGCAGGACATCAATATAATTGGTATTCCAACATGTTGGTACCTGTAGCTCAAACTATTAACTACCACTAAAGAAAATTGCTCAGGAATCTGGAAATATATTTTAATAGTCAAATAACAACTTGGCAATTATTTTATATTTCAGCTTATTTTTCACAAAACAGAACTTTTTTTTTTACAGATCAACATATGTCAGTACATATTAACAAAACAGATTTTTATCAATTCACATTTGAATATCAACGAAATCAACATTTACACCATTTAAAAAAATTGATTTGTTTATCTTTGATTGTATTCATTCTTGCAGCTAGCATTAAAGAACAAAACCTGCCCTCTGCTCATTTTGCTTACAGTGTACACTTGTAAAAGAGAATAATCTCACAATCTAAAGAAAAGTGGTGAGATTTCGTGCAGTTCAGAAAAATCTAATGGCAAAAGTTGGAAACACAAGAAACATTTGAACATGAAATATACATCTTTTATTTTGATATCAGTTTACCATTACAAGTAACCAAGCATTTCAAAAGTATTTACACAAACTACATGCAGTGCAACCGATCGAAAAAGCAAATACGATCTGAATATAAATGTAGATCTTTTGTTTTAAAGGTAGAATGGACCATTTGTCATTTTTCATTTTTTTTCATTTGAAGCAACAAAGGTGCTCAAAATCTAAACACGGATGCTCAACAATTGACCTGATGAAGTTTTAGCACTGTGAATGCTGTATATTTTGAGAAAACACAATATTCTGAATCGCAATTTTAATTCAAAATTTGCTGAGTTATATTTTGAATTGCACCCTCTCATCATGACACAATCCTGAAATCAGCATTCGGGCCATGATTCTCATTCAGCCGTGATGTCACACACTTAACCGACGATTATCGCTAATAACAAGAGCAAACGTGTGTGTCGTGTCAATGCTTGCACCCATTCACGGATTCGCCCAATTACAAACCAACTACCAACGGAAATTTCCAAAAATGTGTCACTTGACACATCTTTGAAATTTTCTTCTATTATTGTTGTCTTCAAAATGACAGCATGCTAGAAGAAATAATTTCACAGGGAATAAAGTGTCATTAATATCTTTAAACCAAGTAAGATTTTTAAGAATAATTTGGTCGGTTACATTTTGGATAGCTGCAAATGGTTCACCGTACCTTAAACATCATTTTAAACTAAGAAGTCACCATTCTCTTTTATAAGTTTTCAAAAAGAGTTTACACAGACTTTATGCTAACAATTGATCAAACAGTTCAAAATATTTTCTTTGCATAAGCATCAAATACAAATTTGGCAAATATGTATCATGTTTAATCAGGACACAGATCTTTCATTTGAATAATAATTCATTTTAGTACACAACAGCAGCATAATAAGAAGTATACATAAACATCAGATAATAAAACCAATCCCACCTTAGAGTTTTCTTTCCAAAGTAGAATAGATTTTTCATTTTAGAATCAAATGTATAATGGTCTCAAAATTAATAAAATTGTTGTACCACCACTTTGATGTCTTTTAGTGATACAATTCAATACAATTTGGCATTTATAAAGCGCCCTTCAAGGAACACAGCGCTGTACAAGGCAATATATATTATAAATTACACAATGAACAATGAAACTCAATAAACAGAACATCAAAGCGAAATACAAAGCAATACAAGAAATTTGACAAACAGGTGCTTTTAGAAGACCTTTGAAAATGCCCAAGGTTTTGGCATCCCTGATGTTGATGGGCAGATATTTCCAAAGGCCTAGTCCAGTGGCTTGAAACGCCGGTACGAGTTCTGGTTTTTGGCACAGTTGCTGGTATAATCATTCCTTTAATTGTGTACTTCAATTTTTAAATTGTTTTTTTTTGGGGGGGGGGGGGTGGAGGAATGATTTTGAACATAGTAAAAGCACATCTCTGTAATCTCCATTTTCAATTTAATCAGAAAATTGACTTTAACCCGTTTTTCATGCAAGGAACGTCACTTTAAATTCTGGACAGGAATCTGTTTTTCCACCTTAATAATCACTTTGCCCAGATATCGCTAGCTACCTCCTTCTGCAGCAGGTTGCGCCGCTCTTGAGACAGAAAATTGCCGAGAAAGTGGAGGACAGCAGAATATTGACCAGCGCCAACCAAGCCCAATGTAAGTAAAAACAAAATTAATTGATAACCACTACGGCAAAAATAAACTATAATACACCTTACTCACCAGGGAGCCATTTTTGATCGTGTTCCCTGAACGTGTTTTATAAATTAGAAACTGTTGAATGGGATGATGCCAGACTATTTATACATTCAATTTCAATATTTTTTTTAAAATGTGGCTTAAACATTAGGGTATGATCACATTTTTTAAATTATTCATCAGAGCAGACTGGTATTAAATTGTAATTAACTGTAAATCATCGCTTTAAGTTTCAGTCGCAAGTTCCAAAAAATGAACATTTTGCCTCACTTTCAATTTAATATGGCCGACTCGTCAATGAAAGCCTTTAAGGGGCAGAGCAGGTTGCATCCATATAAATTGTATTGTGGCTGTGGCTAGCAGTACACAAGTGTTTATGTAAAGTTGCTTTACCTGCTGTCACAGGCGCATGTGTGATTCAGGACATGATTGTCATTCAGCCAGTTGTAGCTGTGTGATGTCACACACTAATCGACGAATAATAGGAGCGGTATGAGTTTTTTTCTGCATTCAATAGGGGACGTTGAACAATAGGGGACAATAGGGTCCCCAATTCCCGAGAGGTCCCCAATTTGGATTCGTGTACAAAACATATGGGAGGTCTTCCTAAAAAGTTCAAAGTGCAAACAAAAAGAGGAACAATAGGTCCCCGATTGCAGGCAAATACACACTTGGTTGCATGCTTGTGCGTCATGTCAACGCTCGCACCCATTCACTGATCTCCCAATTGTGAACCAACTCTATCTTAACCGAATCTGCAATTTATTGATGCTTGCACAGGTTAACGATTGCTTTGTAAGCATTACGCAGGACCAATCTGTGGTCTTTCTGTACGTACGTTAGAAAAAGGGCCCCAAAGAGCATTTGTAGCGTAGCTACGGCGAGGGTAATGTAACTTGCCTGATCAAACTGAAAGTTTACAAGTTTGAACGTTATTAAGTTAGATATCATCATGGGGGGCAGCCATGCCATGATGATAGTCGTAAAGTAGGCACATAAGTACCAGATGGATTTGGATGTTCGCACGTGGCGGGGTCGTGCTACCTGATTATTGTCATTTGTGGGGTCGTTGGTGGCAATGTGTCCTAGGTTAATTCTCTCAGCTTCTATTTTACGCTGTTGGTATCTGGCAATGACTACCAGCTGAATTACCAGTATTGCCATTGCAAGTAAGCAGGGCACTGCCAAAACATCAAACACTATAACTGCCACTTTCATGTAGTACTGGTCGTTGAAAACATCTAATGCTGAAATGAGCTTGCCCTCAACACTGCCAAAGTTAATAAAATACGGCCCGATGCCAGAAATTAAAGAAACTGCCCATGTGAGCAGAATAATGCAGGACCATAATTTAGTAGTCATGAGGCGCATATACTTCATGGGCTTCGCTATTTTGAAATATCTATCGGCAGAAATGACGGTGGAATTCAAGATAAAGCTAAGTAAAAAAGAGCACGATAGTCCTAATTCAAACAACATAAGTGCTGCCTTTTTAGGAGTAGTCATGTCATTTCTGCTAAAGGATGATGCCAACAACAAGGTAAGACAAAACTCATTGACAAATAAATTGACCAGAAAGTAATTGGAGGGATTTCTGAGTTGGCGAAAGAAAGCGACAGAGAAGATGATCCAGAGGTAGACGAGAGAGAGGACTGCGCAAAGTGTCGATGCACTCACTCGAAACGCTAATGGTAGTGAGAGAGAAGGCTGATCTGCTGACGAGTCATTCAACTCCATAGTTCCCCTTTACTCAGACAATGACATCGTAACGATCCACAGTCGAAGAGATCACACTAATGGCTGTCCAGATTCAGATCAGTAAGACTTGGCCCTCAACAGTTCTCACCTGAAAAGAATCCAACAGTTTTTCAGTTTTCTGTTATGTTTTTCTGTTTTGTGTGTGTGTTAAATCACCTGATTGCCGTTTAGCCACAAGTGCTTGCGGTCCTTAATTCAAAGATATGGATTTAATCTGTTTGAAACTGATATGGCAGTGTCTTCAAGTTAGAGACATAACCGCAATGCAATGAAAAAAGAGGTAGATCATTTCTGAAGTTAAATTTAGTTGAGGTACTTTCAGTAGCGGTGAAACTTTCTTCTCTACGAATTTCTGCCACACATCTACCATAAGCTATACTTTAACTCACAGTCGGCCTCAGTCATCTCGTAGTCAGAAAGAGATGAGTTAATACGAAATAGAAACTGGCAGTGGAAATATTCGCTCTTTTTTTTTTTCATCTGAAGATCCCAGCATCGAGAATCAAATGTGACATGGGAGCTGGCATGACACGCAGAACTGAGCCTAACGCAGATCGCTTGTTTCTAGAACCTGTTTCATCTGTACGCACTTTTTTCCACAAACGTATTCCGCATTTTGACTCCACTCTAATTGAGTTCCTGACAAGTTATCTTGCAGCGACACTTTCTGTTGTCACAAAGTCTGCTGTGGATGACAACAAATAATAAGTCGCTGATATTGTATTAACTGATGAAAGAGATTAGCTAAAACTAGGTAGAAACTGACAGTGGAAATCTCCACTTCTTGTTTTTTTTTCATCTGAAGATCCTAGCATCGATTGTTCATGGATACTCGACAGTATGATGGTCTCTCACTTGTTATACTGCTGGTCGCAGCCACTTCTCGTGCAATTCGCGCTCTCAAAATTCTGTCTTGTTCAGGTCTTGAGCACAGATACCGGGGATTTCAGAAGCAGTAACCCCTTGTTCAGTAGCATGCGTAGACACTGTCCTTTACACTCGGGTCCGGTTGTCTAGTTATTGATATTGTACCTCAAACACTGAGTAGAACACCGTTCCCATGGCTTTTAATCATACTTTATTCTTAGATTTTTTTTTATTGGCAATGACATTTGGTAAACATTGCAGGGACAAGATTTATTGCAATCCATCAATTACGATGCACCAGAGCTGTCAGTGGAGATATTACTTGCAGCTGACTGATCAGAGACTCATAACGGGATAATTAGGAATACAGGTCATGGGCTGTCATTGTTATTGCCTCGGTGAAAAAAGAGATTTACTTAGTAACACAGCCACTTGACTACACCAATGTTCCATGCAATGCAAACGCTTGCCAAGTTTTTGCAAATGATTCCCGTTGGATATGCACACAAAGAGTGCAAACGTTTGGAACGTTTGCGCAAGTGGAATGCAGCCCAGATGTATTTGGCCATTTCATAACTTGATGTTACAAAGGTTGCTTTTTCAAACAAATCCAACTTGCCAAACCTACAAATTTTGGCAAAAGTCTACTGAGTGACTTCAGAGCTCATCTACAAATTCTGATCTCAACTGCCTACCACGCTACTTTCAGGTTTATACAAATTTTGTTTGCTGTCTAATTACAATATCTAGTGTTACTTCTATAGGTATACAATATACATGTATTAGTTTTCAGTTCAGCAGGTGAACTTGTTACGGATGGCCTTCCATGTATCACAGAGCACCTGCCTGTGTTCGCTCTGCATGTATGCCAGAAATAGCGCCCCCAACCCCATCTGCATTACTGCGATACCGTTGAGAACGAACATCGCGACATACACACCCTGTGTCAGGGCCACAACTTGAAAGGCGACAAAATTAACGAGGATGATGTTTGGGACCCAGACAATAATGATTGTGCTAAAGGACATGCTTGAGTAGCGTGCTAATTTGGATGAATGCTTTCTTTTAGGGCGTGCCCCTTGATTTGGGATATTGGGTTGGCGGTCGGTGGCAATATTTCCGAGATTGACTCTCTCGGCTTCTATCTTGCGCTGTTGATTTCTGGCAATACAGGCCAGAGCGACAACGGACACTGTGATTGTAAGTAAGCAAGGAAATGCAAAGACATCCATGAGGACTATAACGAGTGACAAGAAAGCTTCATTGAAAAACAGATCAGCTATCGATATGAAATCTGAATCAAACTTGCCCATATTAGTGACAAATAAACCAATGAAGGTAACAGCCAACAGACCCCAAACAATCAGAGTAATACCTGTGCACACTTTGTTAGACATGAGGCGCACATACTGCATGGGTTTGGCAATTTTGAAATACCTGTCAAGGGCAACAACAGCAGAAAATAACAAATAACCGTAGGCGGAAACTGCAGTTAAACTAGCTACCAGCAACACCGATGTTTTGGGGAGAAGGGTATTTGTGTCTACGTGGATTTGAATCAGAAGTAACAGGTTGGAAAGAAATTCAGTGACAAATAAACTGACCAGGAAATAATTGGAATGATTTCTGAGTTTGTGACTGAAAACGATAGAGAAGATAAGCCATGAGTAGATAAGACAGAAGATCGTTCCAAATACAGTCATGAGCACTATGAGTATAGTTGGCAGTGATAGATCAAAAGGAGAGGGGGTTACTAAAGAATCATTTTTCTCCATTTTGATGTAGCTCAACCGAAATGTGTAGAACTCCTAGAATTTATGTTTTGCAGTCATACAGTTGAGACTTCCTGATTTCAGAGTCTTTCTTCCATATAATTGCAGAAGACTTGTACAGCTAGGTTTTACTTGAAGGTTGGGTCATACATATCCACCAAATCTTGTGTCAAGTCAAAATCGAAACCTTGCTCTTGTCACCTTCTCTTCTCAGCTTCCGAATAGTGATGATACGTAATTATCGAAAGATTTTATGGGAGAATGGAACTGAACAGGTTGAAAATGTTCCTTTCAAAGCAGCATTTTCTTCTTGGTCAGCCTTGAAGTTTCAAAAACTTTGGAGTGATTCGATACCATGAAATCAAATCTCAGTTCAATATATTTCTGACATTTCAGAAATACAAAATGTGACATTTCGTCCAATTGAGTCTCTCATCATCTTGGGTATGTTGTCTGGCCACAGCTTTACCATGCATCGCCAAATTCCATGTGTGTCATATTTTGGGCTGGTGATGTCCCGACTTCAGTTTCCCTCCTTCGAGTTGACAGAATCCAAAAGCTTGCTGCTTA